AGAAATATTTCAGAATCTTCTCTTGGAAGGCAGTGTCAATTGTCTTGTTCGCACATACCACGTACATGTCACAGCAATACATCCAAGCAACATGTTATATTAAAGGAAACCAAAACCTTCATACTAAGTTACTTTTATTGTAAAGTTTAAAAGATTTGAATAAAATCAGTGAAAATTTGAACAAAATCGGGCAAGGAATAAGAAAGTGAGAGCTTTTTGAAATGACTATTCACTAGAGGGCGGTATGCAATTTGATGACATCATCTGTGAACAACTCTCTCTGCCTTTTGTACATAAAATTTCACATTTTTTTTGTTTTCTTCGTATTTATTTGTATTCTTGATCTGACTTCATATCATGTGAAGAAGAATATCATTTTGCATTCTATATCTTGCTTCCAGGGGAGTACATTATCTCAATCACAAGAAAGAAGGAAAAACATGAAATTTGATGTACAAAAGGCATGGAGAGTTGTCCACAGATGATGTCATCAAATTGAATACCGCCCTCTAGTGACTAGTAATTTAAGAAAGCTCTTACTTCCTTATTCCTTGCCCGATTTTGTTCAAATTTTCACTGATATTTTTAAAATATCTTAAACTTTACAATAAAAGTAACTTAGTATGAAGGTTTTGGTTTCCTTTAAATTCAGACCTGACCTAGCTGGTTATGCTATTTCCTTTATTGCATAAGGGCCGATCGCAACCCTATAGGAAAAATCTAACCTTAACAGCAAATTGCTCTGGAAGAAAGCAGGAACATTAAAGAACCAGAATGAACAAAATCGGACAATAAGAAAGTTATGATTTTCTTTTAAAAGTTGTTATCACCATACGCGTAAATGAATTTTAAATTGGTCCTTTTGGTAATATTACTGTGATGTTATGGCGGACAACACTCCCATTTGTTCAAATACACAAAATTTACTAGTACAGTGTATGTCAATTTTTCCCCAAATGTATGACTCGGGAGAGTCTGTTCTATTTGGAGGACTTATAATAATATGCTATCCATGATAATGTTTTGGTAGTACCCCAAGGAAGAAGGTGCTTGGCGCACAATAAAAATCAATCATTTGTTTGTACTCAGCACAGAAGATGTATTGAGTTTATATTTCAAACACAGCTTTCTCATTATTGGTCCGATTTATCAAAATTTTTCACCATTTTGTTCACTTATCTTTCTGCTTTCATAGATCTACAAATAAACTCATTATACAGTGCGTATCAAAAGTATCTAACTTTGGTAGCTTCTAATTAAAAATGTATAACCTTTATGACCTTGGACTATATTTCAAGGTAACGTGTAACTAAAACCCTGTCTAATGATACCATATTTATAATTTTGCTGCTACGAAAAATTCCTCTGTAGGGCCATGCATTATGGTTCAAGGCATGCCCACATAGAAGATTCGTTTATGTTGGGGGTCGGGGCAAAATGCAATGAATTATTGAAAATTTATTGCATTTTCTTTGTTTTTTTTTGTTTTTGTGGGGGCGTCGACGTACCCTAGCGCCCGCTGCGTACAGTCATGATTCATTGGCTAAGCAATGGCCTCGCAATACTGTGAGCCCCCAGGATCAAATCCGTGTCGATGTGCTATATTAGTGCCCTTTTATGAGGTATTTATTCCCATTACTGTCAGTTATGACTAAGGACGTAGGCAGGCGCGGATCCACGTAGCGATTTCTCCGGCCCGGCCCCCCTCCCCCAGCCCCCCAAAACGGTTTAAAAAATAGGATAACAACGGTAAGTTTAACCTTTTTTTAAAACCAAAAACAATAGCGGGCTCCCCCACTTTCTTTAAAATACCATTGGTTCCATCAAGTTTATATCGTTAAGCCATTAAAATACTTGTTTAGGGCCTATTGTGTTTGGTCTTCAGGTGTCTATCTACTTACTAAATTTAAAGAATATTTAAAGAGTCCATACCCTCTAAAAATGTATACCCCGGAAATAAATTCTCATTATTACAGGAGGCGTTCTATCAAAATGTTTAAATGGCTGTTTTGGGGGAACCCCCTCCCAATTAGATATGTCGTTCGAATGCAAGGAATATTTGTTGAATCACAGTTCTCTTACAATAGAACAGAAATCCCCTTTGGCAGATGCCTTTATAACGAAATTTCCATCAGATTATTAGATTTGTATGATCATTGGGAAAACTAGATGGCAGCATTCCAAGAGTTATCGCGTAAATTATTGATTTGTCGGTAGTCTGTGTATTGTAGGAGTGTAGTTTTAACTTATTCAGGGGCGGCAGAGCGTCTTGCAAAGTGAGGGCACTAATGCACAAGGGCAATTTATGGAGAAAAAAGGGGCCACCTACAAAGCGAAAAATATATAATTTCCAAACATTGGTATATACATTGTGATTACTTTATCAGGGATAATTTCAATATTTGTTTCTTTCTGTACATGGTCCAAGGTACAAGGTGTGATGGTCTGTATATTCAATTGAGAGCGAGCGAGCAAAATTTTAACATTCATGAGGTCGCAGTGCGAAAAATTACATCTATTAAAGAAGAAAAAATACGAGCCTAATGGAGTTTTAAGCACAATTTAATCAGGAAAGAATAAAAAGACCTTTTAAAAGAAACACAAATTAAATCAACTTTAAATGCAAGCGAGCGCAGTGAGTGAGCTTTGGGTGAAATTAAAGAAAAAATTTGCTTCGAATAAGGAGTACATTTATAGTCAAAGGAAAGGGGGCATACAAAGGAAAAGAGGTACTTGTCAAAATATAAGGGGTACCTCTCATATTTGAAAAGAGGCAATTATAAAAGGTAAATTAGGGGCACTCATCGGAGGTGATAAGAGGCACTTCATGTATCTGAAAAGGGGCACTTGTGAGAACGGAAAGGGGCACTGATTACAAAGGTAAATGGGCACTTGTCAAAGGAAAGGAGCACCTACAGTATCAGATTTTAATAGAGGCATTTTATCAGAGATGTGGGAAGGAGTGGATTTATTAAAAGGCTGCTGTAATGAAGGAGAATTCGAGGAATAATTATCTACCTTTATAATCAGATCATAATTTCTCATGGTTGGGAGGGGTTGGGAGGGGAACCCCTACCCATGAACCCTACATGATATATCTTGAGGAAATACCTGTGGTTGTGATATCATCCAAACATTTTTTCAAAATGACTGAAATTATCTTCCATGGCCAATGTTACAGTTGTCTCCTCTTCCTCTACCACTTCTACTTTCCCACCTCCTTTCTTCATCTCACCATTATCCTTACTTCTCAATCCTCTTCTCCCTCTTTCTCCTTTTGCTTTTGATTCTTATAATGGTTCTCCTTTGTTATAATCTGGTTGAAATGTTATAACCTTTTCCTTAGAGTAGCTATTACCTAGAGTAATTTTTTTTTAATTCGTACAATTTTTCATATAAGTATTTATTTTCTTCATAACTTCGCCTATATCATAAGTAGTTTGTATAATGTGCTTGAATATTGATATCGATACATTATGATAGTGTTACCATTCGCACTGTCTGTCTATCATCTTACTATCCCTACTTGAATCTTCTTCTTCTTCTTCTTCTTCCTCATTCTCCTCTACTTTTCTCTTCTCCTTCCTCTTCATCCTCTTCTTAATCTTACCATCCTATTTTCTTTGCTTTCTTTACTCTACACCACCATCATGTTCTTTTTCACTTCTCTTTACCTCCTTTATATATATAAAATGAGTTAGGGAGATCAAATAATAAGAAATAAGCTTTTTAAAGTTATTTGTATTTTTTTAACAATCTACCATTCAAGTTTAGTTCATTAATTTGAGGTTATTTGATATGAATGTTTTTATATACTGTATTTTACATTTGTAAAACATTGCCCAATTCGGCCTTGTAGGCCGCGATGCATTGTCGTTCTTTTATTCTCAATAAAACCATTATCTATCTATCTTTCTATCTATCAATATAAAGAATAATTCTGTGCGTCACTGAATTATCAAAGGGGTTCAAATTCCAAAATTAACATCCCCACATATCCTTATTAAAGTATCCGATCCATCTAGCAATGAAAAACGTAAAAACACACTGTAAACATACCTTTCGATTCATTGTTTGCTGATAATACACATGTTTAAAGACGTTGAGTTTTGGTAATGTGACTAGTTGCAATGTGAAAAAAACTATTATATTTATTAAAAAATTACATCATAATAATTATGTACTTTAGGGATTTAAAGTTATCAAAATTATCAAGATATTGATTCAATTTTGATTAATATCACATACAGTGAACAGCACCGCTCATATAAGTAGATATGTGGGACCACACACTCATGTGGCGTTAATGTTTGGTCCCAACTTTTAACGTTTTCTTATAATAATATTTGAAGAGCGATCATTTCCCAGTGGCATTTTCAGCAATGAGATTCCCAAAACGAGAGAGGAACTTCATAAAAAGAGTTTTCGCCTTTACCAGACTCATCCTCTTTAAACATTTTCGAGTTAAATTTTTTTTCGAGTCAAATCAAGACGTAAAATACAATTATGACTTGTGGACTATGAGACGATTCGAAGGGTTTGTTTTGTGTGACCTTATCATGAATGCAAATATGAGTAATGTTAAATATGAGTCGTTTCGCAAATGGCGTCATTAGCAAGAAAAGCGATGGGAGAGAAAAGGGGGTGTTTATGTGTGCGTGTATGCGTGTGTGTGTGTGCGTGTGAGAGAGAGAGAGAGAGAGAGAGAGAGAGAGAGAGAGAGAGAAGGGAAGGGAAAATGGAGAGAGAGAGTATAGAGAAGGAGTGAGGGTTTGAGAGAAAGAGGGTGAGGAAAGAGGGAGAATAGGAGGAAGAAGGGAAAAAGAGATTTATAACCAAAAAAAAAAGGACAAGGGGGAGGGTTCGGCAGCCCCCTTCCACTCTATTACATTTTAGCCTGATGCCCTTTGTAGTTACTTTTTGTAAAAACATCTTCATGAAATATCTTCATGATAACTACCAGATCACTTTGAACGTGCATTGTACTTAACACAGTCATAGTTGAAGACCGAAGAAAGTTGCTTGAAATACAGTTTAGAGACCAAACGGGTCGTGAGTAGTTGAAGAGATCATGGCCGATGTCAATGACGTCAGAAAGGATGATGATTCGGTGGATGATGAGGAGAAGCGGGTCAAGGTCTTTCTCTGGTGTAGCCCTCGCACAGTGTCGACAGCGTTCACGAAATGCATGAGTTTCATCGAGGGAATGGAGGTATGCATCGCGGCGTCGCAAGACTTATTTTCGATGTCAATTATGATAGCGTTTATAATGTTGATCGTTATTGGTTTGTGTTTGCGAATCTGATGGTGGCTACAGCTGTATTCATGTTGATGGTGATGGTGGTTGGTGTTAAAGATGTGGTGCGGTGGTGGTGATGATGGTGGTGGTAGTGGTGATGGTGGTAATGGTGGTGATGGTAATGGTGGAGATGATGATGATGATGATGATGATGATGATGATGATGATGATGCTGACGATGAAGATGATGTGATGGTTCTAATGATGGTGGTGGTGGTGGTGATGATGGTAGTGATGATGATGATGATGATGATGATGATGATGAAGATGTGATGGCTAATGATGGTGGTTGGTGGAAGTGAAGGCTTGGGCCCTGTTTCATAAAACTTGTTATCAATAACAATTTACAATAACTGTTACAAGCTACTGAAATCATGGCATCTGATTGGCTGAGAGAAAATTTGTCATAGAAAGTTAGCATTCGTTTATATTGATAACAAGTTTTTATGTAACAGGGCCTTGGTGGTGACATGAACGAGCGATGCGACATATTTTCGATATCAATGTTAATTCCGAAAACACTTTAGTGTAAGCTATTCTTGGGGTGTTTCACAAAGACTAAGATTGACTTTAATTTGGACTTAACTATGGCCGGCCGTTGATGCCACTGTTTTCGCTCACCATTTACTGGCATTGTTCTTTCAAGGGACGTACAAATCATGGTCACATATCTACAGAATTTACATTTTTTGATGGTTCATTATTGAAGGAAAAAAATATTATCTAAAGATCGTAATTTGAGACCAATGGTGAAAGCAACCAGTGGCATGAATGGCTGCCGTAGTAAAGTCCAACTTAAAGTCGATCTTAGTCTTTGTGAAACACCCCTCAGTTCATATTCTCTGAGATCAGGATTTAAAGTTTGTGACACTCTCAAATTGCTAAATCATTTTCACTACAACCACATGCGCACAAATATGATTTTATAAGTCACATGATTTGAAGAGATGACTTGGCTATAAAATATCGAGTCATATAAATATTAGAATACTTGACTTACATTCGCACTAGTTGGCAATGATAAAGGTCATAATTATATATCATGATAACACGCAGGCGCGTACGCAGGGGGGGGGGGGGGTTGAACTCCCCCTTTACCTTTTTTTTTGTGTTTTAAAAAAAATTGTCGTAATGGGTGACCAAAAAAGCTGACCTTACCCCTCCCCCCCCCCCCCCCCCCAACGAAACGAAATATCGATCGGCCAAATTTTCAATACTGTCCTCTTAACTCTTAACCCCCGCTTATTCAGTGGCTGGCTGAGGCGTTGCGAAATTTTCGGCCCGATTGAAAAATTGAAAAATGTTTTGAAAAAACCCTTGAAAAAAACCTGCGTACGCCACTGACGTGCATCATGTGCAACACGTGCATCATGAGTGAACCCTTCAACTTAGAGAGGTGGTTTCGTAACTGGGAGGACACGGGTTCAAAACAAGGTTAATGAGATAGAAGTGCACTTTGTTAAGGTTAATAACTAAATGATATAAATGATACATCATCAAAGTAAAGAACTTACAGAGTAACATTTACATGAAGTAATTATGAGGAAGGATTGCCACATAGGCTAAGCTTGAAGGCGTGGCAGTCCTTTATTAACCTTAATAATTACTATGTAAATAAATATAATTGCTGTTATTTTCATTGTTGTTGTTATTGTTGGAGTTATTCCTGTCATTAATAACTGTACAGTAGTAGTAGTAGTAGTAGTAGTATTAGTGTAAATAGTAGTAGTAGGGTGAAGAGGAGGAGGATGAGGAGTAGTAGTACATGTAGTAATAATAGATGTGGCGGTAATAGTAGTCGTAGGAGTAGTAAAAGTAGTAGTAGTAGTAGTAGTAGTAGTAGTAGTAGTAGTAGAAACAGAAGAAAAAGAAGAAGAAGTGGTAGCAGTAAAAGTATAAAAAACTATATTAGTACGTTAGGAGTAGTAGAAGAAGTAGTAGTAGAAAACGAAGGAGAAGAAGCGGTGGTAGTAGTAGTAGTAGTAGTAGTAGTAGTAGTAGTAGTAGTAGTAGGTAGTAGTGATGTAATAGTAGTACTGTTATCATTACTATATACATCAATATTATTATATCGATCTTTAACTCAGGTCTGGTCAGAGCCATTTGTCTATTGTTATTTGTCGACCAAGGAAGCAAAGGCTCGTCTCAACGTCGACCTCCCTCTCACTCTCGAAGGAAACGAAGAGGTTTTCGCGAAGACCACGGAGCTGATGCATAAATTTACAGGATCTAACGTCATCACCGAACGAATCGTGTACGAATGCATTTGTTTATTTAACAGTCATATAGAATAGATATTCCACTTATAATGCGCCATCGAGCTGGCACTCTATTTTATTTCTGGGATGTCGAGAATCAGAGTAATATTGCTAATCTGATTCTCGACATCGGTTTGTTTACAAAAACAGATTTTTTTAAAATAAATTTTTGATCATTATTGTCAGTAGTACTATAATATTAATAATGAATTTATAGAGCACAGAAACAATGCAAATAATATTTGCATAGTTGCTGTACTTTATGATTTATAATACATATTACATCTACACCTACTGCGCACCTATCGAGCTCCTGATGTGCTTTAAAAAAAAATTATTTAAAGGGACATATTATTAAAAAGCCCCTTCCCAAATAATAAGTGCAGGTATGCAATGCTGAAAGATGATATGTATTCTCGCCATTTGATGTACAAAATTCCTTACGAAAGTAAAAGTAAAGGCATAATGACATGACATGAGCGCAGCCATTTTCCTAATAATGTGACGTATACCAGGCGAAATTCTACATGTATCGACCATGCTTTAATATTGAAAGACTTTTTGATTCAGTTAGAAAACCTTTACTTTTCATAGCTTAGAAGGTATATTTGACGAAAAAATATATAACAGGGGAGCAATTTTAACTCATTTATTTGAAAATACTAAAATGTATCAGTTGATATATTTATTTAATGTATGTAAAACCTTCACCCCAGAAGAACACCAACTTATTTATGCAATTTGTTTTCTGACAATAATTGTAGTACGAATAGCAGGTGAATGAAATCACCGCACACACCTGGGAAGGAAGCATCCATAAATTTGAATAATACTTGATAAACGACTTCGCATAGTGCGTCACAAAAATGGGCATGCTCATGCCGTGCTGAGAAACACTACATTATGCTGATAATATCTTGCTTTAAACATCTCTCCAATACTTTGGTGGAGAATGTTGTAGATTAGTGGACAAGAATACATAAATCTCTCAGAATAACTTTGGGTGAATTTTCCTTTAAACTACTACAGAAAGTGAAATGAAAATATGTGCTTTAAATTTCTGGTGATTTCATATTTTCTAACCCACAGTTTTGTCGTTGCACATGTAAATTTGTAATCAACTAATATTTTTGTTTTATGTGACGAGGTTTGCAATAGCAGAGGACCTTGCAATTGGGAGCTGCGCAGGTAAGGGATATGTTTGCGAGATTTGGGTTTTAACCATTCTTGAATACCTAGGGGCTTGACCTATTATCGCTTTACAGTAACGTACATTGCTAGTGATGCAAGCATGAAAAATCGTTCTTGTACAGTTCTGACCTAAAAACGTCCAAATACATCTAAAGTAACGCGTATTATTATAATATCTTGGACTTAAACAGGTACGATAACATCAAACCCAGACTAGAGGGCGCAAGAGGGCGCCACGTTTTCGTCAAAGACATGTGCCTCGGCATCGGCGAGAAAACGTACCACTGCCTTCCCAGGGGCTTCAGGCATACCTTCCTCATTCGCACGCCAGAGAGAGCGATATATTCCTTCAGAAACTCCTACTTCAAGCACATGAAGTCCCAAGGCCTCCTGGAAGGTGAGGCAGCCGAGGCCGCGACCTTTGACCTCAAGCGTGATGACAAACACGGGGACGGTGGCTACTACATCCAGGCCGTCTATGACTTCTGGAAGTACGTACGCGCGGAGCTCGAAGCGGACCCGATCGTCATTGACGCGGACGACCTCTTGACGCACCCTAAAGAGATAATTGCGAAGTACTGCGAGCTGGTAGGCCTGCCCTTCAGCGAGTCGCTTCTCCAGTGGGACCCGTCCTTGGATACCTTCAAGACGTGGAAGCAATGCGGGGACGACCAGCTGATGCAGATGGTGGATTTCTACGGCAGGGCGATGCACAGCTCGTGTTTCATGCCACCGAGCACGCCTGTGTCACGTGATAAAATGACCCCTGACGTCATCAAAGGAATCGATATGACGATGGCGGGGTACCTTGAAATGTACGAACATCGAATCAAAATTTAGAGGCATTCTTAAGTTCGTCTAATGACAAAGATGATATAGCTATAGAATTTGAGAAGTGTTGAAAATATAAAAAAAAATGAGTCATGCCAAATAATAATATTTGTATCATCAATACACGATCACTACTGAATCCGCAGAGCTTTTAGAAAGTTTCGGAATTACTTTTTTTTTTATATCAGCTCCAAGGAATTAATTTTATTTTTTTGTTAATGCAAAAGAATTGACTATCACTGTGTGCACTGTTGCACTGGTTAGAAGTTGGTCTGCAATTATAAGTAAATGGACCATTTCTTCTCTCTCTAATTCTCTCTTTTACCCCCTTCCGGCCCAGTTTCTTCTCTTTTTCAGTCTCACCTCATCCTTCCTTTGTATCGTTGTTGTGTGTTTGTGGGTGTGTGCATATATGAGATGGACACCTGCTGTAGTTATTAGTCGTTGGCGTAGTAAGATATATTGTTTAAAGACTCAATTAAATATTGTGTGTAAAATGCCCCATTTACAACCACATTTTACCCGTAAAGGATCCTGGTCTTTTATGTATTTTGTATTTATGATTTTCTTTTTTTAATGAATTAAATTGAATTTAATTATTTACTCATCATTAAACCAATCATAACTCGCTAAAGGTGCATTGACTAAATAGCCCAGACATAGTTTTGCATTTGTCAGACCGCTTGTTATACTTAGTATCTTTTGTTTGCTATTTCTGATCTTTCAATTTCTAAATAGTCCTTTAGATATCACTTATTTGTTCTTTTCATCATTAAGTGCGAATTTTATTTTATTACTATACAAGAATCATCCGCCATTGCCAGAAGATTAAATGGCCTTAGCTCGAATAGTATCCCTGGGAACATTTAATTTCTCGAGGAGTATATTCACATATGGAATTTAATTTCTTTAATAATAATAATACTTTTAATGCTATATATATATTACTCATTGCGGATGTAGTATCGAAAATAATATCGCTAGATACACTTCTTTTACCCCAATTTATGGAATTATTTTAAAAATAATTTAAAAATAATAGATCTAGATAATAGTATATATTCTCAGATTTTATTGAATAGGAATTTGACAATGTGTGTTTTGCGTGACTGCTAAAGCATGTGTATGCTACTATGCTTATCAACTAGGGGACCTACGCCCTTCAGTCAAATTTCCCCAAAACTTTGTAATACCTTTAAAGAGTTTGCCATTCTAATGTTTCATAGTTATCGTAATGATGTTATAGCTTTAACAATAAGCAAAACATTCATAAATGACCAGATAAAGCGAAAGAAGATAAAGCCAAATAAAAAAAAAAACGTGAAAATGTATACTCAAGTGTTATCTTGTATCTTTTGTGTCTTACAACCCGATGAAACTTCATTTCATGTCAATTTAAATATCCTATACTATTTCTCATGACAGAGCATTGCTCTCCAAATGCCCTCACATTCGAAATTATATGACAAGAAATAGCTGAAGTGTTTGGAATATTATTTCATTCCACATGTTCGTGTAGTCCTAGTATAGCTGCGACTTCCACCAAGACTGAATCAATATCTTATCACTCTAACAATTCCAAAACCTCACAGTATATACACAAATCGCTTCTAGACAGTTTCTTTTCATCAGGGACCCGTTTCACAATGCCTTTTCTCAATAACAAATGAAGAAAAAAACAGTGAGAAATCTGCTGATAACCAATCAGAAGCAAGGATTTCACTAGCTTATAACAAACACTGTCATTTTGTCACTGATGACACGTTTTGTGAAATGTGGCGCCCAGGACTCAACTTTAACTTTAAGACGCGAAGAGTTGCACGATATGAATGAAGACAACAAGTAGGCAAGTAAGTCCATTTGGAAATTGAAAATTTATAATAATAAATTGCAATATAGTATCGAGTGTAACATTTGTTAATATATGAATTATACGAACAAAAATATATTATCATAATATATTTTTGTTCGTATATTTTTTGTTCATCATTCCAAATCCCTTTTGGTATAAGCTAACTTTTATTAGAAGCTTAATCCTACTGTTCCGTACAAAAACACACCACAAACTATGAAATGACGTAGCCTGCTATAGAACTTCCATTTTATACTCGTCTAAGACCTGCAAAAATATGACAGGGGGCATACCACTATGACAGGGGGCATGCTCTACCACTGAGCTATACCCCCATTTACATACTTATATATATATTGTATCATAATGAAATAAAACTGCAAAGTTTTCTACATATTTTGTTTTACTGTCAAAGTAATTTTTACGTATTTCATTATTGCAATACATTATACAGGTTGTATATCCACTGCATACCTACAGGGGTCTTTTGGAACCTAATTTTGTAAATGACGGTATAGAATTATGATATAGAATTAATCTGTGTTTCACTCCATAACTTGTATGAATTCTGGCTAAAAGCAGACAAATTTACATATATAATCATAGCATGATACTTTTTTGATATGTAATAATATGCCATTATGATACAATATATATATAAGTATGTAAATGGGGGTATAGCTCAGTGGTAGAGCATTCGACTGCAGATCGAGAGGTCCCTGGTTCAAATCCGGGTGCCCCCTGTCATATTTTTGCAGGTCTTAGACGAGTATAAAATGGAAGTTCTATAGCAGGCTACGTCATTTCATAGTTTGTGGTGTGTTTTTGTACGGAACAGTAGGATTAAGCTTCTAATAAAAGTTAGCTTATACCAAAAGGGATTTGGAATGATGAGATTTGTGTTTAAGTGAAATTGGTGTTATATAGGAAAACATAATAACAATATCCATATTTCTCTTAACATACTCAAATTTATGGAAAAGATTTAAAGTTAAGTAAAAGAAATATAGATAAAAGACACCTCTAAATAGTATACAAAAGTTCAAAGCGGTTTAAAATGCAATATACGTAACTTTGAAATCCGAGAAGAAATTTAATTCCTATATATCTTTTCTTCACTTAAACACAATGGTAATTTGCATGCAATCAAAAAAAATATATATACTTTAACTGTGCTTTATCACATATATATATATATATAATATAGAAAGGCTACACCAATTTATTCCTAAAATCTAGTTCCAAAAACAACTTCTGTCAATAGGAACATTATTTTTAATACTATGTATCATTTTTTTTTCTTCGTTTACAATATATAACATATTTAAACATTAGCTCAAGAAAAAAAATACAAATTATGAAAATGTACAAATAGAATACACAAGGTCTGTAACTTTTTCAAATAATATAGAATTTATTCTCTCATTACAAGTATATTTGAGTAATTTCCATCCATTGTGGATCATAACTTTACTATACAAACAAACTCTTAGGATGCTTAGGGTGTGTTCCTTTCATTTTTAGTAAAATATAGTAAGTGTCACACACTGTTTTGTATCATACTTTTGTGAGGTAGAGTAATGTCTGCTCTACGATGAGAGAGAGAGCAGATATACCAGATTAAATTTTGATACATTTCCACGCGAGATTTACACAAATTAAAATACACGTAGTAATCTTTCCTCACAGGATATAATAAAGCTATACAAAAGTTTAGAAAACTATGACAAAAACAAACAGTCTATAAATTAATAGCTACTGTATTACACCCAAAAGCGTTTAGAAGCTGATGCTTATATACATATTATCTGATATATCACCCAGATTCAAGTAGTCTGCATACACACACTTTTATTTAATGTAAAGACATTCATGACTATAGAAATGGAATGATCAGTACTTTGAGCACCATTGTCATTTGAGACGAGGCTCGTCACTATAAGACTAAATCAGTTACAATTTCTCAAAAAGGCAACATTGAAATACATGCAAGACACTTTAACAAAAGCTTACAAAAGCTTATCAAGTCCTTCCATCATTTAACTCAAGATTAAATGAGTGAACTTTCACACACAATACGTCAAAAATGATCGATAAAATAATGCAGTGCTTAAGGCTTAACTCATTGCATGCCACATGAAATATTCTTCAATATATTCCACGTGTAGAGTCTGTACAAAATTTCAGCAATTGCAAAATAAAATAAGGGATAATAACGGAGTTGGTAATATACATACAAGTATACAGTTCCTATTCTAGAAACGTGCTGGTAATAAGACACAGACCAAAAAACCTACAGGTATATAGCACCAAGTTGAACTATTCGAGACTTTGATGGGCTGCCCGACTGATGAAGATGAAATGTTAAGATAATGCCCCTTCTATGACTACTCGGCGATTAACATTGCTACTATTACTATAATACTGTCTCCTCCTTTTTGTATCATTCGATACGTAGTTGACCTAACTCTTAAAGGATTGTCATCTGTAGGCTTCCTGGTTTCCAGTGGCACATTATTGGTCATATTTGTGATTTTCTTTAAAATACTACTTTACCTGAATATCCAACAATTATTGGTCAGTTTGGGGATAACGTTAAGAAAACATTTCATGACAAAAAGGGAAGAGATGAATAATATTGGATTGGTAATTGAAATCATAACCGGTTTGATGTCTTTTTCTTTTATAAAGAAATAAGGAAATAAGGAAATGATGAGAGCGATAAACAGTTTATACTTTTGGGACAAATTCGTCGCCTAAGTACGGGTCGTTATCTTCGATCGGAGTGTGAGCATGTTTCTTTCCTGGCTTGATGGTGCAGCTCAAAGGGAGGTGCGCCACCACCGACGAGAAACAGGCAGCTGCGGCCATGAAGAAAGCTCCCAGGTAATTTCCCTGGAGATCGCGACACAGACCTGGAAGTGAGAGAGAGAGAGAGAGAGAGAGAGAGAGGGAGAGAGAGAGAGAGAGAGAGAGAGATAAGAGAAAGAGAGAGAGAGAGAGAGAGAGAGAGAGAGAGAGAGAGAGAGAGAATGAGTCAGAGAGGTTACATTGTGAAAAAAGGAGAAAAGGAGAAAGGATAGTAATTGATAATCATGACAATAATATATAAATCTTAGCGTTGAAATGTTTTTTACGGAAGCGTTAAAGTGCCATTCTACTTGACGACATGACAAGATATTTCATCTTGTCAAGTCGACTTAATATCCATATCATGTCGACATGTAAAGATATTCAACCTACCATGTCGACTTATCAACTTTTATTAGTCGACATGGCGAAATAAATTATCTTGCCAAGTCGACTTCACAAAAAGTTCATGTCGTCATGGCGACATAAGTTATCTTACCAAGTCGACTTCTAAAAAAAATACATGTCGTCATGGCGACATATATTATCTTACCAAGTCGACTACCCAAAAAGTAGTGTCGACATGGCGAAATAAATTATCTTGCCAAGTCGACTTCACAAAAAGTTCATGTCGTCATGGCGACATAAGTTATCTTGCATGCACCATCAATGGTGATCGTGAGGCGATCGAGGGACCGGGATCAGGACTAAAGTCACCCGGGAAAGTCACTAGACCTAGACTAGTCGACTGTGAATGAACTACACGTACGCGCGCTGCATGAAATAGTCGTCACACTATATATCTCGCCATGACGACATATACTTTTGGGGAAGTCGACTTGGTGAGATAATTTATGTCGCTATTACGAGATGAACTTTTTTGTGAAGTCGACTTGGCAAGATAATACATGTCGCCATGACGACATGAACTTTTTGTGAAGTCGACTTGGCAAGATAATTTATTTCGCCATGTCGACATTACTTTTTGGGTAGTCGACTTGGTAAGATAATATATGTCGCCATGACGACATGTATTTTTTTAGAAGTCGACTTGGTAAGATAACTTATGTCGCCATGACGACATGAACTTTTTGTGAAGTCGACTTGGCAAGATAATTTATTTCGCCATGTCGACTAATAAAAGTCGATAAGTCGACATGGTAGGTTAAATATCTTTACATGTCGACATGATATGGACATTAAGTCGACTTGACAAGATGAAATATCTCGTCATGTCGTCAAGTAGAATGGCACTTTAACGCTTCCGTAGTTTTTAGTAGAATTTTGGAATATCAATTTGAACGATCGTATTTGTTATTTACGTTATAGAATTTGATGAAAACTCTACAAAATTAAAACTAGGCATTGTGGCATCCAGCTAACAATGGAAGTTACATGTACAAACTGATTTGGCCGAGGACGCAGGTTCAAAACTGTGTCACGACTTTCGGATAGTGACGTTTAAAGGTTGGTCCCCAGACGTAATTAATCATATCTGATTGATACACGTCTGTAAAAACCCAATACACACTCGCACAATTATACGGGAGGTGTACCCGTACGTGCAATATTTCGAGTGGTGATGACTATATTACATCGGCTGCACTTAGCGTGTGCTCAGCTGTGTTCGTTGAACTGGTTCTTAATTGGTTATTTATTCAAGTACTTCATACATATCACGTCATGTACATGTACCTCAGTCACACCGCTGGAGCGACTTCACTCCGACTCCAGACCGACTGATTGTTGGCCCTTGAGTGTAATGTAAACTTTTGTCTTGGTCTGTTGTCGGTCTGGAGTCAATCTTTGTAGACAGGTAAGGGGTACAAGTTGCCCCCCCCCCCCCCGACATATTTTTAACCATGACCAAGAAATGAAAGCTGACTTATCAATCATTATGAAGAAGTTATTTCAATTAATTATTATCTTTACTTCTAATAATATGATAGAACATAAGATAAGGTCCTTTAACATGTTGAATCCGATGATATATGCCTTCTGAAATACTATGCTTCCGATGAACGTTGTGTCTACACATAAGGTCATATTAAAGAAGTTGATGATATATTCACGTGTCAGAATGTTTAACACTCGATGACGTATGTCTATCTGCTTAAACTTATATCTGGTAACTGGCCCTGATATTCCCCCTTCCTATTTCACCTCTATACGTGTCTCCTCCCATGTCTCTATATCTGCCATGTCTGTCTCTATGTCTCTCTCTCTCTCTCTCTCTCTCTGCCTGTCTGTCTGTCTGTCTGTCTATCTCTGTCTGTCTGTCTATCTCTCTCTGTCTGTCTCTCTCTCTCTCTTCCTTCATATTTCTGTCTACCTTGCCCCCCCCCCCCCACATTGTATCTCTAACTTTCTCTATCTATCTAAGCCGCTCCCTTCCCGTCTATCACTCCAATTGTCAACACCTTTTTCTTCCCCCTCTCTACCATTCTCCACATTTATCTCTGCCTCTCTCCCCCACATTATTTATCGAACACTTCTCTCTCTCTCTCTCTCTCTCTCTCTCTCTCTCTCTCTCTCACGCTCCCGCTATCCATCTCAACTGCGCTATGATAGGGCTGTTGGAACACCTACGGGCCTGACATGACACTAGACATTCCATCTCCCATAGCTAGCCAGTTGTATAATTATTATAGATCTGATAAGATATGTTTCTCATCTCTGCAATATATCTCTTTCTTCATCCCTTTCCCTCTTCAATCCTCTCTGATTCTTTCTCTAAACTTTTCGCTTCCTCTCCCTCTCCTTTACCCTCACATCCGCGTCTTTATTTTGCCTAATCTCCCATAGACTGTCGTCGTCATCTTTCTTTTACACCCTTCCTCCCAGTTTCTCACTCTCTCCCATTCCATGTTTTACCTTCTCCTTTATAAATGAATAATGCACCTGCTTGGAATTAAGGAAGAAGTCAGAAATCAGGTTCCCCTTCTATCTCTCTCTCTCTCTGTCTCTCTCTCCCTCTTCTCCTTCTCCTCTTTCCCCTGTCCCTCCCCTCTCTCCCCTCTTCCCCCCCTCTCTCTCTCTCTCTCTCTGTCTCTCTCTCCCTCTTCTCCTTCTCCTCTTTCCCCTGTCCCTCCCCTCTCTCCCCTCTCCCCCCTCTCTCTCTCTCTCTCTCTCTCTCTGTCTCTCTGTCTCTCTTCCCCCTCTCCTCTTCTTGTCACTCTCGCATCTCTCTGATATGAATTCTATACCTGCTATAGGTGGACTGGTGAGCATAGCGATCCCCACAGCTAGAATGACACCAGGGTTTGCCTATCTCTTCTTCCCCATGTCCCTCTCCCCCTCCTCTCTCTCTCTCTCCCCTCTTTCCCCTCCCCTCTTCCCCCTCCCCTCTCCCTCCCTCTCCTTTCCTCTTCCCCCTGTCACTCTCTCCGCATCTCTCTGATATGAATGATATACCTGCTATGGGTGGACTGGTGAGCATAGCTATCCCCACAGCTAGAATGACTCCAGGGTATGCCCCTCTCTTCTTTTCCATGTCCCTCTCCCTCCCCTCTCCCTCCCATCTTCCCCCTCCCCTCTCCCTCCCTCCCTCTCCCCCTATCCTCTTCCCCCTGTCACCCCTCACGCATCTCTCTGATATGAATGATATACCTGCTATGGGTGGACTGGTGAGCATAGCGATCCCCACAGCTAGAATGACACCGGGGTATGCATACTTCATCTGACCCGGTCCGAAGAGTGATACACACATCACAGTTTGAAGTGTGGCACAGGCTCCTGTCGTATAGCCTGCCAAGGCACAAAACACTACCTGAGCTGTGGAGACACGAATAGAAAATAGAAATATAAATAGAGAGATAAATAGATAAAGGAATATGTAAATATGTAAGAAAATAATTAAGTACTTAAGTAAGTAATGAAGTAAGCAAGTAGCTAAGTATAAGTAAGTACTCAAGTAAATTAGTATGAATAAATAAGTAAAGAAATAAATACATGAATGAATCAATAAGTAAATGAATAGATAAATGGATGGAAATATAAATTAATAAAAAAGGAATAACCAATAACAAGATTCACTTGAGGAGCATTTAAAGGATATGATTATTTATTCATTAATTTATGTTTTCATCTAATTGTTCATTTATTTATCCATTATATTATTCAATTATTTATTCATTTACTTACTTCCTTAATGATTTATTGATTGATGCATTCATCTTTTAATTAATTAGTTTATTAAGTAACTTATGAATTTATCAACTAATCATTTTATTCATTTATTCATTTGCTCACTCATATATATATATATATATATAGTTTTTTTTTTTTGGGGGGGGGAGGGGGAGGAACTTTCCAATCCACAGGCCTCAATGACGATACCCTTACAGCAACAGAATCATGTGCATTATGGTATAATCTCGGTCTATAAATATATTTTTGTCATTAGCTGAAAGCTTCCCCACGCACATCACGATGATAAAAAACGTAGTTGATTAATATTATTTGCCTTGAAACATCGAAATACGGAGATTTTGTGCTTCAGTCGGATTTTTAAATTAGGTTTACTACGCGATGGCCGCATTGAAAGTCATTCACCTCTACACAACACCTAAGGAATATTACCCACTTGCCCAAATATGCCCATGAATACAAGCTAGATTTAAGAAACTCTCTTATAATGGTCGGTACGCAAAAATATTCCAACAAAATATCATACTCCGTCCATAACCTCCGTAACCTATGTCACCGTCTATTGCAAAAAGAACGGAACGGGCTTAAAACATACGTAGCAGATAACACCCACACCCACACACACTCACACACATAACCATCATCACACACGCGCGCACACGCACCCACCGATCCCACACACACACACACAAACACGCACACACACACCCATGCACACGCACGCACGCACATACTTTTCAAAGTTTTTTTGTGAGAAAAGATATCAGAGAGTTCTTTTCACGCCAAATTTATTATAAATAAAACTGTTAAGCCTAGACACATAAAACACCCAATGTCAACATTATATAACATGTCACTAAGAGGTTAAACAAAAACATTTCAACTTTATTAGAGGTTGTCCTCGACAAATCGTTTTAGATTTTGATTTTTGACTACCCCTTCCACATTTTCTGATTTTTGTTTCTTTTTAAAACATACATTGCTCCATATATATGCTGTACATGTTCTATTATTGTATTGTATGTATGTATTCTATTTTATGTATTTTCCTATGTTCGACATTTGTTGAGAAATAAATTGAATTGAATTGAATTGAATTGGTTGCCGCTGACACACACCAATAGTTGCATGACCTTCTATTCACCCAATCGCTGAGTAACCATCGAGTCATTTGTAAGCTCACGGCGACAGTGTGATCCAAAGGTTTTATTTGAATTTGATTATTAATTCAAATAGATTTTTCCCTTGTCTTCAAAGGATAACGTGTTTGCATTTAAACAATACCATGTGTGCTGCCTGGTACCATTCGATGTACTTGTTATTAATTTTGCCGATTCCTTCTTCACGATTTTTATTCTTTCATTTTCCTCGGTCTTCCATCCTACACCAGTACTGTACATAGCGTTTACGCTCTTACTTCAACATTGATCATAAATGAATACTATAACATATTCTTTGCCACTTACTCTTGTTCCCCATTACATTTTCCTTGTAAATTTCATTTTAATTTTCTTTCTTTTTCACTTCACTTTATCTTCTTCACGAAATTTGTTATTTTTGTCTCCTCCATGCGTGCATTAGATTCAATTGACTGCCAATCCTAGCTTTCACTCTTAAGAAAGAAACTATAGCGTGTTTCACTATTTAATTATAGTGGAGAAAAAGCAAGAGGAAGAACGAAGAAGAAAAAGAAGAAGAAGAAGAAGAAAAAGAAGAAGAAAGAGAAGAAGTAGAAGAAAAAGTATAAGAAGTATAAGAAGAAGGGGTAGAAGAAGTAGAAGAAGGAGAGGAAGAGGAAAAAGAAGAGGAGGAGAAAGAAGAAAGAGGCGGGAACATCAATAAAAACATTTGGATCAGGAAACACAAGAAGAAAAAACAACATCAACAATATGTGACCAAATGGGTTGCTTGAATTCAGGGCGACTCTTGCACCAGACTCAGAACTAATTATTCATAAACATACTCTTTGCTCTCGTTGTCACCTCAACAAACTAAAGCAGTGGCCCATTTATCAGACTGATTGACAATTTAATTGGACCGCGAACTTAATGATCGGGATAAAGGGCAAATTTGCACTCCATTAGGACAAATGAATATTCCATTTATCTTTGGAAAATCAAAGGGCAATAATCGGGCAAAAATCAAGGAAAGTGCAGACACTTTTATCTGTGTATCATAAATATAGATCAGCGTGGTAGATCATGTGTTTTCGAATTGGGATCAAATTCTAAATCTCGTGTCAATACCCGCGATAATTACGAAGCTACTCTAGATCATTCTGTGCTTTCATTTAATGCAACGTATAGCAAAACACTAATATGCTATGATAAAATATACGTGTAGGGCTTAACATTAGTATTTATATTCTACATTGTACATTAAATATATTAGTAACAAAATAATAATGATGATGATGATGATGATAATAATAACAGTAATTGTGATGATGATGACCATATAATACTACTTCTACTACTAATAATAATAATATTAACAATAATGATAAATAAAATGCTGATAATTATCAATATCATAATAGTCACAATAGTTGAGGTTCTATATCGCTCATGTCTGTCATACATATTTACATACATTTTTGCATGAAATCAAAACCCACACATGATTTGAAAGGGGGATTCAAGATGATTTATAAACAAAAATTACAATAAAAAGAAAAAAATTCAAGCAAAATATACGTGTAAATTTTATTTAGCTTTTTTTTTCTGGTGATTTTTTTTACAAAGCTTGATCTCTACATATGATTTAAAGTGCCTTGAACTTATTCATATGTGACAAAATATAGTTTAATGATGACACGAACACCGCCCCTCAAATATTGATCAGACGGCACGTGGTGCGAAGAGCTCTGCTCTGTGGTAAACGTGTGACAGTAGTCAAATTCCTAATTCAATCCTGAACTCAACACTACGCCTATGAAATCTACCTGTTTCATCTTTGTAAAAGTAGAGCCCAAAGACAATGTCAGATCTAGTCAGAATCAACAATGTAGTGTGAACACATTGCATATTTATATTAATAATCAAAAATTACTTTTGTTAACGTCCCTAAAACTCCTAACCCAAAGACAATGCAACCACTAGGCCTACCCTCAAAATTAATGAAGCTTGAACCAGAATAAAAAAAACTCTCGTTATATATAAGTTTAAAGCCAGAATTTTTCGCGCGCAGCAAACATTTTTCATGTCGCGACATAACGGAATCATTTTTTTGCAATTCACGAAAGTTTTCTTGCCGTGAAAATCGCTCTCAATAGTAAATCGTGAGATTCTCTCAACTCTCTGGTTTTATAGTAACCAGACCCTGCTTCAGCCATCAACGTCCGGTACGTGTAATACAGGATTTCCCTATATGCCTTTTAACTGCCATTAGAATGCAATCACAACAGGCATAGTAGAATTTGAGTAGAATAAAAAATAAAGTATAATCTTGTCTGTAAAATCTGGAAGAATGGCAGGAAGTCAGCCGATCAACCCATAGCTGGATAGTTTCGATCGGGATAGTTCAAATAGCTGGATATTTTGCAATCTCGAGATAGTGAGGGAAACAATATCTCGCCTATTTTCCCGAATATCTCGTATTTCGTATGAAAGTGTAAACAAGCTAAATAAATAAGCGTGTAGGGTCATCACACTAAACCACGGTTTGCCAATAGGATTGGCCAAAGCATGCAGATGCGACAGCTCACAACCGACACATTTATCATATTTAGTGCTTTTGTGCATTGTTTTACTCTGTTTTCCTTTGTTTTGCTTTTTTTTAAAATTCATGTCACTATCATGTCAAGGTCATATTAATAAATGATGAAATAGACCCCCCCCCCCCTACCCCGATAACTTAACTATAACCAATATTCGGGAATATGTATGGACGCTCGTAATGTCGAAGTTAGTGTATGACTTTAACATATCGGTGTATGATGCGGGGGGAGGGGCTGCAGCCTCTCCAGCCCCACCCCCTCGAGATTTTTCAATAACCAATATTCGGCGGTCTGGTAATATAGCTCGACGGCCATAATGTGGATGTTGGCACATGAATCGTGTTGTGTTATTTTCGAACAGAGCTTCCATGTCCAGTTTACAAGTTCACTCTCATTCCACGTGTAAGTGTACTTAACCTTAGCCTCAATCACTTTCACACGCTTAGAGAGGAGGAAAATTAAAAAAGAGGGCAATGTTCTTCCGTTTCCCTCTTCTATTTTGTCAATCCTTTTTTAAAAGGCCCTTTATGTGCTCCAATTTTAATAAGACTCAGATCTGTTCACAACATGCCGTTACATGAAACAAATAAAGAAGAGGTATTGAGATTGAGATGAAATGGGAACTGAATGTAAAGGTCCTGGGTTCGAGCCCCCACACAGCCCGAACGTCCAAACACTGGATATTAACCTACATTTGCAACTCTTTACCCAGGTGTTGGCCTTTGTTTTGTTGGTATGGCTTAGTCTGTGGCTACGAATCCCCAGTGTAGTCTATAGTGTAGTCTATAGAGTAGGCCTATGTGTTTCGTTGTGGTTTGTATTATAATGAGTAAATATGCTCTTTAGTACGTATTCTACTTAAATCCACGCCCGATACTGGGTGTGCCGGGGCTTTTGTTCGAAATCTGGGTTAACGAAGGAAGTTCGTCTGATACGTCTCAAGTTTGTTTTCGTTAAACGAGATTTTAGATCTAAGATTGTCGAGTTTAAATAAATTATTATAATTCTTGGACCGAATCCACTTACTCTCATTCCTCAAGGGCATATTTTTGGGGTATAATTATGTCATAGATTTGATTTTCTACATTTTCCGCCTTGTCCTCGCCTTGTCCCCTTTTATAGTCGATTTCTTATAATGGTAGTATCTCATCTCTGTTTCAGTCGATTATAGGTCTATCATTGTATTCCCTTTACTACCGACTTTTGTAAGCCCTCAGAAATGTAGAAATTTGAAGGGCAACTTAACAATGTTGCGAAAAATTCCAACAGACGGACAAGGACTAGGCCTGAAGTCGTCAAGCCCACTTGATCCCCCAAAACAAATCCAATATTTATTTTGTTCTGGTAATCTGGTGGGAAAAGTTAAATTCCAGTCCGTAAGTTACATATCAAACAGGATAACCTGTATTAGATGTATCGATATATCGGTCACACTAGACTTTAAACACAGGTGCAGGAAATAGGCTTTAATAACAGAAACGACAAATTCTATTGATACAATTAACTTCTCACAGTACAATGCACGTGACAAAAACAAGAGTTTACGATTCAGAATATTGATCTAATACTCTCTGTTTTCTGTCAAATAGAGGTTATACTTGTTTAAAGCCTGATCTATAGAAAAATGTTGGGATTATACAGTTTCACTTCTTTTATAGCCATATAAACTTTTGTTGGGGATGATTGCTATTTTGTCAACACCGTTTTGGGGAGACCTATAAAACTGTTAATAAAATATTGCACATTCTTGTTTCAAAACAAAAATCAATAATTGGCAAGCTTTGATTTTTCAATTTTGCCGGGATATTTTAAATAAGGTCAACTTATTTTATATGACAAAGTACTTTTTTATAGTAAGAGAGAGGTTTTATCGGGTTTTCAGGTTAAGAGATAAAGTTCGTTGAAAACGGTCTGACACTGACCTGAATTATACCGGTACTAGGACTGCGTTATAGTTACAACTATCGGTGATGAAGCAAATCTTATTAAAGTTCACTGTTATGCCGAGTTGAGATGGGAGGGGATAATTAGAGAAGAGAGGGGCCATGCAAATTCATTTCATTCCATCTATTTCCCATAATCACATCATCATAATATTTATTCTACATAACTTTATTTGTAACAGGTCACTATCTCCTTTATTATATAACTCTTATCCAGCTAGCTTCTGACGAATTCAAATAATCATTTATAGCTATCAGGTGATAAATTGTTCGGTTTACGTAATACTGATTGTAATGTTTCGGACAAGGCTATTGCTATGGCCATGTGTTGATTTCAGACACATCCACGCTAACTTTGTGATGACAAAAGCGTATTGCGTGTGGAAAGACTTATCTATTTTGTTTAAGTTTAGCTTTAAATGTTACCAGGGTTTGGCTATAGCTACACGTATTAAAAATTAAAAATCGTGTTCACTGTTCTTTCAATGCTTTTGCTAAAGATGTAATAAGTTACCCCAAATAATACAAACCATGCAATGAGTTACACCAATCGCACGGACTAATGAATATATATCCCTCGAGAACATGTCACCATCTTCGGCCTAACCAGCTCAGGGGGACGTTTCACAAAACTTGTCATCAGTGACAAATGAGAGTTTTTGTTATAAGCTACTGAAATCCTTGCTTCTAATTGGTTATCAGCAGATTTATCACTGGTTTTTGTCATTGTCATTGAAAAAAGGCTCAGTGAAACGGGTCCATGGTGTAGTGGGCGCAGGATTGTCTGATAGATAAGTCTCAGACCCTGGACCACATGCAGGAAACAGAGTTCGAATTCCTGCCGGAGTACTAACCTCATTTAATAAGACATTGAGCTACATTTGCCACACTCAACCCAGGTGAAGTAAGTAGGATTTATTCCTTGAATGCACTGAGCCCTATGGTAGCCTGAGCTAGAGCCTGGGTTATAGAAAGTCCTTTTGGAAGCCCTCGATCAGAGACGTTATATCATTATATTATATCCGCTATTATATACCTCACTTAAGTAATCCAGCCATCTGATTGGTCGAAATTGCATTCATAAACTTCAACTGTTCCTGTAAAATTCCCGGTAACCATGCTTAAAACATTTAATATTTTTAATAACCATGGTTATTAAAAAAATAGGTCAGTCTCCATGGTTACCCCATAGGTTTACATGTTAAAAAATGGTTTGAGCGATGGAGGATACCGTATGTGTGCGAATAATTGGTCGGTAATTTCAATACAATTGAATCTCGATCGATCTTACCGACAATTTTATCTTGCATTGTTGACATGAAGACGAAAATAAACTTCCAAAAAAAAAAACAACATCTGCCGATAGATCTTGATCTAAGTTCGTGCAAATATGCATTGCAAAAGTAAAATAAGAGTCCGTATATGGAGCTTTTGCGAAGCATTCATCACACGCAAAGCCGGTTTCAATCCATTTTAATGTATATATAGTACAAAACTGCCAAGCATGTTAATAACGCGCGATGGCCGAGAGGTCTGAGGCGCTGACTTTAGATACATCACCTTTTGTACGCAAGAGTTCGAATCTCATCTTGGACCAAAAAAAAAGGTATTTTTTATTTTTTATTTTTTAGTCTATTTTTTTTCGGCATATAAAAGTATTAATGACTGCTTTAATATTCGAGAAATAGTTGTTTTTATACGCTCTCGGGAAGGTTACCATTGGGCTATTCCCCTCGGCACGCCTCGGGTAATAGCACAATTCTAACCTTCCCTTGAGCGTATAAAAACAACTATTTCTCTCAAAGCAGTCATTAATACTATACTATAATACAAGTCTAAGAACAGAATTAAAACTATTAAATCCTGTCTACACTAATTTGGCCTGGGGGATTAGACCTCCCTGCAGGTAGTGATCTCATCAAATCAGCCTTCAATTAACATAAGAAAAAGGGGATCATGGGGGACCAACAGGGACCGATTAGGCATTGTTTGCAGAGGGGCTTTAATATTATGATTATGATGGTGAAGGTGTTGATGAAAAACCTACCTGAGAATGATTTGAGGTAGATACTAAAGATGATGGAGACCCCGCATAAGGCAGCCATGGACTGGTAGAGACGGAGAGGGTTAAGGCGACATCGGTCTACCAGAGGACCGGACACGATACGACCCACTGCTTGACTTAGACCTAACACTGCCACCAGCAATGTGCTGTACATGTCTTTTATACCATACTCAAGGGCCCGCTTCGCCTGTACATCACACAGACACAAGAAAATGAACAAAATTGTAGGTTTTTCTGGAAAACGGCCAGAGCATATTATAGTACTGATCGAAACGTCGAGAACAAAAGAGTACATCAGCCCTTTTCAGGGCTCTTATTCCTTTGACATAATTACATGGTGTAACCTTACAAACTGATGTGTACCACTGTTAATAAAAAAATATATAAACAAAAATTGAAAGAGACGATGTACAAAGACAAAATATATTTGGATGGAAAGGGCACTGAATTATGTTTAAATGCATAAAACTGCAGTAAGCCAGTCAGTAGCCACTCCATCTAGAGTCAGATGAGCCCTTGCGTAGTTCTCTAATATTGATTTGCCACTTAAATTTCTAAACGATATACGAAAGAAAAGTGTCCACATCTCTATACAGGTCATTTGCCTGTTGTGGTCACCATTAATTATTGTCTTCCTCTATAAAGAAATGTGTGTTGTAGAACCTAGTTAGAAAGGTCTTCAGTAGCCAATCTCCAGTTTGTCTCGAGTCGCCTTGATAACGTAACTTGACATTATCTAACCCTAACGTAACTTGACATTATCTAACCCTAACGTAACTTGACATTATCTAACCCTAACGTAAATGACCAATAATGTAACGATTATATTTTTTGCCAAAGCGGGAAGTTTTCTTAAGCTACGATCTTACCACATGAGCAGAAACTACAGTCATCCCAAAGAATGATAGGTTGATGCCCATCAGAAAAGACAGGTACATAGGGTTCTTCCAAAGTACAAAACCGTACACGGAGTCCAGGAACGACACAATGTTGGACCATACCCTGCAACATGCAGAAGGCGATGTTTTACCATTTGCATCAGCCTCCTTTGCCTTCTTGTGAACTATTTCAATAGTCTCGAATGTTCCGTTTTGTGTGGATCCATTGTATTTAAGGTTTACATCCATCTTGACATATTTTGTAGTTAGTGAGTTGGAGTTTCTGTCCCCAACTACCAATGTGTTAGTCCTGAAAACAGCGCCCTCTGTTCCGTTAGGTTCATGTACAGGGTTAGCTGTGATGCTAATGCCTTTTGCCGCAGGGTCCTCCTGTGGCAATTCTTTGTAGGTGATGCCTCTTACTTCTTTGGTCTTTGCTTTTAGTTTATCCTCCTCTGCGGGGGTCATGCGTCGCAAACCCAGTTTGACCGGACGCATCACCGCTGCGGCCACGCATAGGTGGGCGTTGATGGCACTCAAGATCATCATGGTCCCACGCCAGCCGAACTCATCGACCAGGTACTGAGTGACGATCGACATGAAGATGGTCCCGAGTCCTGTTCCAGACATCGCCAGTCCCGTAGCCGTGCCGATTTTGGTGTCGAAGTAGCGGCTGAGCATCACAATTGCAGGCATGTGACTCAGTCCAAATCCAATGCCTGGAATAAGAAAGTGACGGAAAACATGATAATGCTGAGACACAAATGACAGTAGGCCTATCTTTGGTGCAGTGGAGTGCTCGATTTGAATTAGTTAGATAATAATTATCATTAATGTCAGTTAATTGCACGGATGTTCCTTTTATCTGAATTGTATCATAAAATTGTACGGATAAAGCAATGAGCATATAAAAATAATCCAAAATCTGACATTTCTTGCACCATCCAAAACTTCCACCATTTTATGTAACCGCTGCAATCGGAACGGGGGGGGGGGGGTAGGTTACGTAAACCTGTTGGCACATTTGTAAATGTTATCTTTAAACTTCTTATGAGCCATTGGTACAGATATGTTTTTATTTTGTTGCATTTTGTTTTAATAACTGAAGAAGATAAATCATCGTGAATCTCGAAGCTGAATTCCACGATGGGGTTTCACATCACTTGAAAGAAACTACCCCCAAATATGCTGTAGCCATCATGCAGACGGCGGTAGCCTAATCACGGTGAAAAGAGTAAAAGGTCAACAATTTTTCTCTTACAGCAATCGAGCAAAATATAATCAGATAAAAAATGAAACGTGCTGCAATGCTTGGACATACGACATCATCAGGGATAATAATTAGACCGGTCAAGGACGTTAACTGTGTACTGTAAGCACTGGTGCTTTATCTGCGGGCAGCTGCTTGTAATGGTGTCCCGGGCGACATAATAAGCAATTGGATAATTATATCAATACAGCCTTAGAGTGCACACCAGAACATTTTCTAAATTGCAAACTGTTTTTTCGCTTCATTGGAAATCAAATTCAACCATTCAATTCAAGTATTTAGCGGCATGAAACTTTCATGAATCCGATTCAGTATAGCTCGCCTTAGTTTAAGGTTTAACATTACTACTTCTGTATTACATCTCGAATCGAGAAAGCGAGACGTATGCTATAACTGACGCCCACATGCTCATGTAAAGCCCGATGTACATGGTGCGTCATTCTGGTTTCTGATTGCGTTATTTCCTACGCTAATAGAGTCATTTAAAGGGCATGCGATGATCCTCATCGCTCATAATATGTAACTGATATGGGTGTGCAGGTGTTGTACCGTTCACGATGAGTTTTCATATCGTGCTCTTTAAATATCGCGGGACATAAATAATTGTCCTACCTATAAGGGACGGGTCGTCTTACTCATCAGAGACCTAATTACCTGCAGCGACTATGTCAGGAAATTCGGTGATCAATCAATCAAAAATATTGGTTGGTTATGTGAAAGAGGGCTTAACGATTTCAATGCTATTTACCAGTCCATAAACTTGCACAAATTATCTAGTTGTTAGTATCGGCTTTAATGACGGTGATCAAACGATCCTTGTTTACTGGGTTATTTCGTCGAAGATATTAATGAGGGATCGGGCTTTAGTTATGTTTAAAATACAGCGTTAGGTTTCGAAATGAGGGATTCGGTCAGTGCAAAGGTGACATCCGAGACAAACATTCTTTCGTTTACCTGTCGCATTAAAGGAAGTTCATGTTCACGCTCGCAGAGGATGAAATACAGACTTCTTCCAATAAAAAAAAAAGGCAACAGTCGTCGAGAAGTTCGAAAGGGCACCGTTTGGTTTACTTCACACGTGTTATCATGATGACGAATCCGGGCTCAGATTCCACTTATAGTATTGACATTGTCATCAAGTATTTATACACATAATGTATAATGACGATCAATAGTCATTATAAAACCATAAAAGTTTGATTAAACATTGAGAGGCATGCAATGGTTGCACTTGATATACGTGTTTGGGCTTTGTGTAGGATTATCATGACGTTATTGTCTTGTCCATGGGCCGGTGACAGACAAGAAAATAGGAGCGATATTTTTGGAAGTACGAACCGGTTTAAGGACAAATGATAATCCGTATTTCTCTCAAAACATAATCCGAATGGTCCTAATATCAAATTTGATTTCCATTAAGGATTACAAACACTAAAATGTCAATTACGGAGTTAGGAAAAGTAGTTAAAGTACTATATCACCCATTACAGGCGCGTACGCAGGGGGGGGGGGGGGAGGGTGTTTGGGGGGTTAATCCCCCCTTTAGTATTTTTATGTTTATAAACCCCCCTAATAAAAAAAAATTAAAAAAAACCCTTTGGGTTTTTTTTTTCTCTTTTTTTTTTTTTTTAATAATAATAATAATTAAAAAAAAATATTCCCATGGCTGACCTAAAAAAGGTGACCTTACCCCCCCCCCCAAGGGAGCAAAATGTCAAATTTTCAAATTTCAAAAAAAAAGAAAAAAGTGTCCTCTTACCACCCCCCCCCCCCCCAAGGGAGCAAAATGTCAAATTTTCAAATTTCAAAAAAAAAAAAAAGTGTCCTCTTACCCCCCCCCCCCCCCCCCCCCCCCCCCCCCTTGAAAAAATCCTGCGTACGCGCCTGACCCATTACGATCCAATTGTTCTATTGACATAAACATGGAAAATGGGCAGCGCACTGTCCGGCCTTACCCCTCGACCACTTGGGGGTATGGTTGTACGTAGGGCGGCGGGAGATAGGGATAGCGGATTCATAATGGTGATGATAACAATATTAAAACTAATATTGGACATATCCACCACCCAAGTTGCTCAAGGTGATCCAATATTACCCCCGATCTCAGTGATCACAGAATTCAATGAATTCCTTCCTGCCGGTGCCCATTTAGACCTATTTAAAACCTGGATGTAGATTAAAGATAAACTTTAGTACTGGTAATGCGATTGCGTTGTGAAAGAAAATGTGTGGAAAGGATCAGAAACAGTTGATCATGTAGCATGTAAGTATTGGTGTGCACTGCAAGGTTATGGAGTCATCAAAATCATAATAAATTTGACCGAGTCTTGGTAAAGTAGCAAGCACTGTACACAGAAAGCTATATATGGGACAACACACATGGTGTCGGGGCTAGTACTACCTTGATTTCCTCGTCTTTCTATGCTCATTACTCAGCCAGTATACATTTTCTTCCAAAATTGTTTGGCACATGTCATTTATTTGTAATCTTGAACATTCAGTGTAAGTTTCGTTTGATTCTGTGAGAATTCATTTTCTTTTTTTTTACCAGAACTGGAGTTTATCTTTAATGTCTTGACAAACACTAGTGCCGCGCCGCCTGGACTACTGAAGAATGTATGGAAAGACCGTTTATCACTTGTAATTGATAGCTTTTTTTGTGGAAAATTCAGTTCTCTTTTACAGAAATGGGTGTGTTTTATTATAAAATAGAGCCCATGTTTTACTGACCTCCCACCAAACCATACGTGATGGTGAGCATGGTGAAATCTGTCGCGAAAGAGCTTGCTAAGATTGCGAGCGACGAAATGACTCCACCCACGAAGATGACTTGACGATGACCGTACTTGTCGGCCAGGAGTCCGGCATAAGGGTTGGTTACCACCATCGTCATGAAGATGAGGGACCCCGGAACGGCTGAAGGGAGATAAAAAGAACAAAAAAAAAACGGATTTAATTGAAGACTTCCATCGTAAACATCATAGTGATGATCGTCATCGTCATTATCAGCATCATCATCGTTAGCATCATTATCGTCGTCATCAACAACATCATCGTCATCCATTAATTATTATTTAGTCGTCATCATAATTAACATTCTTTTTATTCATAAATGTCTTAATAAGTTCCTTCTTTATCTCCATTCGTATCCTCCTAAATCCAATTAATCATTACCATTATCGTCATCATAATGCGCATCATCATTATCATCATCAATTACCCTAGGATTTGATCCATATGCCTATCCCTCTCCTCACCACCACCACCGTCATCATCATCATCATCATCATCATCAACCTCATCATCATCATCCTCATCATCATCCTCATCATCATCCTCATCATCATCATCATCATCACCACCACCACCATCATCATCCTCATCATCATCATCATCATCATCATCATCATCGTTGTCATCATCATCATCACCACCATCATCATCATCATCATCATCGTTGTCATCATCATCATCATCATCATCATCATCATCGTTATCATAATTTCCTTCAATTTCACTCGGATATCCCTTATTTCACCGCACGTACAATACACATCTACAATGACAGACAACTCCATGGACAGATGAACTATATTCTTTACTAGATAAAAACAAAGTATCTATTGCATACTTTGGGAGTTACAAACGATAGGTATAACCAGTGGCGTACGCAGGATTTTTTCAAAGAGGGGGGGGGGGGGGGGGGGTTAACATTTTGAAATCGGGCCAAAAATTTCGCAACGACTCAGCCCGCCGCTGAATAAGCGGGGGAGGGGGGAGGGGGGTCTCGGGTTAAACCCCCCCCCCCCCCCTGCGTACGCGCCTGGGTATAACACCATCCAATACGTATCAGTTTCATCTTTCACATCCAGATATTTTATTACATGAATGTGCATATGGAGGTATAAAAGTGCATATGGAAGTATAAAAGTGAATACAAGCTACGTCGTGATATTATAAACACTTTATACAATCCGATTCATCAATATGGTCGTGTTCTCACCGTTGCTATATCATATCAGCTGGTAAAACTTTACACCATTTTTGCTAACAGCAATTCGATGGAAATCATTTAGACAAAATAATATGGAGAGTATGGGTATGATGTGTTTTTTTACAGCAGCTCCGACATCATGAACATTGTACTATTTTTAAATGACTTATTTAAGTAAAGAGCGTTGGAATTTCTACCCCTTTACATTCCAATCTTCACCAAAATCCAAAGGCACATTCGATGAATTTCTAGTCTAAGCAATCTGGTGTTTATAATCTTGGTTTAGTGTTATATAGGCTATTGTTGTGATGGCTGCACTGTAATCTGCTTCAATTTTTATTTTTGTCCCAGACAGAGGCGTATTCACGGCATGTTCGCACGCAGAGTTCGCAGGAAGCAGAGTCCGAGAGGGAGGGTGCCCCCCCCCCCCCCCCTCCGAAGATTGATCGACGCCAATAATATTGCTGTCGTCTAAATTTACATGGAGCCTTTGACATGGTGATCAATCCTACTCTTATGCAATAAATCGAGGATCCCGACCAGGCCGTGGACGGTTCTTCTTCTTCTTCTTCTTCTTCTTCTTCTTCGATTACATCCATTTCTTTTCTTCTTCTTCTTCTTCCTCTTCTTCTTCTTCTTCTTCTTTTCTTCTTTTCTTCTCCTTCTTCTATACTTCTTCTCCTTCTTCTTCTTCCGCGATTTATGCAAGGGTCACTCTGTGGCCTGGACCCACCCTCCTCAGAGGTCGCCAAATATCGACGTCGACTCGACGCCTAAGCCTGACCCTGACCTATTTGTTGTTGTAGTGAAGTCCTAACGTTCGTTTTTCTTCATTGGGTGAAGCTTTACTATACAAATTGATGAAATGTGTGAAGCTTTGACGAGTAATTTGTTTTTTCTGGTGATGTGACATCGAATCCAATCGGTCGCCTTGTTTGTTCAGGTGATGTGACATCGAAGCCACTACCGGTCGCGTCGAAAATATGTCGAAATCGTGCGTTTCAAAACAACTATTTAATGTTTATTCCGGTCACTCATGCACTCGCATGATTCATCAAAACCGTTTAGCATTTCTCGCTCCGGTTAACCGTTATTTGCATACATTTTGGAATGTGCTAATAGCCGATGATAAAGATAATCAAAGAAACCGCAGTGTAATATTACACCCTGGCCGCTGCGCGCTAGCTTTCTGGCAGCAGTTATCCCCATGAATGAATTTGTAAACAATAAAACAACCAGCCCCCTTCTCTCTTTTCTCACCCTCTTTATTCCCTTCTCTCTGCAATGTGTCCATCGCTCATGTACCTTTTCTTATTACTGCACTCTCAGCTCACAACTTTCTAAATGTTTACACATTCGATCGTCAGTTCCTCTCACATCCCTTCTCCCCCGAGTCTCTCTCTCTCTCTTTCAATATTAATATCCATCCCTTGCCGACTCGCCCCCTAAAATAATGTTCATATATAAATAAAATACAAAAATATTGATAACAATAATAATTGAAGTTTTAGAAATATCAATCAACAAAGTCTTGGATATTATTTGTGAGTAATTTAAGTTTTTGATCATTCTTCAATTCAGCCGATTAACACAGCCACCCTTTCTTACTTCGATCTTCACTCATGTCCCTGCCTCGTCCATGCTAGGGACATGCAGGGACATGCTAGCCCATATGCATGCTCTCTCAGTCACACACACATGTACACACAAACCTCCGGCGCCCAAATACACTGTACATACACACAGATGGAGAGCTCATGCTTGTCACATGCACACATGTGGGCGTGGCTTCTTGACCTCCCACTGAACTGGGTACGGTGAAAGCACGCGCGGTCACCAACCTGTAATTTATGCTGGTATCAAACTCCACCCACATAGCTAGAGAACCTTCCTGATTGGTCACTAACTTGGATCAGCTCATTGCAGGGTGTGTCTTGGGTGTGTGTGATACACACTTCCACATAATTTCATATGGCAATGATACATGCAGGGAGCTCTCTCCCTGACCATGTGCAAACATTGCATTGCAAAGGCATATATAAACACGTCACAGATCAGCTATCTTCACAGAGTAACTTTGCAAGGTTAATCATGATATCAAATTCAGATGAGGAATAATAAGACATGTTTTATCTTGTTTATTACTGGTCTCTGTTTATCAGGATGACCCAATTTGTGCCATAGTCCGGGGCTGGGAATGCTCAGCCCGACAGTCTGAAGACCAGCAGGGTTCCGAGCTACAGCACTATTAAAAATACTGTATTTTCACTTTTTCAGATTATTATTAAACGGTTAAACGAAACCGCCAGTATACTTTTAACGGTTAACCGTTTAGCACAAAAACCGTAATGACTCAGGCTTAGGTGAAACAGTGGTGAAGCTTGAACTATGCAAATGGCCAGTATGGTGAAACAGTGGTGAAGCTTCAGACCGGCCGAAAACTTACAAAAGTGAAGCCTCACCTATGGAAAACTGACACAAGTGAAGCCTCACCTATGTAAAACTGACAAAAGTGAAGCATCACCTATGCAAATAATTCAAAGGGTGAAGCCTGGACTAACACATTTGCTGATAAGAGTGATGCTTTGCCTTTGTTTTTTGTAAAGCACATGAAGTGATGGTGAAACCCTGAGGTTACAAATAATTGGCTCAGGTGAAGAAAGGTGATGACCTGAGGAGGGTGGGTCCAGGCCACAGAGTGACCCTTGCATTAATCCACACTTCCTTCCATTGTGAGTGTGTGTCTTGTCGGAGATATGGAAGGTGATTTTGTTGTTTGCATGAAAGAACAGCTTTGAGTAAATACTCACCGGAAAAGTGCACAAATAAAATACACCATCCGAAAGCACATACACGTAATACGTGGTCATTGGTCATTGTATACTATACAATGACCACGCAGAATATACTGCCCTGATTGGAGAGGGAAACATGCGTCCAAAATCTGAACACACAAGGAATATATATGCAATGGACCTAATTAATATGCAATCACGTCGAATTCTACGGGTCGGTTGGATACGATACATACTTTTCCTACCCTGCGATCAATATCCGAACACACTAACTGAATTCCTCACTTAATTAATCAACACTGGACTAAACAATGTATACCTATCCCTAACCCGAATCTAAATCTAATTTCAACCCTACAAACCATGACCTATACCTTTGGCAAAGTATGGTCTGGCGGGGTCAAACGTCAGTGCACAGACACTAATCAGTTTGGTAATAAAGCAGGGTGCGTCGATATCTTTTATTACTGTACATAACATGTAGTGGTATTTGCAGAGGTCTTAATTAAAAAGACAGTTGTGGTTTGAATAATTATCTCCGATAGAGCATAGACGTAATAGGATAGAGCGCTGGTATACTTGAAATTACATTCGCCGTTTTAGCATGATGACAGTACGTAGCTCTGACAACTGTGGTGTCAAAGTCTCAAACTGAGGTTGAAAGATACTAAACATGACTTATGTAGACCTATACATTGGGCTAGGAGCATGCCTTTGATACATCGTTTGTTTAAGAATTACACAACGTTGCCAAAAACGGATAAATATTATCAGCAAATTATTGAAGGGGACTTTAGAGAATTGAAGCAAACACAAAACGTTTGCTAAATATCAAAATATTGTATTTGCTCACAGAGTACAAAGTATAAGATTTTTCTTATAATTACAGCTTTTATTGAACTGAATTGTTAAGAAAAATGCTTTGTCGGCTTTGAAAGACCGTCAACACTACTGGGCCAGAAGGGATTAGACCACACAGCGAGGTCACTGACAGGTGGCTATCTCATTGACTCAACTCTCAACTAACATAAGAAAAAGGTTGGGGTAGTTTTCTATATAGAGGGAGCAAGTAGCTACAAGTAGGACAGTGGGGCTTTAAATGTCTAAAATAACTTGCCAAATGATAATAATGACGTGGTGGAATTCGAACCGCGAACCATGCATGTGATTCACGTCCAGCGACATATCTACTAGACCATAACATGCACCTATCTGGGTTAGGGCTTGGTTGAATATTTAGGAATTTCGTTATCCCTATACAAAATCATACGCCGCAGAGAAATTGTCGAAGGAGCGAGTACCGTTTACCATCGTTTTCATGTAAGGTAATAATTTGCGAGTCAAGAGCAGGAAATGTTCTTGCCAATAATGTATTGGGGTGGGGCGGGGGTCCTGGGGGAGGGGCTCATGTTTTTTCATGCATATTTTACATCATATTCTACATGTGCCACGCGATTTTATTTATTTATTTTTGGGGGGCGGGCGGGGGCGAAGAAAGGTGGCTAGAAGAAATTTTGGAGGAGCTTTGCGCCCCAACCCCCTCACCCCTAAAAGTACCACTGGTCTAGGATCATCCTAAATTTAACTACTGGCTTACTTGGGCCAAGGTACGAACTCTTTGGCCCGAATTCACAAAGGAGGTTTGTCGACAAACCGAGGTTTATGTACGTCATAATATTATGACGCGTTTTGACGCGTTTTTTACAAACCTGGTTTGTAAAAAACAAAAGGAGGTTTGTCGACAAACCTCCTTTGTGAATTCGGGCCTTTAGGTTCACCCGACGACCTTGAAATATAACTTTTCGCAAGAGAACAATAGACCTAACGAAAATTAAAGTTTTCTACTTTCGTGTTGAACGTGGCCCCAAATACAATTAGCCTACTTTTCTCTGGCACTTCACCCTAATTTCTGCAAACATAACAGTGAGGATTTCTTCATTAAACCCTTAAAGATACCCGAAGTACAGATCTGAGTTCCGATGTGAATTATTATTAGGAAGAGAAGACTTGTGCACCCTCCACTTGAACGAGTAAGATATTCTAAAAGTTCACGAAGGGCGGCACAAGGATATTTCCTTAGGGGAACAAAGGTCTCCAAAAAGCTGAAGAGATTAATTTGATTTTTCAAAACAGCTCGCCAGCCTATATTCTTACACTTTTATAAAATACAAACATTAAAGTTGAGGGATTTTGAATCACTTCTTCCATTATTCTCATCTGCATTCAAGCTATTCGAAATTTATTATTTATCTATAAAATGGTAAATCTCCTGTCGTTTTTTCTATTCGGATCAATCAAAATTGTGCGCTTCATATTGTTAAACATTGCACCAATAGTAGGACAAAACGTCTAATGTTCCTCATTAGAATTCTCCAGACAATATTGCAACGGATAATATATGAGCATACCCACAAATGTGCCCAATTTTTTTTCTAAGTGCGCTGGGGGGGGGGGGGGGGGGGGGGGGGTTGGGGGTTGAACGCCCCCCTTAACTTTTTGTATGTGTGTGTTTTTGGAGGAACCCCCCCCCCCCCCCTTTGTTTTTTTTTAAATGATAAAACAACCAATAACAACAATGGTGGTAATGGCCTTCCCCCCCCCCCCCCCCAACGAAACGAAATATCGATCGGCCAAATTTGCAAATTTTGGGACACAAACACACAAACAAATGTACTCTTACCCCCTCCCTCCCCCCTGCTTATTCAGCGGCTGGCTGAGTCGTTGCGAAATTTTCGGCGTGATTTTCAAATTTTAACCCCCCTCGAAAAAATACTGCATACGTGCCTGGTCAGGACTATATACCTCCAGTCCTCCAGTGCAAATTCGGTCGTATGCTCCACATGCAGGATGTAGCACAATCTTGCGTGTTGAGCGATTTCTTGAATTAGATCAATCTCCTGTCATAATCTTAGTACTTTAGTAGGAACTATTCTCTCCTGAGCTGGTTCTGACGTCGACGACTCAGCGAGTATCCAACTTCCTAATCAGGTTTAGTGATAGATAAACTAATCAGCTCTAGATACGATGAATGATAACCCTGTGTGAAAAGGCTGAATGTGCACCGTCGGAACATCTTCATGTATAGCAGTTCCCAAGATACTCTTTACTTTATACAAACACCAGAACATTAAACAAAACAGACAAATAATAGTAAATATAGGAAATCGAACATTTTCATGCGACGCTGAAAACTGTGAAATAACTAAATTAAGAAAGTACCATCTTGAAACTATTTTAATTTTGTTTTTCCTTGAACTGTTCATAGTAGTGTCAAACACATCAGCTTTTGCAGCAAAAAATATGTTTGCATGTAATTGTATGAACCACCTGAGCGTTGTAGATTTGTATTACTCTAAAGTTGATATTATCATCAATCACATAGACTATTTATGAATTTATCCCTTATCTAAAATTGAAATCGACAGATTAACAGTTTCCTTTATCTTGCCAAGGTCGATTATACTTCACGAATATAAGATCATATGAAATGAAATATCTGTTTTCATTTAGAATCACATTTTGTTATCAGGCGGAAGATAAGAACGACAAGGTCGAGAAGAGAATTGGACGTGCAAAGTCTAGGTACAGATACATGCTGGTTGAAAGTATAATGTGATATTTACGTCATGGAAGATAATCTAAAGAAAGAAAATTGTTAAGAACCGTCAATGCATGAACTTAGCCTTGGGAGTTGTATTAGGTCTATTGTGATGCAGTAAAACGTTACTAAGTCTTGGAATGCACAAGTACAGAACTCCTTGTCTCATAACACAAATACAATCAACAGCCACTGAGTCTCATTATTATACCCCGCTCTGCTGACAAGCAGACTTCAACCTTCCTGCTCCAACGTTACCCGTAAAATACAGTTACCAGCTACCAGCCACTGAGTCTCAGGTATCCCCGCGCTGCGCTCTTAGGTATAGCCATATACATGTACTTGACTTTATATCCTGCACGATTTTACAAGCAGTCTACATCGTATGCTTACCCGTAATGGCTTTACTCTGGTCGAAAGCATCCAGAAAGGCGATGTACAATATTCCGAACGCCCAGCTCGACCCCGTCGTGATGACGAAGACAAGGAAAGTACCAAAGGTGATCATCCAACCCCATCCTCCATCTGGCTTACAATCTCGGACATAGCGATGCCTCGACGTCGCAATCGAACCCTCTTCGTTGACGTCGGGCCCGCGGAGGCCTACCCCATCATTGGGGCTCGCCTCAACCCCAGGCGCCGCAGCCATCATCTCTACTCGGTACCTAACAGCTGACTGCTAGCTAACTCTGCGTGTCTGTCAGCTCCCACACCCGTATTTACCTAGATATTATGTAATCTTCCTCACGCGATAGTCTGTGAACAAGACATTACAGCCCCGTTGTAGTACTGTCTAGACCGACCTATATCCATGGCATTGTAGAGCAGAATTCTCTAGAATTATATTATCCCGGACAAAGTTCAAATTCGGATCAAGAAATCTTCATCAAATACTCATCAGGACGTATTTGATCAATGAGTTCAAACAAGTTGCGTAAACATCATTTCACCGTTTGTAAAGTATTTATTTATACGACAGATTTTTTTTTACCTTAACGTTACCTTTCTTTGTTATCCAGTTGAATGAGCACGTCCCATGAGAGAATTTTTTCCCTTTTCTTCACAGAATAAATGTTTTTGTTATTTAGACCACGAACGTTCCCCTCTATATTCAATCAAAATCGTCATGGTACCTTTTCTCTCCTTCCGTTTTTCGTTCGATCCTCTTATTTTCCATCGAATTTCTAAATTTATTCTCAATATTGTGTCCTGCTTTTTTATTTGGGATCTTTCCATATTGAATGATACATCCCTCTCCCCCTTTATCTATCTATCTATATAATTATATCGATCTATCTGTCTATCTATATAGTTTATATTTTTCTACAACTCTCCCTATCTCTCTCTCTCTCTCTCTCTCTCTCCCTTTCCCTTCTCACTCTTTATTTCTCTCCCTCTTTTTATTTATCTTTTCTCTCTCTCTCTATCTCTCTCTATCTCTCTCTCTCTCTCTTTCTCTCTCTCTCTCTCTCCTTAATAAATAAAAAACAATAAAATAGTAATAATAATTATAAATATATTTTTTTAAATAAAAAAAAATCTGGAGTTGCCATGTATTACATTCGTCTCCCTGACTCTTCCTTTCTTTTCTTCTCTATCCTCAGATTAGCTTAAAAATTGGCCTCTCCTTGAATAAATTACATGGTCAAGATTCCACTTTCGATTGTTCTTATTCCTAGCCTGTTTCCTGATAGTCACCCGGTATATCAACTCACTTCCTTGTCCTGTTTGTTCTTCTCCTTCATCAGGGGATTTATTTCACCTTCGAATCTTCCAAATCAATAGAACATTAATCATACATAAATAACACAAAGTGTAACTACAGCCTCACATTTAACTTACACACTCAAATTGTCATGAACGGCAACAATTCATTTGGTAATAAAGTTATCTTGTCGTCTGTTTGTATTCTTTCCTTTCTGCTACATTTCCTTTCTATTCTTTTTCTGCTTTGACTTTAAACACATTTTTCAATTCAGAATCTATTTTTATCTTTTCCAGTCTTGTCGCGTTCCAAATTACTTTACGTACATCCCAGAATGCTATATAAAAATAGAATTAGACTGTAATAACTTTCTTTTTTTCAGTAAGTGAAAAAAGCTAATCTTGGTCTTGGTTCTTCGTCATCCTCGTTGTTGCTTGAAATGAGAGTCTGATTTTAAATGTTTAATTATTATGCAAAAATATAATGATAATGATAATAACAAAACAATACAAATAACATTGTAGGAAGTCTTATAATACGAACACATAATACTCTTGATATAAAATGAACTATTTCAACATTCTTATATTCTGTTCCACTTATTAAAGTGAGTGTGATGGTGTTTGTTTAGTATATACCACTAATGAAAATATATTCCGTTTTGGCATTTTTAAATATTCGATATTTGAATCATCTACTTGTAGTACTTATATTCAAGGCCACATCAACATTCAAGCAGGGAAAGGGACATGGTGTATTTAAGCACTATTTTGAAAGATGTTGATTTATAATCCTTATCAATACAGTAAAGATAGAAAATTGTGCTAAATCAACCAGAATACCAACTCCTTTATAATAATTTGAAAGTGTACAACAGGTCTGCAACATCAGACTATCCGAGTGGATCAGCTGTGTTGACATGATTGTGCGGGTGCGGGCAGGCGAAAAAGATTGAAATTATTGCTTCGTCATTTTATTTTTTCACACTATTATAATGACTATGTATCCTTCATAACAAGACTGTGTCGACCTATGGGAATATCACTTTCTTGTTCATTGCGATGCAATTTGTAAACCGGTCGTGCTGATAAGTAGGCCTACATTTCATCACGATTACGTTTAGTTATTTGGATCACTGTGATCTAAATATAGAATATTGCAGTGTCAAATCAGGAAGTGCTTGGTCGAATCGACGGGCATGGAGTGGTTTTTGCTCAATGTTAGACCTATCTATATACCATTTCACCAATGTGTATTCATGTTTTTGAACGGCTCTACTCCTCAGAGCTTACCTGTACGAGTTATTATATGTCTGAAAACAGGCTGCATAATTATATCAGTTGTTTATACGAATTATTAGCAGACAAGCCTCTAAATATAGCAGGCTTCAGGGTCGCCTTTAGATTTGCGTTTAATAGAGCCATGCATAATATTTGAATTCACTTCTTTTGGCGAACTGGTCAAGTAGGCGATCGTTATTTACTGGGCGCGGCCAGCCGAAATTTCTTTACAAATTGGTCTATTTTTGTTTGCAACCTTGTGTGAAATCGAGCAAAACGAAAACTGAGACAAGAGTCCATGTTATGCCCTTTGGATTGTTGATTTAATAAGCGAAGCGAGGCCATCCCCTTGCATGGACAAAGAATTCTGACAATTAAGGAACAAAAGACGTAGGACAAGCACCATTAATTTTTTTTAGTCAGAGCTTATAGTTCAGTTTTAATTTGAAGCCGAGGAAGGCGAGTCGATCACTGTTTTCTGTTCTGAAAATGAAACGCAATCAATATAGTACTGTAAATACAGATGAATGTATTGCCGTCCGTACGAATCCATATGCAAAATCTAATGATTTTGTTCTCATTTTCATAATCGTGACATCTGCCATTTTTTACACAATCATTGTTCAGTAGGAGCGATAAATTAAGGACGTGTAATAAGTGTATTGAAAGAGGTACGTGCAAGCAAAGTAAGGAGAATGGATGGCACAGTGACTAGAGCAATGGCCTCGTAATCGGAAGGTCCTGGGTTCAAAACCAAGTCGAAGCGCCAGTGCCCTTTGGTAAAGCATTAATCCTCATTACCATGTCCCTCGGAGAGGACTTAAAGCCGTTGGTTCCCTGGTTGCTCGCTTACAAGCTTACACAGGCTCACAATCTACCAAACCATAATGTTTGTGTTTCTAGCACCTGTCTGGTATATAATACACCAGTATACACGGTTCACAATAATTCCGAATAAGATGCTTCTACCCAATGGCCTGAGAAGCGAAATATTGCATTCATCTCCTACCAGCTACAATGCATGACTATAATGTATTATATCTCTATAGAAAGAATGCAGCTTGTTGTTGCTGTGTCAGTTATTAAGTACATCATCATCAACACTTCGGAAGGGTCGATTTGTGTAATACAATGGCCTTGCAAATTACCTCTATCTGGTGTTGATTAGCTCCATGACAACCCCTTGACACCATTATTGATTAATCTTGCTCTTGAAACGGTTAAATAATCTTGAAGCACTCGATAAGGCTATAACATGACAAATTAATACACTACAAAACAGGAAGATCATATTTGTGTGACATGAAGAATTAAACTGATTGGCGCTTTTAAAATACTGAAACGGGTGCATGATTTATGCATTTAGTCATACCATTTGATATAGGCTATCCGCAGATGGGTAAAGCATTTAAACCTTCGTTGCTATTTGCTAATGGGAGAGAATGAATAGGCCGCGGAACGTGATTTCATGATAATGAGCCTAGGGGCGGAAGAATTCGATCAGCTATCAAATGTCGATCATGGATTTTGTTGTTTTTACATCTCTAAATATAGATGCAGATGATAAGTGTAAGTGGCGAAAGGAGTAATTTCTTGACTTTACCCCCACCCCCCCCCCCCCCCCCCCCTCTCCGGAGTAAATCTTAAACATACCTTATTTAAAAGGACTTTTTCTAAGTTTCTGAAAATGGGTCATTAATCTTGTAGCATCACCATGGAAAACAGCCTTGCATATAATTATAGACCAACCCCATTTTCATGACAAATCGCATAGACGTTACAAAGAAAATGTATGTTTATTTTCCATATGTTTTTATTTTGTTATCTTTTGTTACTGGATTTTTTTTTTTTGTATTACGCAATTAATTTGTACACCGTTTATTTTGATCCACAAACTCTCTGAAAATAGTTTAGAACGAAGCAAGTGACCGCGATTAGATAAATAAATAAAGTGAAATTTTCTGGTTAATTGAATTCATTTACATATTTTACTCTCCATTAAAATCATCTATGTTATAATATTGGTGTATGGTGGAAATGAACGCAGCATCGTATTGAATCTCTCTTTGCTATCGTTGCCATGTCATGGTAGTCAATAATGAGATATCTCCTTCCTCTTTTGCTTTATTTATTTTTCTCTTTCCTAACCCGTGTTTTTCTCCCAATATTCCGAGGCATTATACAAACGAATCTCCTTCCTCCATTTTTACAACAACATCTACCGTAATACTGGATACCTTTGTCTCCGGGGTATGTTCGTCAATCTCGTTCCATTCGCGCTTTCTCCGTTTCTATGGCAACCAGTTGACCGTTGCTATGGCAGCGCTCGTTTGGGTGTTAAATACGCTTCACTGGTGCATCTACTCGCTTTAATTTATGTCTCTATGTCCCCCACCCCCTCCTCTATCTCTTTCTCATTATCATGATTTTCCCTATTTACTTGACCATTTTCTCTTCTCCCGAAGCCAAATCCCTCACCCTCTCTCCTTGTCTCTGTATACTTTATATATGTCGATCAATCTCTGTCTCTAACTCTCTCTCTCTCTCTCTCTCTCTCTCTCTCTCTCTCTCTCTCTCTCTCTCTCTCTCTCCCCCACCTCTCTCTCTCTCTCTCTCTCTCTCTCTCTCTCTCTCTCTCCATCTCCCGATGTAACACTCGCGTAAAATCTTATTCAAGGGATAGTTGAGTTAAGTTACAGAGGGCGCTACACAGAATAACTTTTTCGTATGGTAATGATAAACCGAGTGTTAAATTCTAAATAACATACAATTTAGATAACAACATCATCTTTGTTTGATCAAAATCGTTTGAGAGACGGCTGAAATATCCATAAATCTAACGATTTCTAATATTTGGATGGTTATGGTGCCCCACAAATATTCGATAATTTGAACCAGCCGTTGAAAAAATATTCCAGCCAATGCCAATTTTGGTTTTTATTGACTATAGGGATGTCAGTCAGTCAGGGACAGACATACAAAGAGACAGAGAGACATGCATAGAATCAGAAAATGAGATTGACAGGTAGCCACACAGAGAAAGAGAGAGAGAGGGAGAGAGAGAGAGAGAGAGAGAGAGAGAGAGAGAGAGAGAGAGAGAGAGAGAGAGAGAGAGAGGGGGGATAAATGAGTGAGGTGAAAGTTAGAGGGGTGGAGTTTACGAATAATTTTATTTCAATAGTCAGAATGCGAAATGCATAGATCGATTGTTGCACGGTAGGACGAACATTATGGCGTACTCTAACTTACAACACGTAATGCATGCAATCGCATTTTGACTTTTGAAATAAAATTCATAACAGGTGAATGAATTTTATGAAACGAGACATTAAAAAAAAAATTGTCCATTAAATTTAATTTCATTACGAAAAAGGGTCTTTTGAGTTGATGCCTCTTTGTGCCCTTTCGTCGTAATCGAAAGAGCGCCATCTGATCACCTAACGCCAAAGTGGTCTGCGAACTGGACTGCGATCATCGAATGCATTTAGTTGGACCAATTTAGTTAGTCATTGCTCGCTTTATTGATCTTTAAGATGTGAGCATGTTTGCCCTATATTGGTTCACCCAGCGTTTCAAATTGTGTTTTTGAAATGTGAAAGAATACTTAAATTTGGAATCTAACTTTTTGCATCCTCTAGTGTTTTATACGATTGATAATTACAGTGACAGTTCATAATTGTCATTTACAATTTTAATCCAAAAATATTGGATTCTTAAAAAAAAAGGAGGCATAGCATTTGGACCTTCTAATAAATAGTAGTAGAATGATTTATCGGAACACGATTTAAAGCAAAATCTTAAATTGTATGTCTCTGGCGCCGACTCTGGTTAAAAACTTTGGTTTGTTAAAATAGTCTAGAGATAGAGATCTGCGTGTTAATGACAAGATTGGGATCAGTACAGCCTAAACGCCAATACACTGTTATTATCTTTAAAAAAAATGGACGTAAATAATTTAGATGAACATGCACATCATAATTGAGATGAAAATTTATTATTGAAATAAGTAACAATAATTCACATGCATTAACATTTACCAATTGAATTTCTATAATTCAATAAAAGATTAATGACGTATTACAAACCGAAATATTTGTAGAAAGAGAAATAAATGAAGTAATGTTTTTTGTTTTTATTCAAGCTGTTTCTATTGATGTGTTTATATAGTAAGGCTCCTCCTAATATGGGTTAATGATTTTTTTTAATTGTTTTATTTTGCCAATTTTTTTGCCAATGGCTGGGGTCTTTACCTTTAAACTAAGCATCATTAATCCCTAATGTCACCCGGAGTAATTAGGGTTGCTATCAGCAAAGTATATGTACAATCTACGATGACCTTTGAGCTCATATATACCTTCAAAGCATAAAATCTTGCTTTTCATTACCTAAATCAGACAAGTCATCGTTACAGGTGGATTGATTCATCATTCACCTTCCTTTGTATTTGATCTAGTGACACATACTCGCGGATAATTAGCCTGCAGACGTTTTCATTTTTAAGACATATGTTCATGTTTTTTCATGTATGTATAGTTTGAAATTTCCAATTGGATCATGAGACATCATGGATAGATTTGTTCAATTTGTATGCGTTTTATTTGTGAGCGTTTTGGCATTATCTCGAGGCGGTGAGTAAATATTTTGTTGTTATCAATTTCAATTCAAGTTTATTCCTCAAATTTTGGTTAATAACAAAGAAATAAAATCAACATTTATATATATATATATATATATATATATATATATATATATATATATATACATATATTCAAAAGAAACATGTACTACTCATAATGCGGAGGGAATAAAAAAAGGCCAACGGGCCTATCAAAGTAATTCCTAGACTAAATAAAATTACATAAAGTATTTGTTAATCTTGCTTATCATTGTATCATTCTTCAGTGGATCATGGTTTGGGCGTTTCAATATGTGAAATCATGTTGATTTTATCATGATTTTATTGGTATTAAGGAATTCCCTTGTATAGCCCTGAAGGTATCTAATTTATCAACAACAACAAACAAAATATGTACAAAAATCATAATAATAATAATAAACGCGTATTACTAATCTTCTCATTATACTAATAATGACACCACTACTACTACTACTACTACTACTACTACTACTACTACTACTACTACTAAACTACTACTACTACTACTACTACTACTACTGCTACTACTACTACTACTTCTACTACTACTACTACTACTACTACTACTACTAAACTACTACTACTACTACTACTACTACTACTACTTCTACTACTACTACTACTACTACTTCTACTACTGCTACTACTACTACTACTACTACTACTACTACTACAACTACTACTACTATTACTACTACTACTACTACTACAACTTTTACTAGTACTACTATTACTACCACTACTACTACTACTACTACTACTACTACTACTACTACTACTACTACTACTAGTAGTACTACTACTACTAATATTAATAATAATAATTATAATGATGGTAGTGATAAATGACAATAATATAACTAATACTAATAATTGCAGTAATGATAATGATAATAGTAATAACAATACAACTATATTAATAATATCACCAATAATCATAATAGTGAAAATTATCAAACAATATTAACTTACTTATTGCACTTACCAAATTGCAAAGGAAAAACTTTCCATTGATCTCGAACCGAAGCACATTGACCGGAGTCATCAGGCTGGCAGGCAAAGAGAACCCGCAAAATCAGCGGGACCTGTGCCACCGAGACCAATCATAGTTAAGTTGACGAGCTACAAATACCGACAGCTACTAATTAATATTCAACAGGAAATCCCTCAAGCATACCGGAATCGGAATTCAGGAAGATCTAACTGATTTCAATAGTAAACTGCTGGCTGATGCTAGACACCATGTGAAGGTAGATGCAGCATGGTCTTCCGATGACCGTATTTTTGTTATCCCGCGATCTAGCTCAGCGAAGAACCAGAAGAAGATTATAAGATGTAAGGAAGATCTTGACCTTCTTCTTTGATTTGATACGTATGTACTTTCTCTGCCTCACCATGAAAACTATTCCTCGAAATCTCTAGTATTTTTAGTGAAACACCAATCTTTTGTGCTTTGAAAGTATATATATTGAAATATAATTCATTATCTGTTATATATTATATCAAATAATTAATTCAAAATAGATCTATACCCGAATGTGTCTCTTTTTAATTTATCCCGTGTGTATGGGTGACAAGTAAAAAAGAAGAATCAACTTGTTTATCTCTTGTATGCAATTTATAAGTAATGTTATGAATATACTTTATGCTGTGACCCTGATTAGAGTGCAGAGTAAAAACAATATAGTTGTGAATTGAAAATAATGTTTTTTTCATGTTCACCAGTTTACGTCTATATTAAAAAATATTATCAGTGTCATCAATAATGGCATACTGCTCCATGTTTTCTGTTGTTCACAGATATCACAGTTTTGTTGATATTTGATGATGTACTTCTTCTGTTTTCAGATTTTCATAGTTCTGGTTGATACTATTATTATTGTTGTTGTTTTGACCTAAATACTTTAAGAATACATAGTTTTCACCATTTTTTCTGAATATGGTAATCCATCGTAACTTCTACTAGCTCATAACTTTCCATAAATACTATCCAAAAAAAGTATATATTTTATAACTTTGTTGGAAAGTGTGATATACTTGACTTCTCTCGATCATCCCAATCTTCCATCTTATCGCATATACATTTACAGGTGTGAATATACATTTTTTTTTAATTAAAAAAAAAAAAAATTGTTGTTGTTGTTGTTTCTTAAATTACATTTTGTTGTTGTTTTAATTTGTTTATATTGTAATATTGTATTACTGTTGTACTCATGGTACTGACGTGTGACCCATTAGAAGATGTCGATCCTGACTTGTATATATATATATAATTCTTCTGAGTCTTCATATTATCTACCTTCAAATTTTAATGCAAAATTCTCATATGATTCATCTTTAAGTCTTATCCACTTTAATGCCTGAAGTTTACCAAAGAATTTTGATCATATTTCTCAATTCATGTCAATGATTAATCATTCCTTTTCTTTTATAGCAATTTCTGAGACTTGGATAAACGAGACAACCTTAAATAATTTCAATCTAGATGATTATAATTTGTTGAATGTTAACCGGTTATATGGGCGTGGTGGTGGTGTTGCACTATTTGTGAAAAAAATATATAATGTATACTGTAAGGACAGACATTGTTTATAATCAAGAAACAAACTTAACATGTGAATATTTGTTTATTGATTTTTTAGATAAAAAATGTAAGAGGTCTACTGTTGGTGTCATTTATAGAAAGCCGGGATCGAATCATGAAATATTCCTTGAATTTTACAACAATGTTATTAACAAATTAAGTGAAGAACATAGGCATATTTATATAACTGGAGATTTTAATATTGACTTACTTAAAGATGATGATACTGTTAATGAATTCCTTCGGCTTAACTCTGTCCTTGGTATATTCCCGATTATAAAAACCCCAACTCGTATTACACCAAGCAGTGCTACGCTTATTGATAATGTATTCACCAATGTATTTGACTCAGATTTTGATTCAGGTAGTCTATGTTCAGATGTTAGTGACCACTTACCCATTTTTCTAGTCTCTAAAAGCTCTAATAATAATAATACTTATCAGCCTAGCTCATTTCGCTTTACTGGGAAATACTCAGATGATAATATAAGAAATTTTCAATATGATCTTTATCATGAAGATTGGACTAATCTCTATAATATGTCAAATGCTAATGATGCATATTCCTTTTTTATTAACCGTTTTACTCAATTGTTTGATAAGAATTTTCCTCGGTCAAAAACTAAACAAACTAAAAGACGCATGAAAAAACCTTGGATTACAAAGTATTTATTAAGATGCATAAAGAAGAAAAATCTTTATCATAAACACTTTCTGCAAAACAATATATTGGATAATGAAAGAAAATACAAAAAATATAGAAATAAATTGAATAATCTGTTAAAGCACGCAAAAAAAAATCATACTTTTCTAACAATTTAAAGTTATATAAAAAATAATACTAAACAGGCTTGGTCAGTTATAAAATCATTACTAAATAAGCCTTAAAAAATCTTTACCTGAATACTTTTTTAATGGAACTGAGAAAGTTTGTGATCCAAAACATATAGCAACTGAATTTAATCAACATTTTATAAACTGTTGTAGACAGATAACCACATCAATGGTCAGTTCTTCTAACAATACTTCTTTTAAGGATCATCTGACTGGTTCTATCAACAATTCTATTTTTTTAAATCCTATAACAGAAAATGAAGTTCTACATATTAGTAAATCACTACAAAACAGTAATTCAGTTGGATTTGATAATCTTAGTACTAACTTAATGAAAAAAATTATATTTTACATTGTACAGCCAGTAGAATTTATATTTAATCTCTCTCTTTCTACAGGCTTAGTCCCAGATAAACTAAAAATAGCTAAAATAACCCCCGTATTTAAAAAAGATGATCCTCATAAATTTGATAATTATAGGCCAATATCTATTCTGCCGTCTATATCAAAGTTGTTAGAAAAATGTATTTATAACCGGTTATATTCATTTTGTTTAAACAATAAAATTCTCACAGATTCACAATATGGCTTTAGGAAAAATCCCTCTACTACACATGCTTTGATAGAATTACAAGATAAAGTTTTGTCAGCAATTCATACCGATAAAAAGCCTTTGATATTGTTAATCATAGAATACTTGTATCCAAATTAGAACACTATGGGATTAGGGGCTTACCACTATCTTGGTTTGAAATTTATCTTTCTAATAGATCTCAATATGTCGTTTATAATAACAGTTCCTCAAATTTTTCTTCTATTACACACGGCGTACCACAAGGTTCTATCCTAGGTCCTCTACTGTTTTTAATTTACATTAATGATCTTACACATTCTTCTGACAAATTTAATTACATTATGTACGCTGACGATACTACTTTAATTTACACCCAACCTAACACTCATAACTTACAAAATAATATCAATACTGAATTAGACAAAGTAACAAAATGGTTCAAATCAAATAGATTGTTGATAAATCCTAGTAAAACAAATTACATAACTTTCTTCCATAGGCAGTCAAATTACACTAATTTGCTTGATAATTTGTTTATAAAAATAGATGAGGTTCCATTAAATAAGGTAAATAGTGTTAATTTTCTTGGTGTTTGTATTGATTTTAATATGCAATGGGACAGTCATGTCAATAAAGTCACTCAAAAGGTATCTAAATGTATTGGTATATTATACAGATTAAAGGACTCGCTTCCACCTTCAGCATTATTACTACTTTATAATTCATTCATGCTCTCATATTTAAATTATTGTGTTACTGTTTGGGGTAATTGTAGTCGAACTAAATTAGATAAATTATTTAAATTGCACAAAAAAGCCCTTCGCATATGCCTTGGATGTCATTATCGTGCCCATTCTGCCCCACTGTTTAGAAAATTGAAATCTCTTAATATTTTTGATTTGTACTATTACTCCATTGCCCTCCTTGGCTTCTTCTACTTTCAAAATAAATTACCTGTTAATATTTTTCAGATGTTCACTCTTAATTACCAGATACATAACCACAATACCCGTTTTAAAGATTCTTTTCACTTAAGGCCAGTAAAAACAAATCAGTACGTCATAATTTCCCTGTAATTTGGAACTCCATCCCTAAATATATTTCTGATTGCAAGTCAATTCATTCCTTCAAAAAAAAGTTGAAGCAGTTTCTTTATCTCAAATATGTATAGTTACTTATCTTATGTTTATATTTGTGTTATATATTTTTTGTTTTTTGTTTCTTTTTATTTAATGTTCGTTTTTTTCTTATTTTAAATCTTTGCTTTACATTATGCTATGAATGCTTTGGGAACTAGGCGTGTACAAGGCCTAAGGGCTTTATTTATGTAGTTCCCCATTTCATTTCTAAATTTGTTCATGAATAATTTGGTATCTTTTGTATCAATGTAATTTTTAATCGAGAATGAAATAAATGCGAATTCAATTCAATTCAATTGGACTTATGCTTCACCGTTATTAGTTTACTGTATATACGACACTAAATGTGTATTACTGATCTTTTAATTATACTAATATAGTTATGTTGATTTCGCTATTTTTGTTGTTGTTGTATGTTCTAATAATACCCACCAAATCTTTTTCTTTTCAATGGTCACTCTGTTAAACAACAAATTCCTGAGTTCACTTTTTGAGAGTTAGGTCTAGCAAAATGTTCTCTCACCTCCTTCCCCCTTTTCCCGTTTCTCTCAGAGTGCCCTGATAATTACCTCGAAGGACCGAATGGGCATTGCTATTCATACCAATACTCCTCGCCATCATCATCGGCCAAAGACTGGGCCCGTGCTCGCGGTTATTGTGCCGTCACAAACGATTCTGACCTCGTCGTTCTTAACGACGAAACCGAGTACGAGTGGTTCGTCAATCTGACATCGACAGTCGCTCCAAACTCGTCATGGTGGTTAGGTAGGGGATTTATGCTTTACTTGTGATAAATATTACCATTCTAGTGATAATGATGATGATGATAATAATTAACCATTATTGTAGTAATATACACTGTTGGCCATAAAGTAGGAATACTATTTCTTACATATTTTGATGCATTGATTGTGACAATATATACTTATATATAAATATATACATTTGATGTTTTCTCAGAACTTTATGGATCAAGCTCCTTTGATCAGTAAACTTTCAAGAAGATATAAATGTTATCCATAAAAAATAAACTATATTATCACAATCATTTCCTGAAAAGAGTTAAGATTAAATTATTCCAACATTATGGTATTTATGAAGCTGATTAAAATATTTAATATAAATAATAATTATAGTGATATCGTAACGAATCATCAATTGCAATACGTCTATTGCTTTCGATGCATTTTTTTTTATGTGTACTTGATAATAGACCTATTTATTAATTGCATGCATATATTTTTGAACAATAGTTTCTTTTGACAACTTAAAAGCTTGCCAGAGGCTTGCCAGAAGTAGCAACATATAATGTATGCCAAGTGCATTCCATCTATAGAGATGCCATTATTTATAGCAGGTGAATGACATGGTTGGAAACAAGGGTTTCGGGAGAGAAACATGCCTAAATTGAAATACATTAGTAAACATGTCTATATTATCCATTCAACAAGAATTATTATGGGGGGAAAACAGATAAATTCATAAAACTGGTTCATTATTCTTCGTATGACATCAGGTTATCATGATAACTCAGTTGAAGGAGATTGGAGATGGATTGACTGCGGAGGAACCACTGATTGGCAGCGTAACCTGTGGTCTCCCGGTTACCCTGGCAACGAAAGAGATGATTGTGGTGTCGTCTTGCCTACCGGAGAGATTGATGACGTCGTATGTGACCTTCCAATCAACTATTTCTTATGCGAAGTCAGCCCAAAAGGTAATCTATTACATGTAAAAATGCTATTTAGTTATTTATCCACTAATATCCTAACATCAATTAATCAACTAAGTCGTATTGCAAAGTTAGCCTGAAAGTTGTTGTGGTCTAGTGGATATATCACCGGGCTGTAGATCACATGGTTCGTGGTTCGAGTCCCACCAAAGGGCAAGACAATAGAGCCCCGTAATGGCAGCCATGCTGAAGCCGGTCTATTATTGTGGAGCTTCGGGAGAATTAAATCTGACAGACATGAACCCACTATTATTATTTATCATTAACAATCATCAACTAAATCTGTAACATCAATGATAACCAAAAACTAGTCCGAAATTCGAGCACTACTTTCATTTTTGTGTATTTAAAGGTAAAGACCAGTATTGGAAACGCCCCAATTTCAAAAAATGGAATGGAAGCTCTCATTACCAATCATGTGAAAGAATATGTTTTGACTAATACATGATGATAAAAAATTTGCCGGGAAACCGCCTACTAATTCATATATTTGGTAAATTTGTTTCTCTCATGGTCTGTGAGAGATATAGGGTAGTCCCATATAAATCTTTCTGTGTATAGTGCTTGTAACTTTACGAAGAATGGGCCAAATTTCTTATCATTTTTATGATTTCAGAACCTTGCAGATGCTAGATGCTAGATGATCAACCTTTTCTGATCGATTCCACAACGTTTCTTTCTCAATGCAATCGCATGACCATAACTGGTCTTTACCTTTAATGATTTATCCACGTTTTACAGATTGCATTTCAAACAGGGTTTAATAATAAATAGGACTAATTCATCGTAATTTTAATATTAATGTACTTTTTGATATTTGTGATTGATGTTACATACTGTTTATACAAAAAAATGCACGGGTGTAAGTGTGATTTTCGCCGTACCACAACATTAGTTATATATGAACTATATGAACAGAACATATTTAGAATCCTTATTTAAACTTTGATGATTAAAGTATACCATAATGAATGAGACTGCATTACATAATGTGTATTGATGTGACCAACGGAATAAGAATACCCAAATCCCTTTTTTCTTATCTGAAATAAATCCGTTTTGAAAACACCGTCAGTTGCCATCAAATTGTGAGAGAATAAATACTTTACATGCAATGACTAATCGTTATCTCAATTAAGGGATCGGTAACGATGTTTCAAGATCATTCGTGATCACTCTACGCCCATCATCAAATAAATCTGTGCTTTTCAAACAACATTGATAAGAATGGCATTATAACTTCATATTCAAATACGTTTAAACGTTCAAAGTGTACTTAATGTTAGATTGAATCACTGTGGAAGAGATAAGACAATTAAGAAAAGTTACCACTCCTCTGCTGCTTACAAGTTACAACTTGTTGAACTTTTTTGTTTGATTTTTCCATTTAAATATTCAAATGTTTGCATTGACACATATTTTATTAATGAATACGTAATAAAATGTCATGGTTTGTATATGCACACATCCAGGCAATCAAGCTGGATTCTTGTCACATTTTATAGGATTATGCAATCATGTTCGCTGTTAATTTAGTGCATGATTCGATGTAATCAATTTAAAGTTTTTTTGATGCTAAAGTGTAAATTATGGTTATATTTCATGCAATACGTGTAGATACATCTTGATAAATTTACCACCATATATGTACACATGTGCAAGATGCGTGAACTGTTCAAATAAAACCTCTATTGAATTGAATTATGTTCAGGTGTTCAAATACAAACACGGATCCGATGTGAAAAAACACAATAGAAATAGGGAGGGGGAGGGGTCTACTGATCATGAAGATAACTGCGCAAGAGAAATGCTCGATGTTTGTGATTATCTTTAAAGGCCAACTACACTACTGGTAGCTACTTGCGCCCTCTATATAACAAACCATGCCTAATCGGTGACCATTGGTCCCCCATGATCCTCTTTTTCTTATGTTAACTGAGAGCTGAGTTGATGAGATAACCACCTGTCCAGTGACCTTGCAGGGCACTCTAATCCCTCCTGTAAACTACGGCAGATAAGCTTTAAAGGACGTCATTTGAGAGAATCGAGTTTTACTGGTTTTAATAAACACTTCACTTTTCATTCAATCATAGTTTACATTAGTATCGATCTATTGATATAAAAATCACCTGTTTCACTTTTATTTTATCAACTTATATACGATTATGATTCATAGTTCTCCTTCCATATCATGTAAATTGCGCCTGCTTGCATATCTAATTGTAATTAGTCGTTTATTTGTATTTTTATTCTTTCAGGTTTTACACCAGACGAAGCCAGACCAACCAATCTAATTGCTGAAGTAACATCCACCCTCACTGTTACTCTGAAGTGGGATGTTTCCCCTTTTTACTGCGATGTGTTTGGATATCGAATCCAAGTTACCAATGAACACATGGAAACCACTCACGGTAAACATGTTGCTGTTTTTGTGGGTGTGATGGTGGTGTTGGTGGTGGTGGTGATGTTACGTTAATTTTACCTTTTTGGGGGGAGATGGGCCCTCTCCCCTGACGCTCAAGGGGAGGGGTGCGATTGTTCAGGTGAACAAAAAATAAATAAGTGCTCACCACCCCCCCCCTCTCTTATCTTAGCTTGGTGACCCGACACTTTTGCAATGTACTGAACATGTAAATTATTTTAGTTTTGTTCATAATGATGTAATAGTTATCTAATTCATTTGAGAAGAATTATCGCAGATTATTTGCTATCTCTCAAATTGATTTAAATAACATGTGCCATTTTGATAAAACGTTTGGCATTGGCAGGCGCGTACGCAAGGGGGGGGGGGGGTGGAGATTCTGGATGTTGAACCCCCTCCCGGCCCCTCCTTTAACTTTTTTAATGTGTGTGTTTTGGAGAAAATTCCCCCCCCCCCCTTTGTTTTTTATAAATAGTTTGTTTAATAATAAATAATAATAAAAAATAATAAAAGATTGTGGTAATGGATGACATCAAAAGCTGACCTTACCCCCCCCCCCCAACGAAACGAACTATCGATCGGCCAAATTTTGAGACACACACACAAAAAAGGTCCTCTTACCCCCCCCCCCCCCCCCCATGAATTATGTCTTCGTCATTCGTAACATGATTATCATCAGTAAAAACTATACATATTTTAGCTTATTGTTTTTTTTTGTTATTGATTAATAATACCAAAACATAATGCTTGTTTTGTTGTTGAAATAGAGGTGGTCTATGGAGGTAAAACAAGTGAGGTAGAGATATCTTTGGACCGTGTCAGGACAGAGTATTCCTTCACTGTGGCTGCGTGGACGATCTTGGATGAGGAACTGGCTGTGATTGGTCCAGTTGTTGCTACGACAGGTAGGTACACTGTCTCAGAGTTCAGTCCGGCATGGTCACAATTCTGAATGTCATGTACAACAAAATGTAATTGTGTAGTTTTATCAGACATCATCCTATCATTCATATCACTACCATCCCAGTATAGCTTCCTGAGTGGGCTGCTAAACTTGATGAAATAGATCTACTCCATCAAGTATCAGCAATATTATATTTTTGCCTCGATTTGAGCGCGTGCACGTGCATGAATGGCATTCCATAGTTTGACTCGGTGCAGAAACGAAAGTTGCTCGCGCTCTGTTGGCGGACGGATCCATTCAAAGCTCGGTAATCTTTCACTATTTATTACCATTACCTGTATACGTCAACATATTTTAAGGGTAACTCAATGAGCTCATCATGTTTAGTCATGTTATGGCACAAGATACGGAATCAGTGGCCAAATCGTACGTCTTGACAAGAATATACAGTAAACCTGACGTAGAACTGCGCACATGGGACCGAAGACGGAATTTCTTGGGGAAACGCGCAATAGTCTATCCATCGCATAGACTGTCATGCGCATGTGCAGGAACTCGCTACCTGATTTGTCAAAAGTTCTCGAGACTTGAAAAAGTTTGATTGTTGGAAGACAGTACTAATTTTGTTGGATTTTAAAATGTTTGGACTCTAAAAACTTAAAAGATTTAGAAGAAGGCCATCATCAGATTCACATTTATTGATTTAAAACTTTGAAGTTTGAGTCAAGTCAAGAAAATTATACGTGTATCTGATCGTCTCATGATCACACTGACTGGTGTTGGTGTTCTCACAACACCAACACCGGCTTTTGATACAGAACTTGAAATCAGTTATTGAGTCATTCGATTATAAGACGGGCTTAAATGTCTTGAATCTGAATATTTCATTAATCTTCGCTTCTTTTTTTCAGGTTCTTGTCCGGACAGTTATGAGGAGAGCCCCGGTGGACGATGTTATCTGTTCAGAAATCTGACCAATGGGGAGTGGTGGCCGGCAGGGAGGAGGTCATGTGACAACACAGTGGACAGTGACCTTGTGATCATCAATGATGAGGAGGAATTGAACTATATCATGAACAGGACCTCTGAAATTGATCCAGATGGAAAATGGTGGATTGGTAGGTGTTTTATGACTCATAGGGAATGTATTGATTTATAAACATTACCTCCTCTTTATTTGACTGTTTTTTTTTGTAATGCTAATTTATATTAACATTTGTTATCATAAATGTATATGAAATGGAAACAAATGGAGCTCTATATTGTGAATTGTACCTTAATTTATACAGATGAAATGTGGTTGATTGTCTTATTAATGTATCTTCATCTTTGTAGATATGTTATAATTTTTGATAGAAATTGTATTTAGTATGGGTTAGAGTAAGGACTCTTTTGCATCCTCAATATTTTGTAAGAAGTGGTATTTTCTAACAACTTTTGCAACAGAATGTTCCTTGCTATTCATTTTTTGATAGTACTGGAAAAATTCCAATGATAATTAGCCAGCAGACTTAGATAAAAATCTATAAGATTTGTCATCAAGACGGAATATTGGATTTTTACATTTTGGCCTCTGCCTTCCCCCAGCCAAGGGACATCATTCAATTGTACACTCCTCTGATTTTCATTTTCTTCTCTTAATTTCAACCAGGACTATCTGATCTCACTGCTGATGATTACTGGCAATGGGTGGATTGTACAGAGTCTAACGACTGGCAGAACCGTCTCTGGGCACCGGGTTACCCCACCTGCGATGATACACACGACTGTGCAGTCTTGAACCCCGATGGCACCATCCAAGATGACGCTTGTGATCTACGCATCAACTCAATCTGTGAGATATCTCCTAAAGGTAATATAAAAGTTCACCGCACCAACAATACAAACCTTGGCTTTTAAGTGAGGTTTGTTGTTGCACCACATTTTTTTCTCAACAGAGATAGTTGGCCCTTAAAAAAGGGGTAGAGTTGAGATTAGTTATTTTGTATTTTTCCAGGATAAAAGTTAAGAATGTGATTTATGTAGGAAATTTACCTCAGCACATATGTCATATACAGTGTAACCTAAAAGGAACATCATTGATTATTTCAAAGAGTATATTGTGCAGCCCCAAATCTCTGGAATAACTTGCCATTAAAAGTCAGGAAATCACCATCTGTGAATATCTTTAATCAAAACTTAAAGCACATCTTTTCAATTAACTGTAAATCTAAGCATACCAGGAGCTCTTGTAGCGCAGTGAATAATGTTGGATGTTTCTGCAGTCTATTATTATTATGATTATTATTATTGTATTGATTAAACATTTGCATGTGTAGGGAATATTTCTACATGGGGTGTTTCTCCATTTATTCCTATCATAACAGCATGTTTACTATCAAGAATCAAAATCTTGCATCTAATATTCTTAACACTAAAGAGTTTGATGAACAAGCTGTGATGGTTGGAAACCTGATGGTCTCTGCATCCTTACCCACCAGTCTAGAGGTTTCATGGTCTCTGCCTGTGTATGGCTGCAGTGCAGTCGGGTACCGCATCTATTATTCCATGGCAGATAGCATGGACGACAAGGAATCCAGTGAGTTTTCTTTTTTCTTTATTCAATGCATGGACTTGGTGGAAGAGAGTGCATGGTATAAGAAGAGCATTGAATGTTTTGACAGCTGTAAAATAGCCATCAAAAGCTTAAAGAGAGTTGTGAATAATAGACAAAATCATATTGCTCTTTGGGAATCTCACTATTCTATTTTTTCAGTCTTTTCAGTCAGAGTCTCAAAGAAGCACTTAAAAAATAAAGATTTTCTTACATTACAGAACTTTCTGTTGAGGTAATTACAAAGCTTACATAACATGCTTTTCAGTAAGCCCCTTGTTTTATACGTGTATGTTGTATCTGAACTGTCCTTAAATACCTTTCATCATATTCAAGTTACAAGTTTTCCCCAGTTTTGAACATCTTTAAAGGTACTATGTCCCATTTGCAGGCCCAAAAAATGAAAAGGTAAAATTCCAACAGCATTTGAAAGATAATACTAATTTAAAAGTTCCCTAAAAAAAAGGGGGGGGGGGGCTTGAAAATGTATTTAAGTGGGAAAATAACGACTATTAGTTGTCGAATCGAATTAAGAGCTATAGAGCCAGTAAGTAATAGTCTGATTTGCAGACCATTGTACCGAATGGTCGTACGTTTTATGTTGCGCAAAGATTCAATCAGTTTAATTTTGGCCATTACAAGAAGTGGGTTATTGATGTAGACAAATGCTCATGTACCCTTTACAGCTCATTTTATGGATGTTATTACCAAAGAAGAAAAAAAGCCAGTCAGTCACTCAATAGTGTCTAACAAGTAAACGGGTTTCCTTGCATAATTTGAATATTAGGACACTGCTGACGTTTAAATTTCAAAGATAGGACATACACGACATATTCATAATTCCTGCAAAGTTCTACAGAATATGATGTTGGCTGCAAAAGGGACATAGTATCTTTTCATTTGTTTCAAATAGCAATACTTTGTATAATTTGAAATTGTTGGTGCATATAAGAACAAATAGTCATGTTCGAATTAAAAAAAGTGCAAAAAGGTAATAAGATTTAAACAAGAACCAGGTAATGTCAGATGAATAGAGGATTGGATTGATACAAGGCGTAATAGGCAGAGGAAAATAATAAATAAATAATAGTTCACAAACATGCCCAACTTTATATAAAAAGCATTAAGCATTTCAATGTAGAATACATCGTAAAATGAATTAATGTAAATAAGACAAAATAACGGGCCTTAATTAAAGGCTATTTAGACTTGACAGGTTGATCAATCATTCACTTTAGTGATACCAGCTTTTTTCTCTCTTTCTTTTGGGGGATAGTGTTTGTACAAGGAGGCGATGCCACGCACGCAGTCGTACAAGATCTACGTGCCAATACGACATATAATGTGACAGTAGCTATCTATAACAACAAGGACGATGAACTGGAGGAATCTCAAGCTGTTGAGGGAATAACAAGTAAGATTATTCTTTCTACTGCATGTATTATTCTTTTTACTATGGTTCAAATTGAGTCACTTAAAGTCCCTCTGCACTACTTATAGCTACTTGCGCCCTCTATATAGCAAACAATGCCTAATTGGTGCTTCTTGGTCTCCCATGATCCTCTTTTTCTTATTTTAATTTGAGAGCTGACTTGATGAGATAACCACCTGTTAGTGACCGTGCAGGAAGGTCTAATCCCCCTGGCCAAACAAGTACAGACAGGCTTTAAATATTAAGATTAATAGTTTGTTATATGTTCTTGAAAGTTGTTGATTTGTTCTCCATTGTTTTCTCAACATTTCTGGTAGAATAATCCCTGCCATGCCATCCATGTTATGTTTACATTAAAAAAGAAAAGACATCATTTATTGAGAGGAATAATATTAATAAATTCTACACCCAAACTCACCAATCATGTAGTCTTTCTTTCCATGACATTTTTGATTAACCTTGCAAACATATACTTCAATTGTGTCTTCAAATGAAGATGACAGCTAAGGCACTGGTTAATTGGCCAATAATTCAATCAAGAAGTCAATAAGCAGATAATAATGATAATTATCAAACTACTCTAATGATCGATGATGGATAATTAGCAACTTTAATATGTGATATGTGAAATAAGTGGGTGATAGAAAAAAGATCCTTTATGATGAAACTATTTGCATATGAATGTATATAATCTTAACTTTAATAACTTGGAGCGGTAGCCAGAGTTCTTTCAAGATCCCATCATTCTGTTGTCTTCATTCAGTGCCCTGCCCGGCTGATTACGAGGAGGGCCCAAACGGTCACTGCTACTGGTTTGCTGTGACCACGTATGGTTATATGTGGCATTGGGGCCGGCAGGACTGCTCTGAAGAACCTGATTCTGACCTGGTCATCATCAATGATGAGGAGGAGCTCGACTTCCTTCGTAACCGTACAGCTGAGCTCTCTGTAGATAGGGACTGGTGGATTGGTGAGTGTTAGTTTAATATAATTTAATGTGATTTGATTTCATTTGACTGTTTGATAATTTGATTTGATTTGATGTGATTTGATTTGATGTGATGTGATTTGATTTGATGTGATTTGATTTGATGTGATTTGATTTCGTGTGATTTGATTTGAATTGGTTTGATTTGATTTGATTTTATGTGACTGATTTTATTTTATTTTATTTTATTTGACATGACTGATTTTATTTTTTTGATGTGACTGGTTTGATTTGATTTGATTTGATGTGATGTGATTTGATTTGATTTGATTTGATTTGATGTGACATATTTGATTTGATGTGACTGATTTGATTTGATATGATTTGATTTGATTTGATTTAAGTTTGTTTAAAAATTGTATTACATAACCCAATGAATGCAACCTTAAAGTAGGATCATCCAAATACAATAGAACATTTCACAAGAAATATATAGGATTTGGTGGCAGTTCCTCATGTATTGCAGTATAAGATAGGTAATTAATCATGTAAGAATATTACCAACTAAGAAGGCATGTGATATATATGAACAGGGAGTAAGGGACCTATAGTTTCTGCTATGCTAGGCAATTGTATAAAGTTTAGTTGGTCATATGAAGAGAACCATTTGTGAAAGAAGTATAAAATTGTACAATTGAATGAAAAATGCTTGAAGTCTGAATAAGCAATAGAGCTGTAGAGAAGTACGCTATATGGCTTTGATGAGCAAGTGTGGAAAGCAAAACGAAAGGTTTTGACATCATATGGAAGAATGTGTATATGTTCTCAAAATAGCTTTAAAAAGGGTGAGGTGCCTATCATGTTTACCTTATCAAAGATTACATGCTCCACCAGTGACCCACTTAAAAGCTACATGTACTTCGGTGATGCAGAGTACATATATATATGGTAAAGATAAACAGAATTTGATAATCATAACCTAAAGTAATATATACTGTATGTCAACAAGCTTTACAACGGTTAAAATCACCTCAATACAGAGCCAGCCGGTGGAAGACTTCGTCTAGAGTCCAAAGATCTATACTCATTTTAGTTTTATTTGTTTGTACAATAGTAATTGCGTACTGCACCAATAGATTCATTATCTGCACAGGGGCTTTGCTACTGACAAGGCTTCGAGTCAAATTTTACAATTCTTAAATATCCAGCATTGCACTTAAAAGTTAGTTTATTAAGCTATGGTCATGTGTCTTTCTTTCTATCCATATTACGCTATTAATTTTTTAATAGTTTTTTTGCCATAAATGTTTTTTTACTTTTCTTTCGGTTGGCCCGTTTCCTATTTAATTGTTTGGAACAAGCAAACATGACCTTTCACCTCTCACTGTTTGCAAATGGTTATGACTGCCCAAACTTTGATACTTCGTATTTCAGTTTCTGTGCAGGCCTTTGCATGAAATTACCATTTTGCCTTTATTCAGTTTTATCCTTTGAATGTTTCATATTGATTTTATAGGCCTTATTTATATCTCGGTCTCGTGATTGGTCCCTTTTAAAATTACCGTCCAGATGATGCAAGTTGGATTTGAACCAAGGACATGTGATATGAAGATCCAAAAGAAGACCACTAGACCAAAGCATATCTCCAATGTGTTACCTTTACCATGTTTCCTTGTAAAACAAGAGATTCCTGGGCCCTGTATGTCTTATACATATTTGCTTTTGATCCAGATTGATCGCAAATTCTCCAGTCAATCACAAATTCAAACATTTCCATCTGTTATTAAAGTATGTTGATATCAAGTTGTGTTCAAATTAATGATTTTTAGAAGATGGGGCCCTAGAATTTCTCTTTCCACCTTTGCTATATTTTTTTGAGCAAGGTCAGCTTTCATTCACCTGTTATGACGTCCACGATTATATTCTTTAATTTTCATTCTTGGCTGTGCAGTGTGTTTGTATTTTGTATGCAGAGATATTCAGAAGGGTACTATCCTTGTGGTGTCAACAGTAGAAGACCAGCCTGTAGGTCCTGTGACCAAACTCTGGGAACAAAGGTTTGAAAGTGTTTTTGTGTTCCCTCATGAATACCAAACAATTTTGACTTGGGCTGTCCCCTTGAAAATGCTAGGCATTTTTGGTAGGGGTCAACAAAGGTCAAACAGGGCTCTTGGTCAACACCCATCTCCCTCACAGCAGACAAATGTGCCATAATTATCTTACAAGATAAACTATCCTTGCCTTCTGGCCTGCAGGACTGTCCAGCTCTCCTGCTTGGTCCTGGACTGACTGCGAGGAACTCAACCCTTGGCAGGACACCCTATGGGCACCTGGTAACCCTCAGCCCGAAGGCTACGGCTGTGCTGCCCTTGATGATTCCGGAGAGGTCGTAGACAAGGGCTGTGATATCAAGCATCATTTCATCTGTGAGATATCTCCCAGAGGTAAAGACACCTTACGGTCACCGTATACAGTCAAACCTGCTTTAGTGACCACCTGTCTTCACAGACCACATTTTTGTTTCCCTTGAAAATGGTTTCTCATTAAAACATGTACTAAAGGAACCTGTCTATAAAGACCACCTGTCTTCAAAGACTACTTTTTGTGTTTCCCTTGGGCGGTCGCTATACACAGGTTTGTCTGTATATCTGAACTCTTGTAGCAATTCCAAAATCGAAATAGATTTTCCACAGAAGCCTAGAAATTTGCTTTCAGTATTTTGTTGTTCCAATTGAATTTAGCTTTTTTATTAGGAGTAGAATTTCATTTAGCAGTGGAACAGTACTCATGTTAAAGGTGGGGTGAAATCCAAATATAAGTTGATTTCACCAGAGCTGACCACCTGTTTACTGTAGACCATACGTGCTGTAGCATCACCAGGAAAAGAAAGGTAATGTGGAGGTATTGTATTGTGAGCATATGCTGAGCTGGGGGAAGTTATATACCAACAGGAATCAAATTATATTTGGATTTCACCTGACCTTTAAAGTTATTTTCAAACTATTCATCCACCATTGAAAGGATGTATTGGAAACTTAAAAACGGAGCCAATAAATATATTAATTAGATAGTTTGTTGTTGCAACTTAAATTTTTGTTGCATTATCGATACAAAACAATTACATAATGACAAGTTATAAGAATGAGGGGTCACTAATGCAAATCACCTTATAGTACATTGACCAAAATATTAACTAATACATACATAACTATAATAAAGTAAACAAAACAACAAACAAACAAACACAGTAAGAAAACTAAACATGCAAGTAACATGTTACATTTCCAATTCTGGATACAAACTTATAACAAAATATATTTTAAAAAAGAAAATTGTTGTTTAAAGTCATCTAAGCTAATTTTAGTGAGGGAGTGAGATTATTCCATAGCGTAGGGCCCTTAAAAATATTGAATTTTGGAAAATCATTGTGCTGACTTGAGATAAATGCTTTAACAAATTCCCGAAATTCAAGCGCAAAAAAATACAAAATGCTCGAGGCCTGGAAACTACATGAAAAATATATAACAAATTCAGTGTTGTTTAATAGAAAGTACATGGAAGAAATGGTGTTATACAAATGATTACTGTATCATCATTACTCATTCAGGTTTTTCAGACGAGGAGGAAAATGTTGAGGGCATCAAGGCCAGTCCGTTGATGTATGGCATGGAGGTTAGCTGGACCCTAGCTCCAAAGCATTGCAACGTCGAGGCTTACCAGATCATTTACAAGGAAGACATGGAGGAAGCCAGGGAATTCTTTGGTAAGCAAAAGCTGTGTCCGAGTGGGTTTGTTGACAGTGATGAGTGGTGTCAGTTACTGCTTTCTTTCCTCTTAGAAGAAGAATGAGCAGAAGTAACAGGGAGAGTGTACATCAAAGAGAGGGAGAGAGAGAGAGAGAGAGAGAGAGAAAAAGGGGGGGGGGTGGAGAAGGGAGAGACAGGGAAAATGGGGAAAAGAGACAATGATTTAAATAAGGATTAAAGGCAAAAGTGTTGTCTAATCTTTTATTTCTGCACATCGTTGTAAACCTGTCCCAGATGCTACATGTAAATAGCCACGAAAGGATACCCTGAACCGATCTTTCGAAAAAAGGCACTTTTAATTCAGTGTACAGATAGGATCAATAAATTAAGATTTTAACCAAGCAGCTTTTGTTAGAGTTTGGCACTTCTGGGAAAACAATGCAAAAGTTAATTTAAACAGTTTGAGGGAATTTTAGGATGCTGGGTTTTTGTTTTAATTTAAAACTCCAAACATTTCAAATGGGCTTTTATCATGGCCACAAAAATTATAAAAACTAGTACCTTTGACCCATTTTTCTTTCCAGATCTTCAGTACGGAGAAGATTCTTCATCTACAACAGTGACTGGCCTTAACCCTAATAGAACGTACAACGTATCGGTAGCAGCTTTCCTCAACACGGAAGTGCTATTGAGCCCTGTAGGACCAGTACAAATAACTACACGTAAGTTACTCAATGAGTAGAAATCTCTGCAAAGAAGCATAGTTTTTATTTTTTCTTCTCTTCTTTAATGTTTCATCCCATTCTATCATGCTTGGAATAGAGCCTGTCTTTCAAATTCAGTATCTGTATTTGTTATGAACTTATAAGTTAATGAGAGATAAAAATGGAAATTTGATTTAACTGTAGATTTGTGATCAAAGTGATATTCATGTGCCTGCATTTTTATGAAGTCATTCAGTGATAATTTTTGACGACATAACGGTTAGATTTAGAGGGTATATGGAGAGGAGGGAAATAAACCAGGGATTTTATCGATCAATGCAATTACAAATTGATTGGATTGGTTTATTGCAAAAACACATCAAACAAGCAGCTCGCAGGCTGAAAATGTTCAATTTACAAACAAATTTAAAATATAGAGAGATATAAACATATACAGAACTAAAATACATATTGTAAGTCAACTTAAATTGATGTTTTCTTTGAAACAGCTGCATGCCCTGATGACTACGAAGAGGGACCTAACGGTCACTGCTACCGCTTCAGGATTCTAGACAATGGAACGCGGTGGATGAGAGGCAGGCAGACCTGCGATAACGTGGATGATTCCGACTATGTCATCATCAACGATGAGGAAGAACTCAACTTTCTTCTGAATCGAAGTGCAGAGGTGGATCCTGAAATGAACTGGTGGATAGGTAATTCATTTGATTTGTGTAAAGTTATCAGGGGTTCCTATTTTCAGGGGTGCAGGATTTTAGGCCCCTCTCTGTTTCAGGCCCATGGGATCAAATATTTCTGGGTCTATTTTCAGGCAAGATAAGTAAACTAACTGGTATCCCTGAGTTACATTTTTGAGATTTTTCAAGACCATAATATTCCCATATATGATTATGATGATGAGGATAATGAGGAAAAGGAGGAGGAATGAAGACGATCGTTTACATGGTGATGGCAATGATGAAGATGAAGAGGATGAAGTTGATGATGATTGGGATTGTGACACTTATGTTTTTGTTGATGATGATACATGATAATAAAAAATGATGATGATCAGATACATGATAATCTTGAAAATGATAAAAATAGTAATTAGCAGTAATAGTGATTGTACATGCTGTCATGTCTTTTTCACCAGTTACAAGAACTTATTAGATGCCATCCATATGTCAGTATTAAACAGTGTAAACAGTACCTGGACATAATGATAAACAAAACCTTTCAAAGCTTATCTATGAAGAGCATTTATAAACTCTTTTGATTGCCTTTAGTACATGTATAATCAGATATTTTGCATTTATCCTGCATCTTATTCTTTTATGTGCAAATTCATCAAGGAACACATGAATGTATACCTTATAAAACTGATTGTGAATGTCATCATCATCATCATTATCCAGGTCTGTCTGATTTGTCCATGCCTGGATCCTGGGGATGGGTGGATTGTAGCACCCCTACAGCAGGGCAGGAAGGGCTATGGGCACCAGACTACCCCACCGGTCAGCCGTCCCGCTGTGCGGCCCTCCGGCCTGATGGACGGGTAATTGACCTCCCCTGTGAGACCAGGCTGAGCTACCTCTGTGAACTCCTTCCTAAAGGTGATAACAATTATCAGTATTTTTATGGGCAGGAATTTGTTTACCCTTGGAGCACTTTGAGAAATATGGACTTGAGGAACCCTTTTACCATTATCCTACATAGTTCAAGTTCAAGTTCAAGTTTTATTTCCACATCTGATAAAAAAAATAACACAAGTACAATTTATATGCATAAATACAATAATAAACATTAAAATGAAACATCTTCAATTGAAATTATAATGTGGTGGGAAAAACAAAGGCCAATGGCCTATCAAGGTTATTCCCAAAGATAATAACATTTACATAAAAAGTTTCTTAAATATACTCAACACAAGATAGAAATACAAAGATTAAAATCACACAAAACACCATCAAATAGAATTAAACCAGACAAATTCCTTACAAAAACAGAAAGGGCATTGATGTAAAAATAATCCTAGTTATACATATTAACTTACAAGATATTTCTTAAATATGTACATGTAAATGATGCAAATACATGCATGTAAATGGTGAAAAATGGTAAGAATACTCCCTACCGAGTAGAGATGGTACACATTTGTATGCAGGCTTAAAATCCTCGGACCAAGGATAATAATTACATGTGTGGCACTGTAAAGCGCATTGAAATATCGATGAAATGCACTATATCAGTGTGAAATATTATAGATATTGAAATTATTACTATGCATTGACACATCTATAACTACCTTGTTTAGCACCTATTTTTTTCTTCTTCTGATTACAAAATTCACGGTGGCAGTATTGGGATCACTGTGTCTCTTATATCTCCTTCTAGCACCAACCATTGTCTCACATATTCTCCCCTTCTACACCCATAGGTTTTGATTCTGATGCACTCATGGTTTACAATGTCACCACCCAGGGGTACTCTAACTATATTGCTGTTAGCTGGGAGCTTCCTGAGAATAACTGTGATGCTATTGGCTATGTCATCTACTTCCAGTTGTCAGATGGAACAGGGGACAGAAAATCTGGTAAATACATGTCGACAGTTCTTTTTGTACTTAGTTTGTAAAATAATACTTTAAAATTTATCTATGTTACTTAGTTTGTTAAAATACTTTTAATTTTTTTTGTGTGAGTATAAACCAAGGGCAAACTTCTTTTTAGGTTCAGATAATTGTAAATGATTATGTTACTGGCACTGAGTTACATTGTGTGTAGCTTTAAAATATCAGATGTCATCATTATTTCATGATTCATTAAAAACATTTGACAAACATATTGATTCGCTCATCTTAAAACAGAAAATCTACTGTATGTTATCTGAAGGATTGACGTTTCCTGAACATGCAGTATGCGCAAAAGTTATTATCCATTTGTGTTTTTCTAACCATTAAGAGATGAAATGACGTATGTTGGGATTGCATCTTCATTTCCACAGTGTATGTGAGTGGTGGAGAGTCTACCAGCGGTGCAATTAGAGCGTTACCACTTGGCGCTTCATACTCCATGACTGTGGCAGTGAGCACCAGCAAAGAGATGGAACTCCAAGAAACAGCACCCATCAATGCATCTACAGGTAGGTTATCTTTTCTGTTGGTAAAGTGAGATCAATCAGGTATTTCTCACCACCTGTGAAACAGTAAGGTTACATTTGTTAATTTAGGTAATATATGTTTAGATTTTGGTTTGGCATGCTTGAGCTGAGTTTGGGCTTGGAATAGGGTTTTATAAGTTTGAGTTCACTGCAGATTTCAGATTTTAGAACACTGCTTACAAGGTAAAATGATGCTTTGATTTCAAGGTAAGCTGTGTTGACATAAACAAAAAGTGAGTACATCAAATCAGTTTTGTTTACACGCTGTTCAATGGAATGAAGATTGACTTTATATGATAGTGCATTATACAGGAGCCGAAAGTAAATGGGTGAGTTTTAAGTTCCAAAGGGTTAATCATCAGGACTTGAATATCATGATAATTGTGATGGAATTATCAATACTACATAATTGTATTAAGTTAGGTCTGTATAGGCTTTCGTGGCCAGGACAAAGAAGTTGGTACTAAGCACTTCATAAATCAGTGTACCAAGGGTGCGTTCAAGCAATTTTTTAAAGCTAGAATTACAAACATGAATCACAAATCATAATGCCACTACAAAACAACACAGTTACTGCGGGAGATCGTTCAAGCAATTTTTCATCAACGCTGATTGTTGCTCATTTCAAGCTCAACCGCTGGGCATCGCATGGGGGAATTTGACCAAGAAAGTATCAACTTAAGCGCGCACTTTCTTAATTTGTTTACGGTCGACTGTCAGATGAACCGGAAACAGGACACGATAATGACGTAATAGAATCATGATTGAGATCTCTGTTTCGTTCAAGCAATTTTTAGCGACCTTCATTCTGCAGAATCACATTACAAAATGCATCTTTTTCAGTGTTTCAATGTTTGCATTTTTTAAACATGTTAAGTAATTGTTACATCCGACGAAAAATTTCGTGAAATTGCTTGAGCGCAACCGTATTTTAAACTAAACAACTTTGAAAAACGTGTTTGTAGGGTGAAAAGTGTCGCTTAGAACGCTCCCCTACTCTACCCATAAAGTTTGTGTTTATACACCTGGGCTGAAGTTTATCTGTCTGTAACATTACCAACCATAATTCATTATGTACATTACTCAGTTTCATCTTGCCCGGATAACTACGAGGAGGGTCCCAACGGAGGATGCTATCGCTTCCTGCTCGAGGACGTCGGTACCTGGTGGACGTACAGGAGACAGGCTTGCATCTTTGATGTCTCCTACTCGGATCTCCTCGTGATCAACGACCAGGAAGAGTTTGACTTTGTGATGAACAGGACAGCAGAGATGAGCGCTAATGCTAGCTGGTGGATTGGTGAGATATCTTGCTATTATTATGTGTGAAAACTGTTAACATATGGACTACTGATCGAAACACCTGTTTCCATAATAGATAATAGATTATCTTGCACTGGAAACAGTTAATAATATTAATCCAATCCAATCCAATCCAAAAGATATTTGATATAGCGCCTTTTCCTTGCAGTTACAAAGCGCTGCACACACGCTCCACAATGTTTGGGCCACTTAAAAACAAAAGTTAGACACATCTCAGAGATCATTAAAGCCTTTTAGTTTATCTATACCTAATAAAGACGATGTGGCACTCAGAGAATGTGTGTGTGTCATGTTAAGAGTTTAATGTTCATTGCTAATTAAAGACGCTTAGTACTGGGCTATCATGGGGAAAACCCAATAACAGGTGTTGTCAATCACCATGATCAGCCTTCAGTTTCATGACCAACAGGGTTATTATTTATATGCTCTAAATTGTCTGCCCATTCCCCCATATTGTAAAATCGATACTAGACTAGGGGGTATTTCTTAATGGGACCACGTGTTAGCTGTGTGGAGACTTGTACACCCAATAATGGTATTTCAACCAAATCTGGTGTCAGCGAATTATGACATACTACACACCAAAACTGATGATGACCCTCTCCCTTAAATTGTCAGGTTACACTGATCAGTCCGTAGAGGGAGACTGGAAGTGGATGGACACTTGCGAGGAATCTACTGCTTTCCAGGGTTCCCTCTGGGCTTCTGGTTCACCCAGCATCGGAGCTCATGACTGCGCTGCTCTCCAGGCTACAGGTGACATCATGGACCTCGTCTGTGATGCACTCATACGTGGCTTTGTATGCGAGGTGGCATCTAGAGGTAAGAATGGAGAGAGAGAGTTTGTCTTTCTTTTTATTAAATCAGAAAATTCAGAAAGAAAGAAATCAGGAGAGAACATTAATTATTTTTATATCTCATGAAATTCTTTAGTGTTCAAAACAGATAATGAATTTGTCCAAGTACTGCAACAATATATATATTTCAATGTAGGATATTCAAAATTATGCTGCTTTTAAATTTACTATGTTATCTTTATAGCATATTTACCTGAAATTCAAAGCCATGAGCGAGGTAGCTTGCTACCCCATTGATAACTATGGCTGAGAATTGTTTGGTCCAATTTACATTATACTTGTAGATATGGAAAGGAAACTTATGTTATAATCCAACTTTAATAAAGAGGTCAGAATGCGAGCTGTTGACTCAATAAGCCCTATCGGACATTCTCTACAGAATGACTTTTGCCTATTGAAGGCTTATCCAATTCTGATCCAGATTTTACATTCCCATTTCCCATACAGAGTTTGATTGGGGAGATGCTAACGTCCAGGATCTGATGGCCACAGGAATCAGGGTTGGTCTTGAGGTGACCTGGACTGTGTCTTCAACAAGCTGCGATGTGGTCGGATACAAGATCACTTACCAGCTCGATGAACCCGGTTCACAGACAGAGTTTAGTAAGTCCATCTAGGATAACTCTCGTACTATAGGTAACAATGTCTTCAACAAGCTGTGATGTGATCGGATACAAGATCACTTATCAGCTTGATGAACCCGATTCACAGACAGAGTTTAGTAAGTCCATTCTAGAATAACTCTCGCACTATAGGTGACTGTGTCTACAACAAGCTGTGATGTGATCGGATACAAGATCACTTACCATCTTGATGAACCCGGTTCACAGACAGAGTTTAGTAAGTCCATCCCTGGATAAATCAGATTCTATAGATCGATGTACAGTGTCTTTAAGAAGTTTCGATGTGATGGGGTACGGTACAGGGTTACCTATCAACTATCATTCAATCATGAGGATTTTGTTATCTTTTGTAATCTTGTGGTCATACTGGGCTTTGGAGAGAGGGAAGTTTCTTTTAGAGAGAGCAAGGGAAATGGATTGATTGTTCATATTACCCAATTGCTATTAAAGATATAGTTGTCGGCAACCCCATGGAATCTATATCTTTGCTTCCTATCTGACGGACTGAGCTATATGAGGATAAATGCCTTCCTCGTAAGGGCACTAGGGCGTTCACTCAGCCTGTATCCAGTGTCTTCTCATTTCCAAGACTTTTGCTTCTTCAACTGATCTATATCATCATTTTGACTCTTTGCCTGCAGGAACCTAGTGGTACCTGCACAGAGCCTATAGAAATGTAAGAATTCAGGAATTAACAAGCTAATAATATACCTCACGCATTGCAGTGAAACTTGCAGTGACACTGTAATTTCTTGATGGAAAGTCAATTTCAGACTAGGTCAATTGAAGAAAGATATGGATTGCTTTCCCCTCATTACTGCAGTGCTTGTGTATGGCGGAGACGTTGATAGTGTTACCATCTCTGGGCTGCTACCTGAAAGGAGGTACACCGTGGGTGTAGGAGTGATTCTCAACCTGGACACTGAGCTCACTCCTGTCACTACTGTTGGAACCACACGTAAGTACTGGGTAGTGTTTCACAAAGACTGAGATCGACTTTAAGTTGGACTTAACTATGGCAGGCTGTTCATGCCACCGTTTGCTCTCACCATTTACTGGTTTCGGTCTCTCAAGGGACGTACAAATCATTGTCACAAATCTACAGAATTTTGGATAGTTCATTATTGAAGGAAAAATATTATCTAAATATCATAATAGAGAGAACAGTAGTGAGAGCAGCAAGTAGCATGAATGGCCTGCCATAGTTAAGTCCAACTTAAAGTCGATCTTATTCTTTGTGAAACACCCCCCAGGACCAGGTACACTGAACATGATCGCAAAGGCTTTCAAGAAATCAGTTCTAGGGGAATAATTCAGTACCCTGTTGTACTGCCTATAAAAAATTATGTTCAGGTTATTTAATATGTCATAATTTGATGTCCACATATTTAAAATGACTATCAACATTCCCTACAGTTAAAGGTAAAGACCAGTTTTGGAAACGCCCCAATTTCAAAAAAATTAAATGGAAGCTCTTATTACCAATCATGTGAAAGAATATGTTTTGACTAATACATGATGATAAAAAATTTGCCAGGAAACCTCCTACTAATTGATATTTTTGCTAAATTAGTTTATCTATTGGCCTGTGATAGATAAAACGCATGTAGTCCCATATACATCTTTCTGTGTACGGTGCTTGTAACTTTACCAAGACTGGGCCAAATTTCTTATCATTTTGATGATTCCAGAACCTTGCAGTACACACCAATACTTATATGCTAGAACATCAACCTTTTCTGATCGATTCCACAACGTTTCTTTCACAATGCAATCGCATGACCAGAACTGATCTTTATCTTTACCCTTTAAAGTACATTGATGTGTGTTTATGGTATTCAAGATCATGATCAGTTTGAAACTAGCATTTAAAGGGATCGTAGTCCACCCTGATATTAAAATTGTTTTTTCTCAAGCTTTGACTGACCTGTTCCACTCATTTTTCTGCTTCTATTAAAACCAACTTAATATCAGGGTGGACTTGCCCTTTACGATTTAGAATAGGAGTCATGAAAGTAAGAGGTTCACTTGTGAAAAGTTTGTAGTTCTTTAATTCACAGAGAGATTTTAAATTAGAATTTATTGATATGAAACAAAATTAGTAGATGTATTTTCACCAACCCTCCAATTTTTCCCTCAGAACTATTGATGAAGATTGTTTCTCTCTGATCCAGCTAGTGCCCTGTCTAAACAATTATGAGGAAGGATTAAACAGCAGCAGTGACTGCGACTTCAAGTTTATCCATATCAACAGACTGTTTGTAAAGCTATGCGGCATGAATGTCCTCTCTGTTTGCACAGTTTAATTTTTAGAATTATTGGTAAAGGTTTTTTTCTTGCTCTCTTACTCTCTCTCTCTCTCTCCCTCTCTTTCTCTCTGATTCAGTAACCTGCCCAAACAATTACGAGGAAGGACCCAACGGTCACTGCTACCGCTTCAGGATCCTAGACGATGGTACCCATTGGCCGACTGGTCGAAGGACGTGTGACAACGTGGAAGACTCTGATCTAGCCGTCATCAACGACCCAGAGGAACTGGCTTTTCTTGTCAACAGAAGTGCAGAAGTGAACCCAGATATGACCTGGTGGATTGGTAAGAGAAATGTCACTTTATTTGTAATGTTAATAATGGACTAATGAGATACACAAAGAGTTGGTTTAAAATGTGGTTAAAATTTCTAGCAATCTAAAGATAAATTGGTAAGCTCCATCTTAAGATGTGACAGATATGACGTGGTGGATTGGTAAGAGAAATTTCACTTTCTGTTGAATGTTGATAATGGGCTAATAAAGTACACAAATGAGTTACGGGTATGTTAAAAAAAAGGGGTTAAAACTTCTACCAATTGGTAGGATTGGTAGGAGCTAAATTGGTAAGCTCCATCTTAATATTGAGAGATTTAGCTGGTAGGAATTTATTCACTCCTCATATTCCTTGCCAAATCAGAAAATGCACAATCAAAACAAATCATGTTTTACAACAGAACACTACATTGTAACCCTTAAGAACTAAGATATAGCAATTATATTTTGTTTAGGTTGATTTGTGTGAAGACCCAAATTCAGCCACTACCTCATTAATAATAAAAAGATAAACCAGAGAGAATTTATCTGTTTTATTGCACCTATGGATTGTATTCCTCTATTGTATTCTGTTAATATACAGACATTTGATCATATATTGTTCTTTCCGTCTAGGTTTATCCGATTTGTACATTGAGGGTGAGTGGAGGTGGGTTGACTGTTCTACCACCACCGGATACCAAGACACCCTATGGGCTCCTGATTACCCCTCTGATGTTGGTCTGTCCTGTGCTGCTCTTCAGCCCGGCGGAGACATCATCAACCTTCCTTGTGATAGACGATTCAGCTACCTCTGTGAACTCAATCCTAAAGGTATTCCATGATGATGATGATGATGAGGAGGAGGAGGAGGAGGAGGAGGAGGAGGAGGAGGAGGAGGAGGAGGAGGAGGAGGAGGAGGAGGAGGAGGAGGAGGAGGATTGATGATGATGAAGATGAAGGTGATGATGATGATGATGATGATGATGATGATGATGACAATGACGATGAGAAGAAGGAGGAGAAAATAAGAAGAAGAGAAGGAAAGAAAGAAGAATAATGATATTAAATGATAAAAATAATGATACTAATGATAATGATAATAATGATGATCATGATGATGATGATGATCATCATCATCATCATGAGGATAATCATTAGGACGAGGATGATGAGAAGGAGGATAATGAAGATACATTGTTTATCAAGATTATTGTCTTTAGTCTTGCTGTGTGCTGGGACGAGTTTGATTTGATTCTGTAATAATTAATTTTGTTGTCTTTACCAAAACTCTTTTAAATGGTTAACCTTTATGTGATTTGCAGGTTTTGATCTCAACTCTCAAGTTGTTGAGAATGTAAGAGCATCAGGAGGGATGTATACCATTAACGTCACTTGGGATCTACCAGAGAATGGATGTAATGCTGTGGGATACAAGATCTATTATGAATTAACAGGAGTGGAGAGTGATGTATTGAGATCAGGTTTGCAACCGATATTCATGTTTTCTTTCTTTTTTTCATTTTTAACCACTCTTAGTGAAAGCTATCAGTCAGAAAACTTGGAGAATGTATTATTTTTAAGATACCATATATCAAATGCACAATGGTTTATGTATTCTTCCTTTTACATCTTCACTGGAAAGTCCTTTTTAATTTCAAATGACAATTAAATCTTGCTATTTTGAATCATACTTTTATTGCTTTTGTTGCTCGAGGAGGTTTTTTCAGTGCTTCATTACAATTCTATCATTCATCAATTGCCTGCAGTATTTGTCAGTGGTGGTGATTCTGTGAGTGGCTCCGTCACCGGTCTCCTCGCCAACGCATCCTATGACATCAAGGTTGCCATTTTGACGAGCAAAGATATTGAGCTTGGTGATACAGAACCGGTCACTGTTTCAACAGGTTAGTTGCAATTTGTTTAAAAAATAGCCAGAATGTTTTTCTTTATCTCATAAAGTCTTCTTTTTTTCCCAGTTCAATCCATTAAGAAACTTGTTTTATTTGGTGCCTTTTTTTCCTGGCACTGAACAGATTGCTCCACTTGTTTCTGCCATTTCTGGAATTGTCTTGCCACTGTAAATCTTGGTACAAGCAATATTCCATGGTATAAAACTCTCAATTCATTAGCCAGTTTGAAATTCAAGAAGAAAAAAATATGTTTGATTTATGTTTGATAACTTGATAAAGTCAGAATCATTCAATTGATGTTAACCAAACTTGCATGCAAGGATGAAATCAATTTAGGTGTAATATAGGTCAAAGGCCACATCAGGGTCATAAAAATGATTTTCAAAATACCAGAAAATATCTTGTTACCACGATAACTTGAAAAGCATTGAAGCAATTTAAACAAAACATGGATGAAGTTTGTTTCAAGAATTTTGGTTAATAAATTTCATGATTGATTACATGATTCATGATTTAACGATTTTTCCAAATGATTTTGTGTTAAACATCATTCATTTTTGAATAATCCTTTCCAGTGCCATGCCCAGATGGCTATGAGGAGGGGCCCAACGGCCGCTGCTATCGCTTCAGAATCCTTGACTTAGGTTCCTGGTGGCCCACGGGACGAAGGACCTGCGACAACGAGCCTGACTCTGACCTGGCTATCATCAATGATCAAGTGGAGCTGGATTTCTTGATCAATAGGACAGTGGAGATCGATCCTAACATCACGTGGTGGATAGGTGATTAGCATTTAAAGGATAATGTTACATTTCTAAGAATAGTTTCAAAGAATATATAATTGTATTATGATTATGCATTAAGCAACAAAAAAAACAACGACATATCAATGTGATGGTTATTTTACCTGACTGCTAAGAAAGCATAAATGCTTGTAAGTAAGCAACCAGACGGCTTTAGGTCCTCTCCGAGGGACCTGTTAATGACGATTAATGCCTTACCAAAGGGCACTAGCGCATCGCCTTGGTTTCAAACCCGGGTCACCGGAGTACGATCGAGACCACTGCTCTACCGACTGCATAATTGCAAAGAATTGCAAATACCAAACAATGAGGAATTTTTTAAAGTTTGAATTGATCTTTTTTATTTCTCTCAAATTGATAATGGACAGCAATTATCATTTTCTCTGAAAATCCATAAAATATTTTTGTATTAATGATATTGTTAGATTGATTACACTAATCACCTCTTCTAATTGGTGTCAGGTTTTGTTCTCCCTTTTACTTGTACCATTCTTTAATACCACAGGAGGTGGTGTAGGAGGCATTATTTTTCTAACAAATGTTGTACTTGGGAAGAATATTCATGGAGAGAACTATGTCAAAAATTGTAATATTGCTAAATTTGATCCCATGTTGCCATGAGTTTGCATTTTACTGTTTTATTTAGTTAAAATGATTTTTTTCAGGCAGTTGAATGCGTATTATCTGAATGGAGATTTAGAAGTTAACAATTATCTTGACTTATTTTTCAGGCTACTCTGACCAGTCTGTGGAGGGTGACTGGCGTTGGGTCGATTGCACCGAGTCAACTACCTGGCAGGATGCATTGTGGGTACCTGATCACCCTGGAAACGGTCGTCTGGACTGTGCAGCCTTGCAGCCTGACGGTCAGGTCGTGGACTTGGTTTGTGATACACCGCTCAGTTATCTGTGTGAGATTTCACCGAGAGGTGAGGATCGTCTTCGTCTTTCGCATTCCTTCAAGAGTTTTCCATCACAATACCCCGTGACTTTTTACTTGGTATGGTCCAAAATCTGAGACGGTCACATTGTTTAGATTGTGTTGTATATTGTACATGAGCAATACACATTGAAAAGTCAAATGTGCATGACAATGTATGTCCCATTAGTTGACCTGCAACGGAATCAGCATGGAGCATTTCCAATTTTAAACATAAATTTGCATTATCCTGAGGCGAATCATCATTCACCTGTTGAATTATCACCTTAATCATTTCAAATGTACTTTGTTAAATATTTTTTTCTTTAAAGATTCTTGAAAATCTTTGGTATTTCTATGCATTATTTAGGTAAGAACCCCAATGGAAGAACAGTGGTCCAGTTGAAATGGGCCATCAGTTTTGTTTGTATATAAAAAATTGTATTATTGATTTATGTTGATGATTACAGAAATAGTATCAAACGATCAGTCAATACCGGTAATTTCTTTATGCTATGTTTACTATCTTTAGGATTCAGTCAGGAAGATGCCAATCCTGATAACCTTGCTGCCATGGCGGGAACGACCTATGGCCTGGAGGTCACATGGACCGTATCTCAGACCAGCTGTGATGTGATTGGCTATCGTATCTCCTACTACTTGACTGGAGATATATCAACTAGGTCATCAAGTAGGTTTAATTGTGATATAACTGGAACTGTAAGTCATTTTGTAATAACGACTCTATTGTCGATTTACATAGTGCCTAATCAATTTTCGATGTCTCAATTATTAAAAAAGCGCTTAACAGATATATTATTACCCCATTCATCAGATTCTGGATTGCTCACACACAATATTTGCCCCTTATATCCAGTCCCGAGGAGCATTCCAGCTATGCAGGCGCTGTTTTAGAGACATACAGAATGCTGAACAAATCACAATGACCTTTACATCCTACTGCATGGGTACCCATTCAAATCCCCAGTGGATACAAGCAATGTAGACAAAATTTCTTGTTAAGGACAGAATTGCTGAGCCAGGGATTGAACCTATAACCTTTACATCTCTGGCAAAGTGCATCTTAAAATGTATGTGTCCAAGTTCGGTCTATTTATAATGTGTGTGTTAAAATTCTCATTATAATATTTTCAGTCGGTATGCATCTGACAATATGGGGATGTTTCATGTAATGCAATTAACTTATTCATTCGCCAAAAAATTATCAAAGTTAATGTATTAAAAGGAGCATGTTTTCTCTTAATTAGTATTCTATATTTACTACTATTCTTTCTTTCCCATCAGTTATGGTCTATGGTGGGGATACGTCTAGTGCATTAGTAAGTGGCTTAGCAACCAACACAACCTATGATGTCACAGTAGCAGCGTATATTAGCAAAGATGAAGAGCTGAGTCCTGTAGGCCCAGTCACAGCTACAACAGGTGAGGAGCTAGTGATAGGGATAATGATTTGATTTGATTTAAAAAAAGAATTGTTGTGCCATTGTAAACCTTGGTACAAGCAATATTCAAAGCTATAAAACTCTCAATTCATTAGCCCATTTGAAATTCAAGAAGAAAGAAAATTCTTATTTTATGCCTCTGCACCAAAGGTGGTGCCTGGTCTTGATTGAGGCATTATATTTTCAGGTTGTCTGACGGCCTGTCTCTCCATCTGTGTGTTAACTCCATGAAGTCAGAACCATTCAACACACTTTGATCAAACTTGGATCAAGTATGCATGAGCATGCAAGGATGAATTAGATTGTCAGTATTAAAGGTCAACTGTCAAAGGACACAGGGTCACAAAAGTGTTTAAAAAATACCAGAAAATATCTCGTTACCACAATAACTTAACAAGCATTGAAGCAATTTAAACAAAACATGAATGAAGTTTGTTTTAAGAATTTGGGTCATTTCAACTAACTTTGATAAACATTCCTTTTGCTGAAATCCTTTCCAGTGCCATGCCCAGATGGCTATGAGGAGGGACCCAACAGCCGCTGCTATCGATTCAGGATCCTTGACTTAGGTTCCTGGTGGCCCACGGGACGAGGGACCTGCGACAACGAGCCTGACTCTGACCTGGCCATCATCAACGATCAAGTGGAGCTGGATTTCTTGATCAATAGGACTGCCGAGATCGATCCTAACATCATGTGGTGGATAGGTGATTAGCACTTAAAGGGATCCGGTAACTTTGTCTTAGATCCTTTAAAAAATCCTTGATTTAGCTCATGCTGCAATGATAATTATAAACCTTTAGGTCAGTCAGGAACCCCATGACTTTTACAAGCCGATTTCCTGTCTGATTATCAAGATATTTAATATTGATAATCAAAATTAAATTTTGCGTTTGCCAAACGGTTTTCATAACACTACAATCTATTGGGGAAAACGAGTATGTAAAACCGGTCACTCAAAGGTTTTTACTTTTTTGAGGCACTTTTTGATCAATTTGAAGCGCAATTTTTTTAGGGCTTCAATATAACATCATATTACAGACACTGATGACACTTAGGGCCGTGCATCTTAGATTTAACATTGTTAGACGATCCCTTTAATGGATAATGTTACATTTATAAGAATATAGTTTCAAAGAATATATCATTGTATTATGATTAGGAATTATGATATGATAATTGCAAAGAGTTGCAAGGACCATACAATGAGTACAGGAAGATTTTAAGGGCGTATTGATCTTTTTTCTCTCCTCTCAAATTGGTACCGTTTTTTATAACTGAAACTGATAGATTGATTACATTAATCACCTTTACTTGTTTTTCTTCAAATTGGCGTCAGGATTTGCTTTAATCCCGTTTACTTTTACCATCCTTTAAGGAGGTGGTGTCGAAGGCATTATTTTTGAACAAATGTTGTACTTGGAAAGAATATTCATGGAGAGAACTATGTCAAACTATTTTACCCCATTTTACCATTAGTTGGCATTCTACTGTTTTATTCAGCTACAATGTCTTTTTTAGGTTGTTGCAATGAGTGCGTATTAACTGAATGGGGTTAACAATATCTTGAACTAATTTTTCAGGCTACTCTGACCAGTCTGTGGAGGGTGACTGGCGTTGGGTCGATTGCACCGAGTCAACTACCTGGCAGAATGCATTGTGGGTACCTGATCACCCTGGTAACGGTCGTCTGGACTGTGCAGCCTTGCAGCCTGACGGTCAGGTCGTGGACTTGGTTTGTGATACACCGCTCAGTTATCTGTGTGAGATTTCACCGAGAGGTAAGGATCGTCTTCGTCTTTTGCATTCCTTCAAGAGTTTTCCATCACAATACCCTGTGACTCTGTACTTGCTATGATCCAAAACCTGAGATGTTCGCATTGTTTGGAGTATGTTGTATATTGAACATGAGCAATATACACAGAAGTCAAATGTGCATGGCAATTTATGTTCCACTAGTTCACCAGCAACGGGATCAGCATGGAGCATACCCAGTTGAAATGATCAATTTGCATTAATTATCCTGAGGCGAATCATCAATTGCTGTTGCCGCATTCTGATATCACCTAACTCATTTCAAATATCATTTTGTTCAATATTACTTTTTTTAAAGTTCCTTGAAAATCTCTGATATTACTATGAATTATTTATGAAAGAACAGTGGTCCAGTTAAAATGGGCCATCAGTTTTATTATTTTGTATTAAAACAAAATTGTATTATTGATTTATGTTGCTGATTACAGAAGTAATTACAAAAAAAACGAATCACATTTTTCTTTTTACTTTGTTTACTACCTTTAGGATTCAGTCAGGAAGATGCCAATCCTCATAACCTTGCTGCCATGGGAACGACCTATGGCCTGGAGGTCACATGGACTGTATCTCCGACCAGCTGTGATGTGATTGGCTATCGTATCTCCTATTACTTGACTGGAGATATATCTACCAGTGGATCAAGTAAGTTTAATTGTGGTATACCTAGAACAATAGGTCACATCAGTATTATCCATAATTTCTTTGCTACATATTTTTTTATTGATTGATAATTTTCTAAGTATACTTTGTTCAAGATATATTTGTAAAACAACATCTGAGGAACTAACACTTCAACAAGCTCTGCTTCTAGTTAGTTCCTCTTTTCTTGTGCTTTTTCCTTTATCTTTGTCACTTCATTGTATATTTTTTTGTAATATACTTATTCATTGTATTATGTTTTGCATGAGAATTGCAGAGATTTTAATCCTGTACCTTGTGGTTCACAGTGGAGACTTATCCACTAGACGACAACATGTCAACACATTTAATTCATATTCTTATTATTATTATTCTATATTTCTTTAAAATCAGGTTTTGTCTATGGTGGTGATACGTCTAGTGCAGTAGTACGTGGCTTAGCAACCAACTCAACCTATGATGTCACAGTAGCAGCGTATATTAGCAAAGATGTAGAGCTGAGTCCTGTAGACCCAGTCACAGCTACAACAGGTGAGGAGTAGTGATAGGGAAAATGATTTGAATTGAGTTGATTTGATTTGATATGATATGACATGATTTGATTTTGATTTGACTTGATTTGATTTGATTTTGATTTAATATGATTTTGATTTGTCTGGCTTGATCTGTTTAACTTGATTTGAGTTGAGTTGAGTTGACTTGATGGAATTGATTTGATTTGATTCCATTTGATTCAGTTTGATCTGATTTGATTGGATTTAATTTGATTTGAGTATACTTTGCTTTGCTTTGATTTAGTTTGATTTGACATGATTTGTTTGGGTTTTATATGATATGATTTTATTTTATTTGAGTTATTTTATTTTGATTTGTTTTGATTTGTTTTCTGTCTGTTTAATTTTATATGGTTTAGTTTGATTTGATATGATATGAATATTTTATTTATGTTTGATTCTCTTTATACATGTACAAATCTTTATTATTATGATCATCATGACATTACCAATTTTCTTCCAACCTTAATTCATACAGACCCATGTCCGGACGACTACAGCCTCGCTCCCAATGGAAGATGTTACCTCTTCGTCCAGAGCAGCCTTGGGTCCTTCTGGCACTACAGCAGGGAAACCTGTTGGGCGCAGAAGGACTCTGACCTAGCTATCATCAACGACCAGGAGGAGCTGGACTTTATTGTGCAACAGATAGCTGCGATTGGGGATACCAATAACTGGTGGTTAGGTACGTTATGTGAAGGTCTCAAGTGGGTTATAGGACACATGCATGCTCTATTAACCATCGGTCAATTTCCTACTGTAACCAAATTCCTAACTTTAACCTTTGACCCGAAGACATGTACTATACCACACACCAGGGGTGTTTCACAAAACTTGTCATCAGTGACAAATGACAGATTTTGTTATAAGCTACTGAAATCCTTGCTTCTGATCTTTGTCATTTGTCATTGAAAAAAGGCTTTGTGAAACGTGCCCCAGCTGTATAAGCTTAACACTTTGCTCGCTTTCTCCGCCTCTCTGCGCAGTCGCTGATTTGCTACACATACATTTTTTAACAAAACAATAACCACCAATGGAGGGAAGGATTGCTTGTTCAATACAATGGCTTTGCAAAATTACCAATTTCTGATCTTGAATAGCTCCAAGACAAGTCTTTCATCACTGGTATAGATGAATTATTTAAACATATTTGTGGCTCACACCCAGTAAATAAGATCGATTGATCCATCTGTATTGAAAAACAAGTCAGAATACTGGGTGTAAGCCACAAATATGTTTAAATAATTGAAATTTTTCCCAGGAAGCATTGTATTTATAAAAGTTATTAATCTTGCATTAGAAACAGTTAAAGAATATTGTAGGCTTTGGTATATGATTAAAAAAACGCTAAACTATGACACCTCTGAAGACCAAACAACTGTTACTTTATTTCTTCAAAGGTTATTCTGATAACTCTGTGGAGGGTGAATGGAGGTGGGTGGACTGCACGGAATCAAACGACTGGCAGATGACCCTCTGGGCTCCTGGTTCCCCTGGCAACGAGATGCCAGACTGCGGGTCTTTGTCATCGTCAGGAGAAGTAGAAGCTCAAGTCTGCGATGTGCCGCTCAATTATGTCTGTGAGGTATCACCTAAAGGTAACATGACCATTCACTTTCTAAATTCAAGTTTTGAAAATGTAATTGGGAGTTAGTTTTTGTTCAATGGGAGGTCCAGAGTAGGAAATGTGGCAAGTGAAGGTGTTTGTCAGAGATTTTTTGAGACGTGTATTTTGAACACAAACATACATGAATATGTACTCCCCAAACCACAGTCAAATAGTCTTGAATCCTTCCTTGTTTTTATTAAAAACAATTATTGGATAATGAATAGCATTGGATGATGTCATGATTTTGATTATACTTTGTTTTTCTATTTCCTCCTACAGAAAGACATCAAGAATTTGACTCGCATCTCTTTGTAAAAAGTACTTGTTTTTAACATGTAATCTGTTCAATTTGATGAAAAGCTTAATTTTTCCCCCCTTAAACCATGACCACTTTACTTTCGCTAAAAAAAGTTGCATTTTGTCAACAACGTTTGATCATGCATAAAAATACAATTGTCTCTTTAATTTGAATGAATATTTATATTCATGTCAGGTTTTGATCCTATGGAACTAAAGGTTGAGAATCTGGAGACGAGTGGAGCTTCATACGGAGTTGATGTGTCATGGACACTTCCAGAGAATAAATGTGACGCTTTTGGCTACAAGATATACTATCAGGAGATGAACAGTGACATGGAAGAATTTAGTAAGTACAGCATCATAGATGTTTAGTCTATCTGGAAGGCAAAAAAAAAGAAGAAGATGTTGTATTGCCCTTTAGGTGCCAAAACATGGGTCGGTAGGTCGGAAATATTTTTTTAATAATTTTTTTCTCCCTCTTTGGGCTAATATTTTTCAGTTTTGAATGCTTTATTACATTTTTTCTCTCCAAAAAACGGTTTTAAAAAATTTAAAAATTTAAAAAGCCGACCGTAGATTTCAAGATTTTTTGGTCGATTCGCAATGGACAGTACAACATCTTTTTTTTTAAGGCCTAATGGGTATTCCATTTTGATTTTGCCTCTTTTTTTCATCTTGAAGATCCACAACAAATCAAAATTTATTATTTTACAAAATCTGTTAATCTTTTAAATGTTTAAACAAAAAATGTCATGTTTTTGGTTGTATTTTTCAAAGTATATTCCTATAGTAACACAAAGTGTGAGTTTGGGTGCAAGGTATTCTTTTCCCAATAATTGTTTAAGGGTCATGGGAAAATATGATTACATGTATATAAAAATCAAAGGGTATCCAAGAAAAATTTAGATTGTGGCAAACTATGTCCATCTCTTAGAAGTGCCATGTCAGATCGGCACAAGGAGAGGAAAAATTTCATAAAAACAGAGATAATGGATACTACAAAATCAAAGAATAGCAACAAAATGCAGAGAGAGTAAAGCTTTTCGTCTTGATTTCAGAAGAGTTAATCGCAAGAATGAACAGAAAATTTAAATCGGACAATATAAACAGAAGCTAAAGGAGCAAACTTCATAAATCTTTGTTAGCAAAGAAGTGCCAAATGAATACTTGCACATTAAAGCCCCCACTGCACAAGTTTGGCCAGGAGGGATTAGACCTCCATGTATGGTCACTGACAGGTGGTTATCTCATCAAATCAGCTATCAATTAACATAAGAAAAACAGGATCATGGGAGACCAATCATCACCGATTAGGCATTGTTTGCTATATAGAAGGCGCAAGTACCTATATGTAGTGCGGTCGGGCTTTAAAGCAGTGCCCTTTTCTTAGACTTTTGATTTATCATCCATTCAATCTACAGAGATCATCTACGGTGGAGACTCCATTGGTGCTCGTGTAGCAGGCCTTCTACCCAATACCACACTGAATGTGAGTGTAGCTGTCTTGATCGTTGACGATGAGCTGGAGAGAGTTGGGCCTGTTGTCGGCATATCTGGTAAGTCTGAGGACCCCATTTCACAAAACTTGTCATCAGTGAAAAATTACAGTTTTTGTTATTAGCTAGTTAAATCCTTGCTTCTGATTGGTTATCAGCAGATTTGTCACTGATTTTTGTCATTTGTCATTTGTCATTGATGACAAGTTTTGTGAAAACTGGTCCTAGGGGTGCTTTATCCTAACGGTGTTCCAAATTCTCAAACACATGTTATGTGTATAGCAAGCATGATACCTTGCAACAAATTTTTGATTTTTGAGCCCAATTTTAATGTTCATTGAGGTACAAACTTAATTCATTATGTGTTTAAAACACGTACTTCACATTTCAGGAACCTGTTTCTAATTTCAAGAAAAAACACCACTTTTGTTTACTTTGTCCTAAATTATTAGAGACAGCATAACTATTAGAGACAAGCCTTTATTATTACAAAATACTTTTAGATATACATATAATTATTGATTTGGGTGATGATTACCTATGGAAGTTAAAGGGTTATATAACAACCTGAAGGCTAGAATTTCTTCACCTTTTTTCTACTCATAAATATTGATTGACGAAACCAAGATAGTACTTGATTCTAATTTTGCTGTACCCCCTTTAGACCCATGTCCCACTGGCTATGAGGAAGCAGCAAATGGGCGGTGCTACTGGTTCCAAGACTCTGATCGCTATGTTAAAGACTGGTTAAATGCAAGGTGAGCATCATGAGAGGATAAATTCAAAAGTAAAGCTTAGCAAAATTTAGTTGTACTTATCAGAGCCTTTTTTATCACGTTGGATGTGATTTGATTTGGTATGTACGTATTCTCCATAGAACACAGCCCAAGTTGTGTAAGGCATAGTTCTCAACATTTTAATAATAGATTGCATATTTCCAGTCAAGCGACATTCCTCTTTCCCTTATCTTTAGATCTTCTACCCCCCCCCCCCCTCCTAGAAGGCAACAGCATCTAATTTTCAAGACAGTTGGCCAGATAATTATAATCTATGGTTTCGAGTTCCTGTTCATTTCGCTAATTAAGCTGCAATACTCAAGCCAATGTTTTTTCACACTGATTTCTTTTCTTCAGATTTCTGTCTGTTATACTTATAGGCGTACAGGGTTAGGGATGATGGATTGGGTTGGAATGTTTATATAATGTACCCAATACCATTTGAGGAACATGTAGATGTTGAATTCATGGAGAAAGACAAGTACTTCTTAGTCCCAAAGTGTACTGTATTAGATAAAAAATTAAAGACAGAACTTCCTACAGCACTGTAAGCTGGGGTCTAATGTAACTCATTGCAATGTTCGGAGAGTAGTACCTTTTCAATGTCTCGCTTTCCATAGATACTATTGTGGTGAAGCAGCAGGGAATTTTGATCATGACCTGATGATTATCGATGATGAATGGGAATTGGAATACATCACAAACAGGACCAGAGAGTTTAATGACAGTAAAGATTGGAGAATAGGTGAGTTCCAAGTTATACTCTGATGGACCTTAATTGTGTTAGGGTTATTTGTTAGGTGTTAGAAATAGAAGTAGAATACATGACAAGCAAGGCCTGATAAATGATTTTCACAAAAATTCAATTTGATAATGCATTTTTGATTATTTTAAGGGATTCTGTGCAAACAGACAAACAGTTTGAAGGTGGTTTGATAGTGGATACTTAAGTGCACTTCAAGAAAGAAATAGATAATCTAGAAGTGCAAGATATCAGTTTGGCTTTATACAGTACTCAAATGTTTGAAGACTGTGCAAAGAGGTGTGATAATAAATAGCCCTCAGTAACCCTTCAAACATGAACATACTTGTGCAAGAAAAAAATTGAACTAAAATAGAATAGTTAGCGGAAAAAGAGAGAGAGAGAGAGAGAGAGAGAGAGAAAGAAAGAGATTGAGCTAGGGGAGAGAAAGGGAGAGGTTAAAAGGAAATGAGAGATTAAGAGGAGAGAAATGAGAAAGAGAGAGAAAGCAAAGAAGGGTATAGATAAGGTTGAGGAATGGGAGTAAAGATGGAGAGAGACCAACACACTAAAAAGCGAAGAAAATTGAACTTTGTATGTATCCTAACCAGTAATCATTCACAACTATTTCTGTACATGATCTTAAAGGCTACTCTGACCTGGCCGAGGAGGGAGTGTGGAAGTGGGTCACATGTGAGTCACCTGATGCATGGCAACTGAGTCTGTGGGCACCGGGCTACCCACAGAACGGTTTAGATGACTGCGGAGTATTTGATCCCGATAACATGACCGTCTATGATCAGGTCTGTGACGTGGGTGACATCAATTTTATCTGCGAAGTCACACCAAAAGGTGAGATAATTGACATTTTCATAGACAAGTCTATAATTTCATATACTAGTAGTGCCCACATTGTGTCTGAATTTACCATTTGCCCTCATGATGACCATTTATGTAATGTGATAGATATCAACTACATCTGTGTGGACACTCCACAACATAGGATAGTTGGAAATGTGAAAAAAGGGTTATTGATGATACAATTTTTTAATTTAATTCCACATAGTGCCCCCATTGTGTTTGAATTTGCCATTTGTCCCTATAATGGCCGTCTACTCTTTTTCCCATAAAGTTGGAATAAAGTTTTCTTTAAGTAAAATGATTTTGACAATATAATTCATTCATGATAGATAAAACTTAAAGCCCCACTGTCCTACTTGTAGCTACTTGCTCCCTCTATATAGAAAACTTCCCCAATCAGTGCCTGTTGGTCCCCCATGATCCTCTTTTTCTTATGTTAGTTGAGAGCTGAGTTAATGAGATAGCCACCTGTCAGTGACCTTGCTGTGTGGTCTAATCCCTTCTGGCCCAGTAGTATTGACGGTCTTTAAGTCTTCTAAGGACTTTACTGCTTAATAAAGTTGTAATAACTACTGCAAGGCTCAGGCTTTCCAGTATTTTTATTTCTTCTTTCTTTTTAGACGACAATTTACTCTGTTTGCATTTTTATTCGTACAGATTTTCGTGTAGGAGATGACAACGTCTTTAATCTCAATGCCACTGCCATTGGGTGGGACACCATACGAGTCACGTGGAACGTGTCTGAATACAACTGTGATGTCATCGCTTACAACATCTACTATCTGGATACCTTCTTGGGAGGCCAGCCGGAGTGGGGTAAGTCTCTCTCATACTTATTTATTTTTAGGGCTTAATTGATCATATACTGGTCTCCAAATTTGCAACAATAATATTAAAATAAAATGTGATGTCTCTGAAAACAATATATACATTTTTTTTTTCAGCTCTGGTGTATGGTGGTGAAGTAGATAGCTACGACATCACCATGGTACAGCCTAGCACCCGTTACAGCATCAGTGTCTCCGCTGAGCGACAGGAAGTAGAGCTCCCTCAAGTGGGACCGGTCTACGTCACAACACCTGAAGGTGACTATCACATTATATATCAAGATAAGATCAGGGACCCGTTTCACAAAGCCTTTTTTCAATGACAAATGACAAAAATCAGTGACAAATCTGCTGATAAACAATCAGAAGCAAGGATTTCAATAGCTTATAACAAAAACTGTCATTTGTAACTGATGGCCAGTTTTGTGAAACACCCCCCCCCCCCCCCAGGTTAAGGCCGCTCAAGGAAGCATTGGCAATGGTCTCTGTATATATATAGACTGGAGGGACAATCAGCCCCCTCTGGTACATACATGTACCTTTGCAAAATTTTGTTCTTTGATGAAGTTTTATCCAAAATCTGCTACAACGACTGTATAGCTTCAAGCCTTATAGGCACTACTAAATTGAACCATCAATTCCTGGGCAATTTTTTCCACAGATTATGTACTTTCCATATAAAAAAACACAATGTGAAGATATAAATACTTTAATTACCAATGATTCAAATTTAGATTTTAGTTTGAATACAAATTGACCGATTCGTCACCAGCCAATATGCTTTTTTAGAAGAGTCCTTCAAATGATGCTATTTGTATTTCTTATTGTTTTGATTATTTCTTCCTCCCTCCAATCCACTATCCTTCCACTCAGGACCATGTCCCGCTTACTATGAGAGTGGCCCTGATGGTGGCTGCTATCGATTCATCACAAGCGAGTATGGCTCTATATGGACTAGCGGAAGGGGAGGGTGTTCATCGGTCGAAGACTCTGACCTGGTGGTCATCGACAACCAGATGGAGTTTGATTTTATCGTCAATCGCACAAAGGATTTTGATCCAATTAGGGATTGGTGGATAGGTGAGTCTACAAAGTTGATGTGGGTTTCATCCCCAACATGCCACTATAGCTAGTTCCTTAGGCCACATTTGCCACTCCATACCCAGGAGAGAAATGGGGACCTGGTAGGATGACAAAAGCTTTGTGATGGTAATTGCCATATATGCCCTCAACATGACGTTATGGTAGGAATACTTCCAGGGAGTGGAGATGGTGCACACTGTGTGCATGAATGAATCCAATGACATAGTTAATAGTGATATCTGTTGAGTGCTTTAATTGAGACAGCATTCTGTATTTAAGCGCTATATGAATCCGGATTCATTATTTTATTACAAGAAGTGGTTCATCTATCCCTGCATGTGGTTGATTAAAGCATAACCCTATAGTCCTAAACAAATGGCACCAGCACATCAGTTTTGTATTGTACCCAATTTGCATTGATTACAAGATCTTTGCTCACCTCCCCATGTGAACATGCATGTACAGATTTATACCGGGTAGGTGAAACTAAACACCAGGAGCAGTGTAAAACCTATTAGTGGGACTAGCTAACAGAGGGCATAAATTTATACTCAAAGACACTAGCCCTCTGAATTGGTGTCTGAGTCTTGGAAATTTCTAATAAATTATAAGTTTGAAAGGTTTGTTTTGTTCATCCACTTTAGATGTGGACTTGTTAGCCATAAGTAAGACCTACATGTATAAGTGGGACTAGCTAACAGATCTAGAGGGCATGAATTTATACTCAAACACACTAGACCTCTAAACTGGTGTCTGAATCATGGAAATTTCAAATACAATCCAAGTTTGAAAAACTTGTTCTGTTCATCTTCTTTAGATGTGGACTTGTTAGCCATGCTCATTAGCAATTTTTAAAGCAACTTTTTGAGTATGTTGTACTACACATGTTCCAGTGATGACTGCTTTGTGGTCAATTTCTAACACTAAACAAAGTCGTCGCTACAGCCCTGGACCAAACACTATACCTATATGTACACCTAGCTCTATACCTTCTCCAAATTGACAGTTTTTTTGGCCATTCGGGTTATGCAATTATTTGTTTTGTCTGCTGTTAGTATTGTGTTGTGCAGGGTAAGACTGACTGGAGTATTAAAGGGATTTGGTATCTTTGTTTCAGCTTCTGAAAAAAAATCCAGGATTTAGCTCATGCTGCAATGATAATTATAAACCTTTAGGTCAGTCAGGAACCCCATGACTTTTACAAGTTGATCGCATGTTTGATTATTAAGATATTCATGATTGGAAATCGAAACCAAATGTTGCGTTTTCCTAACGGTTTTTATAACACTACAGTCTATTGGGGAAAATGAGTATTGTAAAACTGTTCACACAAAGATTTTTACTGTTTTTAGGCACTTCATGATCATTTTGAAGCGCAATTTTTGTTACGGCTTCAATATTATGCCATTTCACAAACACTGATAACACGTAGGGCCATGCATCTCAGATTTAACATTGTTAAACAATGCCTTTAGAGTACATACAGTGTTAATAAATCAAACTTACACACATGGGAAACATTGATTATTGTACATATGAAATCAAGGCATGAAATATTTATTGTCTCTTTCTTGCAGGATTTTCTGATTTCTCTGTGGAGTCTGACTGGCGATGGGTGACGTGCGACGCCCCTACTGACTGGCAGAACACCATCTGGGAGACTGGTTACCCTAGAAATGGTCTCCATGACTGCGGGGCTCTCAGTTCAAGCAGCCGTCAAGTAGTTGATGCTGTCTGTGACACACCCAATTATTATATCTGCGAGATTACACCAAAAGGCAAGTTTTATAATAAAGTGTTTGTAGTGTATTATTGTTGACGTCCTGTACATTGCTGGTGTTTCAAACCTGTAGTTAATATAATAAATCCTCTACGAAAAATGGTGGACGCTTGGTTACAGTTGAAATGCTGTGGTAGTGATGCATTCTCTGTAGATCCTCAAAAACAAGTGGATGGTGTTAACTTATGTGGAGGTGACTTGTGAAGTCTGATTTTTGAAATTTTTAGAAGCATAAAAAAACCTTGTTCAGTAACTAATTACTATAAAGGCACTGTGTAAAAGACTGTTATTGTAATCATAATCATTAGATCATAAGACTGATTCGTTAGTGACTCTCATTTGTGACTTGTCAATGATGAAATTGTACTTTTAAACTTAGTTTAAGTTCTGTTGCTGGAGAAAATGTATGAGTTAAAAGAATACTTGTTTGAGTTTCCTTCCTTGTTTAGACAAAGGCTTGATTGCGATTCAGTAATATTTTTAATTTCAAGTGTCAACCGCTGGGATATTTCAATCTATAGGTAATGATATCTATAGGTAATGATATGAAAATTCTCTTCTAATTGATTTCAACCAAAGTACCATAGTACACCCTATTACAATCAAACAGGTTCAGTGTGTAGAAATAAGAAAAATTAACTCACTTGCAATGTTTAAGACTACTGTCAAAACTTATCTATTTTCAAAGTAATTATTATTTGTTATAGTGGAATATCATTTGATGACATTTAATTTTTAATTTGTATGTAATAATGCAATTATCTATAATTTGTATATAATAATGTAGGCCTAATATGTAAATTGTAAGAATGTAATAATGTAAAGCGCATAGCAGATTGTCTTCGACGATTATTATGCGATATATAAATCACAATTATTATCATTATTAGTTAAAAATGAATTCATTCATTTAAACTTTGATGTTGCAGGTTTTACCGATGCTGACATGAACGTACGTGACGTGACGGCATCCCCCATATCTAGTACTGAGGTACAAGTCACATGGATGCTTTCCAACATCACATGCAACGTCTATGGATACAAGATCTATTACGGCATCCAAGGAGAACCGTTTGATAGTAAGAAGTTTATTTGATTGTTTCATTAGCTCCTTCAAGGTTCATTCATCTGTGGGTCTTGAAATCTGAGGATTGTGACCAAATAAAACATACTTTTTTTTCTCTTCTGTCATTCCAACTTTTTTTGTGTGTTTGCTGGCCATCTGTATTTCAATTCAATTCAATTCATTTTAATTATTTTCATTTTCAACAAAAACAAAACAAAGATATATACAATGATAAGCATTTGCAATATATAAGAAAGTGTAAATAGGGAATTAAAATATGGCCTTGTGGAGGCATAGTTCCCCGAACAGTAGTTAAGAGATTTACATATACAAACAAAACTAAAAAAGAAACATACATGACAAAACATGATTTGATTTGATTGCTTATCATATATACTCGTTCATTTATTCTTCTCCTGGTATTCTTAGATAAGTACAACTTCTTTAACATCTGTTTCTATGTATAGGCATAAGTGTGATTCATTGAAGAACAAGTATAAATCAGTAGTTGTTAAATGCATCTTTTTTTTTGCATTTCATTTGTTCTTAAAGTCTGATATTAAAATTTTATTCACAATGGTGCATAGTTTACCACATGACAAAGAGAGGTATATAGTATTCAGCATATGTTTTGCTCCAGTTTTGATAGCAGTTATTCCAAACCATCTCAATGCAATTGTTGGTTTTATTCTCTCTCTCGTTTTTGTGCTTATTTCTTCTTTTAGTTACACAGTTCCATCTGGTCTACGGTGGTAACATCACATCTTTGACTGTATCCTCACTAACCCCTTCGATGCCCTATGAGTTCCATGTCGCTGCTCTAATCCCAGACAGACTCGAGCTACCAAAGATAGGACCAGCCAATGCAACCACATATTCAGGTACATCACAGAAGGCCTGTTTTCATCAGCTCGAGATTGCCAAAAAGCCCGCTCTTTCTGATTTGGGAAATAATCCTGAAGTTACAAATGGCTTCTTCATCAGCTCAAGACCAGAAACTCGAGCTCGTAAAATTAGCTCAAGATATTTGCTCAGTGTTCATTCATAGTGGGGATCTTTGGGCTAGTGAAGACGCACCCGACAAATAGCGGGATATTTTGCAAACTAGCTCAAGATATCTTGGGGTGATTATCTTGACCAAATATCTGACTAATTGCAACTTCGGGCTGATGAGGACGCTAGATAATTTGCAATCAGGATAGTTCAATTAGCGGCAATATCGAGCTGATGAAGACAGGCCTAATGTGAACCCGATGACTTCTAAATTCTCTAATGTCCATAGGCATAATACATGGATCACCGGGTCCCAGTAGGCAGAGGGTTAAATATCCTTTTTTCGATGTACTTGTCATTTTTTAATCAGTAATGGAATCCAGTAAATTCAAGGAGGGTATACTACTTTGTATGCCTGATATTATGTGAACAATATTTCGAGGAAAATGCATTCTAAAATTGACCATAATTTTACCATAATTACAAAACTAATGTCAATAACTCATCACTTCAGTGATCAACACTTTAAATGTATAAATGTATATGAAAATTTGACAAAAAATTACACTGGGCTCCATCTACAGGCGCACAACAATTTGCAGATACTTGTAGTTAGAAGATGCTTTGGACAAGAGTAAGGCATGCTTATGGGACCATAGATGATTTACATGTAGGTACCATGCAGTCATATGATGGTACTTGTTCATAGTGTTAGCTTACTATTTGATTTGATTTCATATCATACCACAAAATCAATCTAAATTTACATTAAAGCGACATCATCGTACACTTTACTTGAAATTAGCCATATTGAAATGCTGTGACTAGTTTCCTTTGTAACACAGAATGTGGACGGATCGTCGTAGACAAGGATGGTATGATAATGAATGCTGACTACCCCAATGGATACGCTGGTCCTGAGACATGTGAATGGCTCATCAGTGCTCCCTCGGACCAGTACGTCCTTCTGCAGGTAATACATTAGCAGTTCTAGACTCTAAACCCCTCACAGATACACAGTAGAGTGGTGTTAACTCCTCCTGTGCAGTGGAGGCAAAACATGCTCAAATATTTTCAAAGTTGTTGATTTTGTATTATGTTCATTATGCAGAGAGAGAGAGAGAGATAAAGAGAGAGTAATAGAGTAGTATGGTTATAGAGATACTGCCTATGGGTTTACTGTATACATGTCTTTAAAGAACTTAGCTTTAAATGCCAAGGAAGTTTAAACCACTAAAAATTGGGTAAAGTATCATTATTACCTTAAAAGAGCAGCTTGTCTTCATCTTAAAATTGAAACTGCATGTAAGTTCATGAAATTTGAAGTTCAATACAATGGAACAATGTTTGTATGTAGATGAACAATGAAAGAAGGTAATACAGATGGAAACTGTCTCAAAAACTTGGGTTATTGATACACATCTGTAAACTTGTTGACATTGGGTAATTTGATGAAAACTGACACTTTGTGTTTATTTGTTTAATTTAGATACTTGACTTTGACACCCGTGCCGGAGCTGACTTTGTGGTGATCGGTAGCGGCCTTGACTTTTCTACGGAGACCACCCTCTATGTTCTCTCCGGGTCCAGGGCCAACGCTGGGACCTCACCCATCCCTGCCAAGGTACTCAGTCCTGGTCAACACCTGTGGATATCCTTCAAGACATCAGAAGCAACCCTTGATCATGCCGGCTTCCAGATGGCTGTTACAATGGTCACTCAAGGTGAGATTATGTTTTATTATTGTACAATGAGAATAAAAGTCCTTATTCTCAGAAGCAGCATTTACATACGTAGACTTTAGAGGTTTAGCAACAGTGATGATATTTTTAACTGGCAAAAAGCTATATTGAAAAAGTGAAAGGCCTTAAAAATACATCTTTTTTTTTAGTTTGTAGTTGTAAGACTTATGTAATTTCTTATTTTCTTATGTAATTTTGATTTTCATTCACTGTAAGTGCTTTGCGCCTTATGGGAAAAGCGTGTATCAGTAATAATAATAATAATAATAATAATAATGATTTTCATTATCATTATCATTTCTTAGTATTACCTGGACAAACCAAGTGTATGATATCTTACGGAGGAATAGTAGTAATAGTGATGGTGTATACTATATTAATATTTCCTATGAATAAATGGTATCATATGTAATGATTTACAGTACTAAGGGTAGAAAGCTCTTCTTTACACAAAACATGAAGGAAAAAAAATCACACAAGACCTCTTTGCTTTCCTCACGTTTTCCCTGAAGGTCCTGGTACACCTGAAAGACAATATGAAGAGATCACAGAGGAAGGAACCTTCACATCGCCGGGATGGCCAGATAACCACCCAAATCTTGTGGTAACATATTTCATATATTCTCTATCCAGTGTATATAATTATAATAATGACATTGGCTACTTGTATAGCGCACAGGTCCACCTTTCGGTGCTCATGGCGCTTAGAGAAAAATACATGTAGCAAAAATAAGAAAGAAAAAACAAAAAAGGAAGTTTGAAATTCTCCTCGACATAGTAAATTAGAATATTGCAATAATTACAACAAAAAAAACAAATAAGTTTACAGTTGTGATTCAAATGTTTCTGTTGACGACAGTTGACATATTTGTAGAGGGATCGGAGTTCATTCCAGAGTTTGGGACCCATGGCTGAGAAAGCCTGATTGCCCCAAGCATGTTTTATTCCAGGTGTATGAAAATTGTGTACTATAAGATGTTGAATAAAAAGCCCAAGGTAAATGTGTCTCAGGCAAGAACCCATGGAAAATAAATCTGCAAGGAAAAATGTTATCATCAAAAATATTTATATCAGATACAGTACACGCCGAAAATCTCTGCAACACGATTACACGATTTATTTTTAGGATTACACGGTTTACACGATTCACCTGAATCGTGTAACTGTGTAATCGTGTAAATTTACACGATTGAAGAATGTCGCTCTGAATCGTGTAATCGTGTAAATAGTTAAGTGCATTGGTCGGATGATTCGACCAGATGCAACAATCGTGTAACTGTGTAATCGTGTAAATTTACACGATTGAAGAAAGTCGCTCTGAATCGTGTAATCGTGTAAATAGTTATTAGGGTTATAAGGGCATTGGTAGAACGATGCGACAAGCTGCAACAATCGTTAAATCGCATCCTGCTTACACCAATTGCTTTATACACAACTTACCTTCAGTGTACATCAGTTAATTACTGTACTTTATATTCGTGTATAAACCTCAGCACTTTCCACTAACATGTATCGTATACTAATCCGTGAGACAAGGTAGGAAAACGTCAGAAACAGATAGACATGATAGATGAAATAGAAAAGGAAAAAAGATAGCTACGAGGAGAAGGGAACATATAAAAGGAAAACGAGGGTTGAAAGGCACGATATAAAGATAAACAGAAAAAATTATGCAAGAGAGAAAAAAGGGAAAACTAAAAAGTTGACCGGAAGAAAAGAAAGAGTGAAATAGAGTGATAAAAAAAGAAGGGCGAAACATAGTAAAATTAACAGAAATGAGAAGGCTATGAAACGGAGAGGAAAAGAGACAAATAAATAAGGTAAGAGGGGAACATAATGAGGGAAAGAGAGGCGAGAAAGATATGGGGGAATGGAAAGATATTGAAAGAAAGAGAGAGAGTGAGAGAGAGAGAGAGAGATAAAAAAAAAACCTTTAGTTGAAAGGAAAGGGGCACCGATCAGATTTTTATAGGGGCATTTATCGGAGTTGATGGGGGCATTTATCAAAAGTGAAGAGGGGCACTTCTCGTACTTAAAGAGGGATACTTACTAGAGATTAAAAGGACACTAATGAGAATGGAAAATGGACACTTATTTCAAAGGAAAATAGGAACTCGTCGATGGAAAAGGGGCATGTGTCAAAAGAAAAGGAGCACTTATCAGAGTTGAAAAGGGGAAGGGGCACTTTTACAAATTAATAGGGACACTTGTCAAAGTAAAATAGGTACTTTTCCTACATTCAAAGGGGCACTTTGGGGGAACTTGAAAAAGTGGGGGGACACTATGCCGCTAGCTAAATGTAACTCAAAGACAGTTGGCCATTTACTTATTCTATTCATTCTCGGCTTGCAACTGTTCCCTACACTCTGTAAGCCAGTGGCTTACATACTTACGTACATGTAATACCTATTGTTCAGGGGGATCCTATGTTCAAGGGGAACCCCCTGAACAATAGGTATTATGTAAGGATCTCTGCCTGTAGCTAGGGCAACGGCCTTTGTCCCCGGCGAGGGTCAATGGCAGGGCACATTTAGAGTAAGCTTCTTTTGTATGTGACAGGAAGTGTGCCCTTAAGCCTTGACCGTAGCTCTTTATACATATAGCTGAATAATGCAATGTTGTAAAAGGTAATTTACGAAAATGAGGAACGCTAAAAAAGCAATAAGTGATCAAAGTCTAAGGCCCGAATTCACAAAGGAGGTTTGTCGACAAACCTTGGTTTTCGTGCGTCATATGACGCGTTTTGACGCGTTTTTACAAACCAGGTTTGTAAAATGGATAATGATTGAATAAAAAAAGTATAACGATATTCATAGTAACGAATGAGCTGGTGAACATAATTCTAATTGGTACAGCCTTGTAATGTAAGAGTATCACGACATACTTAATTATGTTAGCCCTCCTTTACATTTTGTTATCATTTTTACTTATTTACAACTTAGGAATAACAAAATTCCCCCTTCCTTCGTCGTTCATCGCTTTTTTCTTTTTTCTCACCGAGGATTAAATCCGAGAGTGCTTTTCGGGAAGTGGACTGATTTTTTAAAACTTTAAAACAGTCTATAATAAAACTAGAGACAAGACACTGCAATTAAAAATACATACAAGAGAAAGAAAGCGTAATCTTCGCTATCCCCTCGTATCGTCTACGTTGTCCTCGTTCAACCAAGAAGTAAGTTCTTGCTTTTACTGAACTAGACGTCCTTAACCTGCTCACCATCACCACTGAAAATAAATTGTAACACAATTCCAGCGAGCAATCGAATCGTGTAAATTTTGAATCGTGTAATCGTGTTGCGGAGATTTTCGGCGGGCAGATTACACGATTACACGATTCGACCTGAATTGAGGAATCGTGTAATTTTACACGATTACACATTTACACGATTCAAATTTCGCTTCATTGGCAAAAAACGAATCGTGTAAAAATAAATGGTTACACGATTCCCGCGAGCAGTCGAATCGTGTAAATTTTGAATCGTGTAAATCGTGTTGCGGAGATTTTCGGCGTGTACTGTACATTGTTATTTGCGATGCTTGTGCAGTTGATAGCACATTGATGTTAAGACAATAATCCAACCGGTGCTATAGCTCTCCTAAGAACTATAAGCTAAGAAAGATAACCAACAGTCTTTTTTCAAGATTCCCAACAGTCCTTTTCAGGACTACACTCACATCCTCAAGAAAGATTACAGAGAGTCCTTTCCGGGTCTCCTAAATCCTCCCCCTTCTCTCACATGGTGCAACCGCAAGCCTACTGTCTATCTACATTACCATGCAAGCCAATACTTATAAGCAGCATCTGACAATAATCCTATTTTCACTAACAAAATTGCTCTCACCTTTCTCATCTCACCTCACCTCACCCAGGACTTAACCTGGACCCTGATGGCTCCCAAGACAGGCCGAGTCCGAATCACCTCCCTGGAAGGCATCCTTGAAAGCGACTACGACACGCTCACCATCGGGTACGGAAACCCGGATTCCTCTGTCCTCGGCTTCTACACAGGGGACTTCAAACTCGACGAGACCCTGGAGTCACCCACGTATAACTTCTGGGTGCGGTTCCAAGCAGATGAGACGGTATCCAGTAAGGGTTTTACCCTGTACTGGGAGTCGTTTGATGATCAAGGTACTGTAACAAATGTTTTTTCTCTGCTTTTAACTAATCTAGATTATGATTTTCTCTTAATTTCTGTCTGGCACCCTTCATTCTAAAATATTTCACAGTAGAATGTAAAATATACTTCTTTTTTTATAGTAGAATGTAAAATATACTTCTTTTTTTAAAGTAGAATCTAAATCATTTGTCCAGTTTTCTCAAAAAAAAAGCTATCCAATTTGGTTAAGATAAATAGATAATTACATTTACAGTATGTCATCAGCTAAGAGCCAGAAGATTGTTTGATCCAGACATTTTTTTCATTAAGTTAACCCCTTTCTTGCTCTCTGGAAACGATGTTGCTTTTATCATCCAATTCATGTTATTATGATTACAATGAATTCACAGAACTGTTGTTAAGTGCACAATTTTTATCATGGTAAGGCAAGTCCAATACAATACAATGCTAATAAACTAAGTCAGTGCGGTGATTTGATCGTATTAAATTCTGGTATCCAATTCTATTTACTTGTAGAATCTTGTGGGACCCAAGAGTTGCTGGAAGGTTCTGGGACTGTGATGTCTCCCAACTATCCTCAACCCTACCCTGACAACCAAGAATGTACTTGGTACATCAGACTACCCAGTATGAATCATCTAGTCAGGATAGAGTTCACTGCATTCTCACTTGAAGAGAAGTAAGTTCCTGTAGTTTTGTATACTTTGGTATTTATTTGGTTATCAGGCATATGCTCCAGCAGAAATTGCTCAATGGTCAGTTTCTTTAAAGCCCCACTGCACTACTTATAGCTAGCTACATGCGCCCTCTTTATAACAAACAATGCCTAAGCGGTGACTGTTGGTTCCCCATGGTCCCCTTTTTCTTATGTTAATTGAGAGCTGATTTGATGAGATAACCACCTGTCAGTGACCATACAGGGAGGTCTTATCCCTCATGGCCAAACTAGTGCAGATGGGCTTTAATACTCCTATCATTTGAATTCCTCATTGCTAACCTGGACCCAGAATGTAACCTTTAACCTAATCAACCCTGACCCTAACCTTATGTGTTTTAACCCATTACATATGGTAACTAAGTGGCCCCTATATTAAACCTGTGGGAATGAGATACCTCAGTAGTTAATGGGTAAAGAAATAAAGCCTTGAGCAAATGTTGCCATCCAAAGCAAAATGTCAGATGTACGTCTCCTTTTTATTTGTAATTCACAGTATATTGTTTCTATTAGTGAGGATATCACCTGCTGGTAATGGGTTTCATATTATAACAGTTTCATATGTCTCATGTGTAGACGTTTCATTCTATTCCCCAATGGGTCAAAAGTTTCCTACCATTTGTATCATTTTTTTCTCGCCAAACAGCCATGATTTCTTAGTGGTCGGTACAGGAAAGACAGTCAACGAGGAAGTGATAGCCATACTGACTGGAGGCTCTCTACCTGCTCCCATAGACAGTGCTAGTTACCGTATGTGGCTACAGTTCAAGACTGACGAGTCCTTCTCAGCTACAGGATTCTCTCTGGAGTATTCTAGCATTGACAACCCAGGTAAAGATAATGATGATTGGGAGGTATAGACAAGAAAAGTGATATTTAAAATTAGGTGGTCTTTACATTCTTTACTCTATTGTAAACACTGATCTTTGGTAACACATACCCCCCCCCCCCCAAGAAAGTCATTTTAGACAGTCTGTCTTTCTATAGACATGGTCACTGTAAGTATACCGAGTGAGTCAAAAAAAAGTTTACACCTAGAAAATTGCTAATTATTTTAAAAATCATCTATGAATAGTAAATTAATATACATCTTATGAAAGTGTGTTTTATCCCAAATCATTTGGAACCATTTTTGTGTGGTATGTGTTCACGCTTGGATGAACAGGTGGCATTGTTTGCGAGAGTGCAAAAATCGACTTGCGCCAAAGTGATGCCTACAGTATGTATTATGTTGGGATTAGCGGAGTAAGAGAATGGATTAAATGTATCAAATGAAATGCATTGCATATGTTTTTTTGCAAAGGGCAAAGACACACACACCCACATACGCGCGCACAAAATGTTGGCTGATATTTGATATTCGATATTTGATATGTGTGGCATGATTAATTTTGTTAGGGATGTTATTTGGATCTGCAAAGACCGAATTAATACCCAAATCCCAATTGTTTTATTCAAACATCACATAGGCAACTTTGGCGCAAGTCGATGTTTGCACTCTCGTAAACAATGTCTCCTGTTCATCCAAGCGTAAACACATATCACACAAAAATGGTACCAAATGATTTGGGATAAAACACTCTTTCAAGACATATAACAATTTAATGTTCATCAATGATTTTTTTAAAAATAATTAGCAATTTTCTAGGTGTAAACTTTTTTTTTACTCACACTGTATAGCAGACCTGCCAACCAGTAGGATTTAGTCATATTTTGTACGATCTTTAGAAGCAAATACAATTTTCCTCAAAAAAATATGATTTTCGAATAAATAAATAATTTTTCATGTGTATGTGCTATTTTCTATGTTAAAATGCACATTCTGTTCTGTAAAGTATCCTACAAGCATCTCACATCGGCAATTTGGGGATGTTCATTGGTTCATCGAACACGACAGTTGTGACGAAATCATGCATATATCGTCGCTGTTTTCACGAAGTGACGGTAGTGAAAAAAAATTGCATTCACTTTGCGTTATGATTTTCCTCACTACCGTCACTTCGTGAAAACAAGGACGATATTCAACCAATGATCCATTAAAAAATTTCTTCCTGTAGGAACGGTAAGAGGCATTGGTCTGCGTAACAGTCCGTGTTTATTTTTAAGAATACAACTTTTGTTAGTAAAATACAACTTTGGGGATTGAAGAATACAGTTTTTGAACTCCAGAGGTTGGCAGGTCTGATATAGTTTGGTACAGTGTTATATTCACATTTCCATCATTACGTACAACAATCAATGCCCAGCCTTCCATGTAGGTTTCTCCATTGATGCAGGGATCCTAACACGCTGCATACCTTCTCTTAATACAGAACCACCCACACCGTACAATGAGATTACTGATTCTGTCATCTTCATTGTAGAGGATGAACCTGTAGGTTGGGTAAGTCTCCATGGCTATCACATTCAACTCAAATTAATCCTGTCTGTTCCATTTTTTAATTAGTTTATAAAAACAACTATTGGATTAGAATTCCCAAAGTGAGATGTTACTGTAATTTGTTTGTTTTATCATGAATTGAATTGAATTGAATTGATTTATTGTCCATACAAAAATAGAAATTTGTTGTTCACTGGTACAGGTGTGTTACAAACAATGTACACAATTATACAGATTATAAAACATAATAACAACAACAATGAGTCATCTTCCATGGGAAAAATATCTACACGATTATCTGTTTATGATTCACAAAGAAATAGAAACTTTCCTGTCAAAGTTCCCACAGATACATGTAGACTAAACATCTACATTTCTGAAAGGGTTATTGACGAATATTCAAAAGTTCACTCATTACAATATTTGTGCATATATCTTATTGTTTTCAATGCAGAAGAAGAGAAGATATACTTGATATTCAAGTTCATTCTTTATTCGTTCTTCAGTTTAAAAAAACTTGCAAAACATTCAAAAACATTTCAAGTTAAAATACAAGGTACATGGAATGAATTCATATATTAAAATTAAGAAAAATAAAAGGGCCATCATTCAAAGCCAACTGAGGCTTGACAGGTTGATGTTCCCAAGAACTATCAAGTTATAAGATTAATATTTTGGTGCAGAATAACAAAATTTAGGTAAAACAAAGGTGTTGGGATATAGATTGAATGTCATTTAATAAAAATGGGTGGTATATTTTTCTATTATATGCTTGTTAAAGTTTTAAAGGCATTGTTTAACAATGTTAAATCTGAGATGCACGGCCCTATGTGTTATCAGTGTCTGTGATATGGTGTAATATTGAAGCCCTAAAAAAAATTGCGCTTCAAAATGATCAAGAAGTGCCTCAGTGTAGTGGTATGAAAACGTTAGGAAAATCCAAAATTTGGTTTTGATTTCCAATCATAAATATCTTGATAATCAGACAGGCGATCGGCTTGTAAAAGTCATGAGGTTCCTGACTGACCTAAAGGTTTATAATTATGATTGCAGAATGAGCTAAATCCAGGATTTTTTTTTTGAATCCGAGGCAAAGTTACCCAATCCCTTTCAGTATTTGTGTCTTCACGCAGGACTTTGTTGGAGTGCATGTTAGGGTCTTATGGGGAGGGAGCAAGTGGTAAACTTAACACCTATCTTTTTTTTGGAGTTAACTTTAATTTTGTATGTACAGCATAACTTTATAGTTATTGATCATAATCCATTTATCATATTCAAACAAACATTCTCTCTTGCAGTTCACCCCTACACGGCAGCAAGACTTGGCCACCGGTATAGCTACGTCGATGACTGATTACTGCATGGATAGATCAGATACATGTGAGGAGATGGCATCAGTAAGAAGGAGAAGAGATGCAGGCATCCTACAGCTCACATTCAGGTACCTGTGGTATAACATCTTCTTCATGTTTCACAAAACTTGTCATCAGTGGCAAATGGCAGTTTTTGTTATAAGCTACTGAAATCCTTGCTTCTGATTGGTTATCTGCAGATTTGTCACTGATTTTTGTCATTTGTCACTGATGACAAGTTTTGTGAAATGGGCCCCAGGGGAGTGTTTCACAAAGGCTAAGATCGACTTTAAGTTAGACTTAACTATGGCAGGCCATTCTTGCCACTGGTTGTTCTCACCATGGGTCTCTCAATTATGATCTTTAGATAATATTTTCCCTTCATAATGAACTATCAAAATAGGTAAATTCTGTAGATTTGTGACCATGATTTGTACGTCCCTTGAGAAACCAAAGCCAGTGAAAGGGGAGAGCAAACAGTGGCATGAATGGCCTGCCATACTTAATTCCAACTGAAAGTCGATCTTAGTCTTTGTGAAACACTCCCCAGTCATTGTATGTGACTTTGAGAAATCTGGGATGTGATGGAATTAATAATAATGCATATTACTCATAGTTATATGGTCAATGTAGAAATGTCTGAAGGTGATTATGCAAAGCGGAATTTTGAACTTACACAGCGTGGTATTCAGGGCTGCCACATGTCAGGCAAAAGCCTGAATCAGGCCCTGGCAATTTAGTTTGAAGCCATAGTTTAGGCTTAAAATAGCTCATTCTGGGTGATTTTCAGGCCCTCTGATCAATTCTAACTGGTATCCCTGGGTATTTCATCTATACTTCGGTACTAACTAGGACCTATTTATTAATTGTCTTTAAAGAAGCTTAGCATACTGTAGTAGCACAAAAAGACGCGTCCGGAACGCAAGGCACAATTGTTAATGATAGCATTGAATTTATATGTATACAGTAGTGTGACATTTCCAATCTAATTACAGTTTTTGTGGTAATATTGAGCTTAGTCAAGGTAGGAGGGGTAATAACCAGTTTTATGTCTTAATATGGTTCTTCCTCTTTGCAGTAAAGTATGATTTCCAACCAGTTTGCAAATTTTTTTTGCCACTTTATGTGCCACAAACTTCGCTTTAGCTAACTTATAAAATGTAAACATGTGGGTCGTTATTTATAAATGAGCAAATATGACCTAACCAAATTACAGGATTTTTTTATTTTGAAACTGTTTACTATTCAGAGTTGTGTCAGTTCCAAATAGGTTTCAGTCTGTCAGTTCTAAAAGCCTTTTGTTTCTCTGATCACAGCGCGGAGGATGTCGAGTTCCTTGACACCGTCGCCGTAGAGGACGACCTCCACATCACCATGTGGGTGGGCAACCCCAGCATGGTCGACGAGGACATCGTCCTGGGGATCGAACCGGAGATTGTGCAAACCTCTCTCATGGAAGAGACCTCGCAGGCGACTCTCGAGGAGATCATGGGGGAGGGGTTTGCTTACAGCGTGACCCCCAATGCGCTGACTCCGACCAACGGACCCGGGGGAACTGAACCCCCTTCCCAGGGTCTTGAACCTTGGGCCATCTCGTTGATCGTGGTGGCAAGCTTTGCTGTGGTTTTGGCAGCAGTAGTTGGACTAGAGGTCAGGTATGGAGAATGTCACAGTCTAAACCATGATTTTTTTCTTCCCTGGAGCCAAAAAAACCTCTGAAGACCCCCCCCCCCCCCCCCCCCCCAGATCCGCCCCTGGTAGTACATGAGTTAACACGTTTCTGTCTCCAAACAGACAATTATACTTAGCCTTTGTATACTGCTATTAATGCTTCTTTCACTTCTACAACTACTGCTTCAAGTAATACTATATCAACTGTTATGGCTGCTACTACCATGGACATACTACAAATGGACATTCTACGGGGTGAGAGCAGTAAAACTAATGATAGCTACCACCTGTTTTCATGTCTTACTTTCCTCTTTGTTTTAAATCTGAACGCACGCTTCAGGCATGTTTTGATAAGCTCTGATAAGGGACTTTTGGTCCTATGAGATCCGCCATGATTTTGCCGCCCTCTATCAGCGAAGTCGCTTCACACTAATCAATGTTTGCACTTTTCATTTTATGAATTTTTTTCTTTCTCCAGACATCGAAGAAAAAAGGGAAACTGCAGACAGCTGATGGGTTAATGGGATCACAGGAGCTCCACACAAAGAGTAAGCATCAAAGTGGCATCATTTTCTCAATTAGTTTGTGTTTAAGTTGAATTCAACATTGATTACATAAAAGCAAGTCAGGCCCAGTCCATCCCTATATTGGTGGTTATTAAAAGAATTGTGGAAATTGGCCAATAAGAGTGTAGATAGGAAACCGAAATTGCCATTATACCCCTCTAGAAAGGGGAAGGGTCCTTCAAAAGTAATAAACTTGTTTTTGTAAGATTTTCACTCATCTCCTTTTCCTCTTCTTTGTAAAAGGACTTGAAGACATATATCTATCAATTCTTATCTTTATCGCATGATGTTGCATGTACACTGTACAGGGGAACTTTAATATACTGAGCTCTGATATAAGGAGGCATCTATTAACAATGCATACCTGCCAACCACCCCGATTTAGGCGGAGTCCTCCGCATTTTTCATACCAACTCCGAATTCCGAGTGCATGCCTCAAAACTCCGATTTTTTAAAATTTTAAAATATTTTTAAAACAAACGACTGTTGCATAAGACTAAAGCATTAACACAGCACTGATAACCAGATCACGCCAACATCCGCGCTCGCGCTCATAGAGGATATACACAGCGCAGCCCGAATTGCATAGTAAATGCATGCGTATAGCCCACGTGTATTTATATTACATGTGCAGTAGTTGATACACCGTGCATAAACACTGTATACATTGGCGTGTTTTCTTCAATGCTTGTGCGATGACTGCGATCGTGGAAGCTTGTTATTTACCGGACTTCCTCGGATTTATTTTGGATTACTACTACTATATTCTTCTTCTTCATTGATTTCTCCATTTTTGAAGGACAAAATGGGTAAGACTCGTGCTGTTCATAATCAGAAGTATAAGAAAGAATACGGGAAACAATTTCCAGTTGCAGAATCAGCACTCGGACTTCAACACGCATTTTGCATTGTGTGTTCGGCCGACTTCAGTACCAACCATGGGGGAATGAATGACATTCAGAAACACATCGTCGCCGTTTTCACGAACCGGCACAGCCCAACGCGCAACGAAATAAGTACATTCTGAGAAAAACGTGTTTTACGTTTAGCCCGTTTTGAATTCGCCAGAAACATGCCTTATGTCAAATTTTATATCACAAAATACATATCAATGAAAGAAAAATATTCTGTATTTTCTATACATTCCATTTGTTAAGCATAATGACAATTACTATTAATATTACGAAGCTTTGGACTCTCGTGCCGGTTCGTGAAAATATTATTTTGCTGTTTACGTAGCAAAAATATTTTCACGAACCGGCACAAGCCACTGTGTCGTTTTTCCTATGTAACTTTACGCGCAAGACAAAAGCGCTCGCGCTATCTTAGCGCGTATTTTATTTTCACGAACCGGCACAACCGCCTGTGTCGCGTCGTCTAGGTCTTGTAAGCGCAAAGATATTTTCACGAACAGGCACAGCCCATTGACTTATAACGGCGCGTGCCGGTTCGTGAAAATATGAATCGTGCTTTTTGGCTCGTGTGTCGTTTTAGTCATTTGTGTAACCATGGATATCTCAAAAACTAAAGCGTTTTGGATGCTGAAATTTGGTGAGATGAAAGATTGTTGATAACTTATGCTAAAAATGCAAAAAAAATAAAAACTACATTTTGAAGGGATTTCGGTGGCTTGTGCCGGTTCGTGAAAGCGGCGACGACATGAACTCGAAGAAACATAAAGCTTTCAGCGAAATTAAAGGGGAAGTCCACCCTGAAATTAAGTTAGTTTTAATAGGAGTAGAAAAATGAGAGAAACAAGTCAGTGAAAGTTTGAGCAAATTCTGATTAAAAATAAGGAAGTTAGGAATTTTGAAGTTGTGATCAATCAAACACAAATTGGCAACTCTATGACGTATCATGCGAGCTCAACTTTCATTTGCTCAGTACTAAAAAAATCTAAAATTTTCATTTTCCCTCAAGAAAAATTTCAACCATACATGCACCCTAAATATAATAATTGCAAATATGTTTCTATACTCCCCCTGCAAGGAACAAATATATATTCCGTCATCAATAACAAAGAAAACATGATTTTATGGAATATTATGCACAAAGCAAATGAAGGAGAGCTCGTATAATAAGTCACAGAGTTGCCAATTTGTATTTGATTGATCACAACTTCAATAATTCATAACTTTCTTATTTTCATTCAGAATTTGCTCAAACTTTCACTCACCTGATTTTCTTATTATTCTGCCTCTATCGAAACAAACTTATTTTGGGGGTGGACTTTCCCTTTAAGGACAAGGCTCGTCCAATTTCAACCTTGTACATCAGCTGGATTGGTTGGTTCCAGTAGCCAGTAATTCTGAATCTTTCTACCTTTGCAAAATAGGGCTCCTAACTGAGGTGGGTAATGAAACATGTAGTTTTGTGAGTGTTCACATTTTGATATTTCAAAAATTGTTTATGTGTGGGGCGAAAAGGTTGAAGGAAAAGGCCCATTTGCACCATTAAAATGGAGAGGAAAAAAAATAGACCCTAAAGTCCTGTGTACCCCCCCCCCCCCCCCCCCCCCAATCTACGGGCTACTACCCCAATCCTTCGGTGGTTCGCGACCTCGTAGTCCATCCAGAAAAATTTACTCCTAATTTCTCTTGTCTCAGGTTGGCAGGTATGACAATGTGATTTTTCTGGTCCGAGCTCTTTATATTATAATTGTTTGTTTACCCTGATATAACAAGGTTATTTCTATGTACTTGAGTACCATTCTAGTAATACCCAATTAAAGCAAAATAGAGATACAACTGTCATCATACATGTATGTCACACACATCTCATTGTTTTGCTCTTTTGAATGGCAGGTTACGAAGAGCCAGATTATGCAGTGCCTTTAAGCCGATCAGACAGATCTGCTGCTGATTCTAGTGGCCAAGAGTAAGCCATGTTTTAAATAGTGTTTATATGATATCTGTTTTCAATATTTGATATGCTGGTAATTGCCGGGGGGGGGGGGGGGGGGGGGGGGGGGGAAAGTGATGAAATAGGAGAAGCAGAGAAAGAACAAGAATAGCGAGGAGAGAGAAGAGAAAGAGGGGGGGGGGGGAGACAAGGGGTGACAAAAGAAGAATGCAGACAGAAATAAGAAAAAGAGAGAAGAAAAGAAGAAGATGAAGATGAAGAAGAAGAAAGATTAGAAGAAGAAGAAGAGGAAGAGGAAGCAAAAGAGGAGAATAAGAAGAAGAAAAATATCAATAGGGAAGAGGAGAAAATGAAGAAAGAGGATAAGAAAAAGAAAAATAAGAAAAATATGTTATTAAAATATATAGAATGCTGTTTAATATCTGAAATTATTATTCTTTGATGACTAATCTTCAATACTTTATTTCTTCCTTTAATATTCACAGGAATGATGGATTTGAAAATGGAGAAAGCACACGATTTTGATTGAGAAGATGCTGACATGTCCTTGTAATAAAATATCCACCTGTAAAGCGTTTGTCCAGTGTTTACCCCCTCATTACTCTATGCATGTTTGGTGTTTGTAAGTGTTGTCCGGTGTTCACCCTCTCATTACTCTATGCATGTTTGGTGTTTGTAAGTGTAAGTGTTAGTGTTAGAAGAGTAAGGATTATTATTAGTGTTAGAAGAAGCCCTAACTAATATTTACCTGTACTATGTCTCCACTTGTAAAGTGTTTTATTCAATGTTTATCGCTGCCATTACTCTATGCAGGTTGTTTAATGTTGGTGTTTGTTAGTAAGGGGCAATTTAATGGTTAGGCGATCACTTTTGAAATATCAACAGCTCATTTCCAAAGTTTAGTACATGTTCGGTGTTATACTATTTTCTTATTCCTAGCAATTTTTTTTTTGAAAGAACAGATTTAAAGAATATGATATACGTGTATATGTTTAAGACATATGAAGTGTAGGGTGAAGATAGTGGTAAAATGGTTTTCAATTACTTTTTACCAGAAACTTGACATTTTGTGATAAAATTTTGTTCAGTTTTCTACAAGCTTTTGTATGAATCAGCCAGACAAATAAACACATTTCTCCTATTCTTTATTTCTTTTTTTTGTCTTCATGGTTTTCACCAGACTTAAATCCTTCTTTTCTCTTCCTCTTCCTGTTATCTTCTTCTTCTTCTTCTTCTTCTTCTTCTTCTTCTTCTTCTTCTTCTTCTTCTTCTTCTTCTTCTCCTTCTCCTCCTCCTCCTCCTCCTCCTTCTCCTTCTTCTTCTTCTTCTTCTTCTTCTTCTTCTTCTTCTTCTTCTTCTTCTCCTTCTCCTCCTCCTCCTCCTCCTCCTCCTCCTCCTCCTCCTCCTCCTCCTTCTCCTTCTTCTTCTTCTCTTTCCCTTTCTTTTCTCCTTCTGTACTGCTTTTTTGTATTACGGGGGGGGGGGGGGGGGGGGGGGGGGGGGGGGGGGAGGGGGGGGGGGGGGGGGGGGGAGGGGGGGGGGGGGGGGAGGGGGGGGAGGGGGGGGGGGAGGGGGGGAGGGGGGGGAGGGGGGGGGGGGGGGGGGGGGGGGGGGAGGGGGGGTCCCTTTGTAGTTTTTTTCCTCAATCTTCAATATAAGATGGTATACTGTACTAATATTTTACACATTACAGAAAATAGCAAATACAATATTATGTTTCATATTCATACTAATAATAATAATAATATTTAATTTTTATATAGCGCTTAATACAAATGTCTCTAAGTGCTTTACAAATATACTATTACCATATTGCAATTACATGTATTTGTTTAAAAAACAAAGTTTAATCACAAACTCTATTAAAACACAAATTCTATTAAAACAAGAATTCTTTTTGAAATAACACCTGTCATTACTTCCATTCCTTCCGAGTACTGCAAAACACAAAACGAAGAAACATAATTCTACATTGATTTGTTTTCTTCTCTGTTAGTAAAAGAAAATGTATTCAATCATCTCAACGGATCATGATTAACATTCTTGTTTCATGATCATTATTAAATATGTCAATCTTTTCTTTAGAGTTTTTCTGCACTTTTTCAGAATACTTTCTTATATATCTGTAAATGTATTGTTACTGAAAAGAAACACTTTTCTGCCATTGGCCAATGAATAAAGAGAAATTTATGAATTTAAACTATGATGTACAGTGTTCTTTTTCCCCGTCTCTCTCTCTCTCTCTCTCTCTCTCTCTCTCTCTCTCTCTCTCTCTCTCTTGTGTCTGTATATTTCACCAAGCCTTTAAGTTAAGGCCTTTTGAACAAAGAGGTAGGTAATGTATTTATTTCTATTTGCCAACCTAGATAATAATTAAAACTGGCTCGTAATAGAAAGTTAGATACATCACAATTATTCGTCATCACATTGTGAAAGATAGATATTTAAACTAAAAAAGTGATGAGCCTAGGACACTGAATCTACTCGGACAATGCCTATAGATAAAGGTAAAGTTGGTTGTAACCAAAAATTGATCCCAAATTCAAAACGTATAACTTTAATTGTGGAGTGGAATGACATTGCAAGAGTGTGATAGAATATCAGAGGCTGGAGATGTGTGGAGAAATGTTGCAATCAACCTTGGAAGTGGGAGAAGATCGAGAAGATGCCTTGATAGATGGAATGCACACTACAGTTGTATATATTTAAGGATCAACAACAGGTCTTGACGAATAATTGTCACATTCACAACAAGGAAATACTCAAATAAGACATTATCTGCCCTTAAAACATTGACACTTCCCTTAAGATTAAAAAAACATTCTATGTGCTTGTAGGGACCAAAGCCAAAAGCCCATTTTGATGCTGGGTTTATGCTTCTGTCCGAAATCGGTTTTAACAAAGGAAGCTAGTTAGAGCTCCAAGTTTACTTTTGTTAAACGTGATTTTTTAGGCACAGGGACCCCTTAAACAAATTAGTAGAATACAGACCGATGTGCTTAATGATGCCTTTGTTATATTGTTAAAACTCGAATCAAACCAGCTTCCGAAAATCGGAGCGACCTCTTGAAAAGCGTCGCTGTTGTCTTAATAATGGGGCTTCAACCCCTCGACACTTGCTAAATGTTGACATGCTATTCACAGTTCGTTAAAGCACCATTCATATTTCGATCTCTATTTTGTGGGTCATCTGAAGTTCTTCTCTCGACTTTTTATCCGATTAAATCGTATGAAGTGGAGCGTGGAAGCCCACTTAACGCTTTTATACACAACTCCTCCTTTAAGTCGCCCCTTTAAGGTCTCCTCACCCTTGAAAGCGGAACGCCTCTTCAGACTGTTTGACTAAAATTATATTGGTCTGGTCCCCGTCTTATAAAGAGTTGCGATCGCAACTATGTATATAAGAGATAGGAGACTGCAAACTTGCGATTGATTATAGGAATTGCGATTGATTAGGATCAATCGCAACTCTTTATAAGACGTGGCCAATATTTCTTTTAGAACAAGTTAGTGATGTTCTCCCGTAGAGCAAAAAAAAACTGAGCTTTTTATATACTCGACGGTCAATGGAGATGTGGAATTAAACTCCATATGAAAGGCCATCGCCCAAATGGCTTCTTAGTTCGATCATCGTACACTATAAGATATTGAAGTATATTAATTAAATAAAATGGCCTAAGATGGACACCATTTCATCCATTTGGTTGTATTCAGCAATATTAAAAAAGAGAGAAGCAGCATGTTGAACACTCAACGTTGATAAAACTGTTCCGTGTTGCAAGAGAGAGAGAAAGCAAATTATCTTTATGGGATTTTTTTTTTACACAGATCAACACTGAACTTGATTTTGAACAGCGGTGTAATAAGCATTTTTCCTTTAGTTCACATTCATTGAATACGTCATGATATAAGAGCATACATAATATTATTTATTACTTGAACTTTCTTTTCAAATGTAATGAAATAAGTATATTACGGAGGAGTTCTCAAGTTCTTTAATGAATAACTAAAAGCTATATTCTTCACATGTGCTTCTATCATAATACGGTTTATTGGTCCCATAAATAAAAGACTTATTTGTCACCCCTCCACTCGCACCGAGGTCCATGATTATCCATCAATTACAAATGTTTTCCTTTGGGTAGCCCGAACGGGCAACGGACAAAAGAGCGCGCACTCCAATCCTCCTTGTTAAACAGTGATGCGAGTGATGAAAGAAGAGATGCGGTTTTAACATCAAACGAAGCCCCAGAAAGGAGGGGGATTGAGAAGTGGAAGGGGGGTATTGACAATAACTTCTTCAAACGGCGTGTCATTAGATCAACATTATTCAAATCCGTGTGTCAATATGATTTTTGTCTAGCGCTTCTCCCATAGTTGTCGCCTGTGATATTGTGATGCAAAAATACCTGTCCTCGCCAAGTCGATGGAGAAGCGTTCAGAGACAATTACATTAAAATGGCCTGCGAAGCAATGGATGGCGGCATGTTGATAAGAAACGCGTCCTTGTGAAGTTATTCATTTTACCTCACATGAGAGCTTTTGATAAACATTTCGACTCCCATCATATAGATTTAAACCCGAATAAAACGTTAAAACATTAATGTGCTAAAATGAATAATATATGTTAACATATGATATTCCCTACCTCTCTAACGGGTTCCTGCTCTTTCTTTGCCACTCTGTTTCTTCACCTAAGCTTCCACCACTCCAAATAATGTTCATTCGACTATACCCCCCCCCCCTATTTCTCTCCCTCTCTCTCTCTCTCTCTCTCTCTCTCTTTCTCTCTCTCTCTCTCTCTCTCTCTCTCTCCCTCCCTCTCTCTATCTCGATCTCTTCATCCCTCTCTCTATCTCGATCTCTTCATCCCCATCACGTTTAGGCTAACTGGTTGAACTCGAGCCTGAACCCGAACTCTCCCTCATATTTCTAAATATACAAAATCTTTATAAAACTAAACACTGGTTGCACGAATGTTTCAATAAACATATCCCCATGACCTAAACTTTATCCGGAACGTACTTGCACATGTACAGGTCCAAGGTGATCTAAGCGCAGAAATCAGGGAGGGGGGAGGGGTATAGGCACAATAAGATACAGTATCATTTCTAGGAATGATGTAGAGCATTTTTTTTTTTGTTAGTAGTATAGATTATTATTAACAATGAATAAAAGGTATAAGGCCTAGACTGAAAATGGTCTGCATCATTCCTGCAGAAAATATTAATTATTCTAAAAAAAAATCTTTTCCAAATCGAGGTTAAAATCATGTTCCTCTACACCCCGACTTTTCTGAATCACCGAATGTTACACCCCCCCCCCCCCCCCACCACCACCACCACCACCACCACCACCAATACCACTACTACCATCTTAGGAGCGAGACGGTATTTCCAATCAGGACACCTTTTCCTCCTCAAAAACAATTTGCCATGGAACTCCGTTTACCATAGGGAGTCGATCTTCGTCGTGTACTGTTGCATGTCTCGCAAGGGCGATCAACTCTCATTCAACAACCCAAAACTGATTCAAGTCAGACGGGTTTTTCTATTTTTTTAAACAAACATTTATTGTCACAGTGTCGCAGAAGAGGGGTATTCAACACCGGCACAGCGAGACGGATACTTCATATTCAATTTGTCTTGAAGAAAAGGTAAGTCATTCATTTACAATATTTGAATAAGTGACATGCATGATATGCCATTTCTCAAACTTCAAAGACATGTGTATACGCACTATAATTACCAGCAGAGCGAAAATTGGAGGTCCATTTAGATGACAGTCTACAGGCACAGACACCTAGGGCCCACCTACATACCTATATTTTTCAATAAGCTCTTGTTTACATTCATTCGTCGAGTACATAATATGCATCCGACCAGGCTTGGTGCAATCGGGGTTTCTTTTCATAAAACTGAATAGAAAGATTTATTCCAAGTCATGCGAAATAGATAGATCTATTGTACAAAAAGATATTCACTGCACCTGTTTAGTATTTTCGAAGCAAAAAAATGTATTTGAAGAAAGAAAAAAAAATCGATTATTGTGCCAGAAGTGTAGCATGATTCCCATGTGTTCTGTGTTCTGGGTACTTGAGATATTTCTTCATGTGTAAAATTGAGGCAGGATCATGTATGCATTGAGTTAGAATAGAGATTTTATCAAACCTAGGCCGGACAGGAAGCGATATTGCATTTTTTCATCTCATTTTATCAATTTTGTAACCCATCAAAAGGCAAAACTATTGGAAACAAGGGAACTTCGAGAAGCGCTGTTTTTGTTTTGTTTTGTTTTGTTTCTCTTCAGATCATTAAGTCATAGGTCCATGGTTGGGTCAAACTCGAGAAGCTTTGGTATCAATACGAAAAACATTCACGTATATGAAAATAAGTTTAGGCTATAATTATACGTCAATCCTGAACTGTACAGGTCTCGATTCATCATACATGTAGTTAGTATAGACAGGGATATCTGATATCCCTTGTATAGGCCTATACTCTTAATCATGCCTTCTATTGAGACATGCAGAGTCTAATGTTTCGTCACGCGTCGCGCATTTCTTCAAAGAGTTTACTCTCTTTTTTGTCTATACTTCATCAGTAGACAATCGTCCTTTTTCTTCTTCAGTTTAATCGTGGTATCATGCAGACGACAGATTACCAAACTAGGACAAAAGACGTTTCCCTCCTAAACTCAAAGTTCATGTTGACCATACTGTTCAGTGAGTCACCTTGTGTCTCTGCTCTCTGGTATTAAACACCTCAGTCACACTGGCAAACTGACTCCAAACCGACTAATTATTTTCCATTCGGGGTAATGTAATTATTTTGTTCACTTTGTTGTCGGTTTCATCGTTGAGACTAGTGTCACACCGTTAAACAGACTCCAAAAACCGACCGATTCATTTCCATTCGGGAAAATGTAATTATTTTGTTCACTTTGTTGTCGGTTTCATCGTTGTGACTAGTGCATGTCACACCGTTAAACCGACTCCAAAACCGACCGATTCAGGATAATGTAATTAATTGGTTCGCTATGTTGTCGGTTTCATCGTTGTGACTATAGTGTCACACCATCAAACCGACTCCAAAACTGACCGTTTCGATTCCATCCGGGGTAATGTAATTATTTTGTTCACTTTGTTGTCGGTTTCATCGTTGTGACTAGTGTCACACCGTTAAACCAACCCCAAAACCGACCGATTCATTTCCATTCGGGATAATGCAATTAAATGGTTCGGTCTGGTGTCGGTGTCGTTGGTATGACTCGGGTATATCGAGGACAAACATAGAATCCCAACCCGTCACACATGGTTGGCCTAAATGTACACATGCTGTGAGGACTTTCTTCCTTGCTGTGTAGCATTTCCTTTTTTAAACCCGAGTTTATTAATCATCTCTTATTTTAGTCTTGAAGACTCACTCCAAAACATTCTTTATCATTTTGGTAATGGTTATTTGGGGTTGCGGTTAAAGTGCTTGATTTATTTGAATTTGAATAAAGAGAGTGCTGGTTCTAGTATGTGCCCGATGCCCGTGTATCCACAGACTAGGCAGTAATTTACAGTTACCTCTCTCTACCCATGTGTAGGGAATGGGAAACTGGTAGGAAGGTAACATATCATCAGAGCTACGTTCTCAAAACTCTGGCTTACTTGTTACTCCTATAGGGTTAAACAAATTGGGGGAGGGGGAAGCAAACCTTCGCTCATGCTGGGCCTTCATTATGGAATACTCTCCCTCAATGTATTAAGAATAGGAGTTCTGCTGAAGTGTTGAAAACAATCTTAAGAAATATCTGTTTAATTTAGCTTATAATTGATTACCATTACCGTTCATGTCTTTCCCTTTCCTATTGCACTTTATATGTATCGTGTATTTCATTTTTAGCACAAGCTTCGCCTTGAGCATTTGACTGTCAAGTGGATTTGGCGCCTTATAAATCTTATGTATTATTATTATTAAGCAACAACCTTAACATTTAGTAGGCAAGCTTCCATCCATCCACTACTGTGGTCTTGGTTGGTAGAAGCCTAAAGTACAAGTTATGATTACCTCAACCAATGAAAGTTCTATATATCATTGATAGGTGCTCCCAGAATGGTGATAGTCGAGACTAAAACGGTGTTAATGATGCTTTCATTTGGGCGCCATTTTGGGGGAGATGTGTACAAGATGCACATATATTTCTGCTTTAAGAAAAGAGGAGTATACCAGGAGATATAGAACTGGAGATTCACTGCTGTAATTCCTATCAACTAACAGTTTTGAAAAGATTATTGCACATCGACTCAGCTTAGAACCCTGGACCGTCGATGTCTCTTCTCTTAACAGTGAAGCTTTAAACTTCCTGGTGATATAGTGTTATTGCACAACACCTAATGAAAAGGGGAAGGGTATATTTGGCGGTTCCACTTGAGGGGATAGAAGAAATGGTTCTGCCTATAGATACAGTTAGGGAAATGGATCTAATGTAATACAGAAATATATCTTTAGAAGGCACTTATAAAAGAAACGATTGCAGTTTATTGCGTTCAATTATTGTAAATAGTGCTTATTGTCTCCCTTGAAATCTGTTTTTCAGCTTTGATTTATAGAACCACTCCTGAAGGTATTGTGCTAAATGGGATGTAATTTAATTGTTAAACCCTCCCCACATTTTTCCTTTTCAAATCTATGAATATTCAAGATTGCTAAGCCACATATAGCTGGTGTCCCGATTATGATCACAGCGTTGTGATTGATGAAATAGTAGCACAAAACTATTTAATCGCACTCCCTAAAATTGAGAGGAGATCAATCATATCATTTATGAATACAAGCGACCTTGGTCATTTCCAACATGCATATAAACACGCCCATCGTGAAAAGAAATACGAATGCATTCCCATTATTCAAATATGAAAATAGCTTATCGGGGCAAACACAATATATGAGTTTTCGCATGTTCCCACGAACAAAGTCCACCGTGCTCTGAGCATCCTGCCGATTAGTGAGGGGGCATGGGGGCACTGGAGCCCATACCCCCTCCAATTAAATGACAAAAATCGAAAGCAGGGGCAAAACGGAGTGGGGAGATGGGTGAAACGGAAGAAGGGATGAAACTAGAAAGATATCACGAACCGCTCTCCCAGACGCGCGCTCACCGACTTGGTCGCTTCCCTTTTATCCGACCAGACCAATGACCCCGTAGCTTCCCAACCCCCACCCCACCCCCCCCCCCCATGACTGAACCCACGCTACTCCACTGATTACACAATGAATGGATGTGGTTCATACTTCATAAAAATGTACCCAGTAACATAACATGCCTATCTAGAATGGGGACTTTATTACGCATAAGCATATTGGCATGTAGCCTTAAAGGTGAAATCCTACCTGATATTGAGTTGGTTTGAATAGAAGAAAAACAAAATGAGAGGAACGGATCAGTGAAATTTTGAGTAAATTCCGATTAAAAATATGTAAATTATTTGTTTTAAAGTTGCAATTAATCAAACTCAAATTGGTAAATCTGTGACGTATTTTGTGAGCTCCCCCCCCCCCCCCCCTCCCATTTGCTTTATACATGTACATACAATTTCATTAACTTTCATCCTCTTCATTATTGATAACGGAATACTTTTTATTCTTACCTGGGTTTTATAGAAACATATCTGCAATAATTATATTTAGGGCGCAAGTATAATTGCCAGTTTTCTTGAGGGAAAATGTAAATTTCTGTTTGTTTGTTATTTAGTACAGAGGAAATGAGAGGGGAGCTTACAAGATACGTCACAGAGCTGCCAATTTGTGTTCGATTGAAGGCAACTTCAAAAACTCATAAGTTTCTTATCTTAGTTCAGTTTTTGTTCAAATTTTCATTGACCCGTTTCTCTCATGTTTCTGTTCAATTCAAACAAACTTAATATCAGGGTGGACTTCCCCTTTAAAAGCGTATATCTTGCATACAGGTTTATATCCTCTCTAAAGTGTTGAAAGCCCCCAAAATTTGATGTTAATGTGAAAGGAATGTCATTTAAGACACACTTTCACAAAGATTCCCCCCATCCAAAAAAAAATACGACATCCTCTTTCACCTTATGATACAATTTAAGTAAACTTTTGCCATCAATTTTTTTTGGCGAATTTGGGGATCCCAAAACTTTAAAGGGGCTTTAATACCAGACCCCCCCCCTCTTTCTCTCTCTCTCTCTCTCTCTCTCTCTCTCTCTCTCTCTCTCTTTCTCTCTCTATCTTCATCTTTCCCTCTCTCTCTGCTGCCCTACTTTCCTTTCTTTCAAACGTCAATCGACCAACATCCAAAGTTATTGGCAGTTCCCTTTTCTCAATCTGCTCGCAGACTTTTGGCCTACTGTACAACCCTCAACCCTGCAGCTTTCTTTCTTCATCTTTTTACAGCTGTATTGTACTCCAAACCTACACAAGTCCAGACCAGCATGTGCCCAATATTTCCCCTATCAATTTTCATTATTATTCTCATCTTTCCCGTGTCCCGATCGGAGAGGAAATCAGAGACTCATTTTTTTTTAACAAATAGGAAACACGTGCACGGAAATCAAAGCAGACAGACTCGAAGTCCTGCTGTTTGATTAGTTTGTTATGATCCAGTTAAGGATGTCTAAAGTAGGGAAATTAATCTTACCAAGAAAGAATTATCAAGAAAGTATTAGATGTTCAATTTCATGTTGTAAGATTGTGTGATATACCTGTTTCAAATAATATTGCTAGACAATGGTCCCCCCCCCCTCCCCCCGTTGTCCGGATATGAGGTAGGCTAACGATTGCTGAATTATTGGGGGGGGGGGGCTGCAGCACCTTGCCTCCTCCCGCCCGCTCACACATTTATACTTTGTATTATTAGTTTGACGCCATATCGCATACTACCCCCACTGTCCCCTGGCCACTCAATCATGTAAACAGGTAAGCTTAAACCTTGTCAAAAATGACTTGCACATGGCGAAGAGGTTTCCTATAAACAGGGGGGGGGGATCGAACCGAATCCTCAATTCAGGAATTTGAGGGGGTTAGGGGAGGGGTGAGAGGGGGGGGGGGGCTCAAAACATAAAGCTATGTGGCTAGACAGGTTCAATGTACCTCCTTAAGAAGAAAAACCCGATCCTGCAATAAATCTAACTTAATGTCTGGGATCAGACGAGCAAAACATGTATTCATGTTCAACTTTATCCAACATATAATGTTCGGGTCGAAAGTCATGATCGTTCGTGGTAATTTGCGAAATGAGAAAAATGAAACGGTCGATTTCGCACCGGTATATAGCAAGTAGAATATGTTCGAATTATCCTCACGTTTCCGAGCTTCTGAATATTGAATTTTCTCTCATAATTATTGTAAACTTTTGTTTTCTTTTGTTTTGGGGGGAAGGGGACTTCAAAAACGTAGTTTCAAATTGGAATCACAGATTTCTAGTAATATAGTGCAAACTTAAGAGAAAAAAAATATGCGCCAGTTCATTACATTTTCCCTTCTCTTTGCACCTTGCTTGGGAAGTAATTCGTCTTTTTTTCACCTGTGCAATGAAATGAGTACAGTATAGGCCCTACTAGTATATCATATAGTTTTAGCTTTTTTTTTTTCATTGGGGGAGGGATTGTTTGTTTGTTTCGTTTTATTTTCATCCTACCGGTAAAATTAAAAAAGAAGATATCAGGAGCGTACTTTCAGTTGTGTGAAGACGTACTAGATTTTGAAATAACTTATGGAATGCATTATCGGTAGACATGTTTATGGTTTATCGCTAACCTTTGACATACATAGTCATTTAGGGAACACATTTTTGCCGAAAATGTGATGTTTACCGAATTACCGACATGAAAAGCTTGAACCCAACTGTAATAGAAAATTGTATGTCTATATCAAATTGGCAAGGCAACATTTGTGCGCTTGTCATACGATACCTTTTCGTATGGTAATGGGTTTTTGTTATGGCAGAAAATGTTTATAAATTGGGTATTCATGTTTCCCTCCATGGGGGCGTAACGATGTAAGGAGATTCTCTGATCGATTGAAGAACGGACTTGACAGCTATAACGGTTACCATGGTTACCAGGTCGTTGTATTCCCCTTTCTCCATCATCTTGTTCATATCTTCTTCTACTTACTCTTTTTTTTGTCTTATCCTCCTCCTTCTTGTTTTGTTTTCTTATTCCTTTTTCTTTTTCTAGTTCATCTCCTTCTTCATCCTTCTTCTATTTGTTTTGGTATCTTTGTATTCCTAGCTTCTTCCTTCTCTGTTTATTCTCCTCTGTAATCTTACTTTTTGCCATGTATTTCTCCGTGAACGTTATGACTTGGTATTGAGCAAGTCTACCAATGAGGAAGTATTATTTTGTTTAGTTCGCTTGAAAGTACATTTTATTTCGACCTATATTGTGTAGTACCACTCGCCCCCGAATTCGAAGAAAAATTGTTTTCGGTTTATTTTAGATGTATCATTACCCTATTGACGCCATGCATTAATGACACAAGCTGCTTGCGATTCTTTAACATTACATCCGTCGCACACGAAACGTCATTAATTTTGTCTGACGTAAGAGCTCCTTAGGGACCGGTGCCATCATCGAATGAGGGTTAAATTGCAGAACAAATTATTATTAAATGAACAACCACACCTTTGCCTATAACAGCTAGCGTTGATTGTATTCATAGCTCCTGGAGTAATTAGCGCAGGTAATCGCGTAATCGAAATGACGCCTCGTGCACAAAGGTTCTTAGACAGCTGCGATATATTCACCATCAAGCTTGACTTTAAGACATAATTATTACCTCAATGCCTCACGAGGTGAATTTTAGCGGCTGAATGCAACCCTGTCCTTTGACATATTATCCTACGGAATTCTGTGATGTCCCACAAAACATTGGGATATTCTACGATCTACTAAATATTGCGAAATCCTACGAAATTATACGATATCCTACGAAATATTACGATATCTTACAACCTTGCGATATCTGTCAACACTTTTTTCATTCAGAAAAAATATGTAAATAATATCGTATGCTATCGCATGTTATGCCAGCAAATCTTAAGGAATGGTAAGCATTTACACATCTTCTAAAGGGGCCTTTAGAACAGACTCGCTTCTCGTCCTCGGCTTGTGAATGAACAGAGGAGCCCCCGCCTTGGCCATGCCCCTCTTCCTACCCCCTTCCCTTAGCTCCATGGCTTCAATCAGACTTTGGTCTACATGCCCGGGTCATCTCAGCACGATTTCTTTCTCAACTTGTTCCAGCTGTGTGCATACGTCATAATAGGTTGATTTGGCCGAGGCGGGGAGTGCGGTGTAGAAACTCGGCCAATGTGGATTGAGGGAGATTGGAGACTGACACTTCACATCCCTTCACGTACTTAGGTCGTCGTGAAGGGAGGTAACTTTGTGAAATCGTGGAAGACAAACGATGCAAAATTTGAATATTTTACAGGTCTTGGGAACCGGATTGTCCGTGTGCAAAGAGCAAGAATTATGTTAACGCACATACTCCAACACAAAGTTAACGCTCTTCTATAACTCTCAATAATCATTTTTAACACGCTAAATCTCACACTCTGAATGAGAGGTCTGCATGGTGGACCAGTAAAGGGGTTCACTGCCTCTCTTTAATCTAAATACATAGTCAATTAACATAATTCAGTATAACAAGTTATTAATATCAACCGACACCTGTATATGACACAGTAAACACAAATACTATTATATCCAGGAATTATATTTTATATTTTACATAATCGTTTTATATTGCATATCGATCAATGTCCACTTAGTGGTGTCTATTGAGGAACCCAAGTAAAAGCCACCGTGCAATGTATCATAAATTTGCAGTACATTACACAATGTCTTTCTTGCATTATAAAGCATTGTTGCTTTCTGGGATTCCCCGCCTCCTTTATCACATAGCAATATAAATATCTGAAAAGGATGTTAATGCTCTTTTAATTTGACTTTATTGGACTTGAACAACGGATACAGTTCAATGAAAGTTCAAGTTCGGTGTGATTATCCTATTCCTGCGTGTTTGTCATTATATATGGCTACGGTACAATTAAAGGAAATGGGCCTTGTCCTTGTGGAGTTATAAATCATGACAATGCATGCAGTGATATTGCTACTAGTAATCAGTGTTATGCCGATAATTTTAATGCAACGAGGCATAAATGACAATGCCAAATTGGAGTCAGATTCATAAAAACGCATAACCATCACGATATGAAATAATTGTGTTGAGTTAAACGACGCGGCTTCACCCTTCCCGCTTTTCACAGGGCGCTCTTTCATAATGGCAAACATTTGGGTCTGTATATTATTCCATTCATACGTGACTGACTGCCATTATGGCGGGCTTCCTTTGCTCAGCTAATGTTGTGTGGAGTTGATGACAGACTGCACATTCCTCTGTGATCGATAATCATGTACATGCAATCGTTATATCTGATCAGACGGCCGGCTTCAGGCGGAAGGAAATGTTGTATCTTTAGAAGTTCAGACGCAGCCAACATTTAATGTGGCGTAAATCATTGGACATTTTATGGAAAGAGACTTCATTATATAATAAAGGTAATACTCGGAGAAAGGGCCTTTGCCGTGCGCCAGAGATGTATTCATACCCAGCTGAATGTTTTTGATAACGTGATTTTAAATTCGCTACGTTGAAAGGAATCCTTTACCAACACGATAGCAGCTACTTTTGAAATATCAACCTCCGGCAATTTCAATTTCATTTACGTATCTGGAGGCGCGATAGCTCAGTCGGTATAGCAGTGGTCTCGTTTTCCGGTGACCCGGGTTCGATACCATGCGCTAGTTCCCTTTGGTAAGGCATTAATCCTCATTACGAGAAGACCTAAAGCCGTCGGCCGTCTGGTTGCTTACTTACAAGCATTTATGCTTTCTTAGCAGTCAGGTAAAATAACCACCACAACCACCACCATCTACAGCTCACGATGTCCCTATGTGTCGACAGCCATGTCCCACAATGCATCACGGGCGTGTGATCATGCTTAGGTACAATAACAGGAAATCGGTGAAAACTTGAAAATACATTACAGCAGAGGTAGCGATCTCGATAAAATACACCGCCTTTAATATTAATGATGAGTTTGAAATATTTGCTTCATCATAAAAATAAGTTTTATTTCTTCCTATTCTCCTTCGCCAGGTGATGCGATTCGACCCTCTAAACAACGGAGATGCTGTGCGTGTTTGAGATCAGAAGAGGAACGAAACGGTTGTCATGGCAACACGCCAAGGGGACCCAGCAATCGGAAATAGAATCTTTGTAGCTGGTTCCTGGATCAAATCATAGCCATCACAATGTTCTCTATCAATCAGTAATTTGGGACCACCGGACCGAGAGTGATCAAATGTGAGTTCGTGATTTTAGTCTCTCTCCCTCTCTCTCTCTCTCTCTTTCCATCTTTCTCCTATCCTACCTCTTTCTCTTTGCACGTGCATTAACATTTTAACTGTGCTCAAGTTGCATGATAATTTTCTCTTGAGAAATCGCTTGATTTATGCCTTTAGCTGATCACTTTTAAGTAATAAACTTGCTTTGGTTTTTATAAAAGTTCAAGGAGCATAACAATCACGTATCATTTGCAGCTGTTAGGAAAATGATATCTTTTCATATTTTTCTGTTGTCTATGTACCATATCATTGGTACCAAGGGACATATCTTTTAAACGCAACCTGGGAAAGGATTTAGAAGAGAAAAAAAACACAGATAAATGTTGAAACTCCGTAGACGAATATTCATATTTTTTTGAATAGCATCTGCGTGTGTCCATAAATATTTCTGCCATGAAACAAGAATGTTGTATAAATTATGTAATCTTGTGGTATTTTATCATTGTGATTTTGTTATGATATAAAAATTATAAAGTTTAAAGAGAGCTGGTGAAAGCAAAACAGAATATCTTTTCATATTCATAATAGAGACAGATTAGTTCACGGGAATATGTTATAACATTTTGCCCCTAGGATGCCGAATTTCTAACTCTTCGCGGTTGACGAAAGTGTTTGAATTAACTTTCTGAAGCTCAAATTAAACATTCTAATCTTAATTTTTTGGGGCAACTATTTTGCGCGTGTTTGAAATTAATGTGTCTTAATGCTGTTGGTTAGTGTAAAGTAGGCCTATCCTATTTAATTTCTCAAACTTCCTTTAATTTCTTTTGCAACAACAGATGTGTCGACTCGTGCTTCGACTCATTGACGTCCATCACTGCTCATGGCGACGATGCGTAACCGTCTTCAGTGTCCTTCTCGTCGTCAACACTGCCTTTCATTGGACCCTGGTCGATGACGTACACTCGCGATCGGGACAGCCCGGCAAACGGAGCGCGATCTCGATGTCGAGGGACGGAGGCGGGTTGCCGTTTCGTGATCGGGTGATCAGCATTAATAAATGGTATGATGACCTGAAGGGCGGAAAACTGGACAGTAAGGGAATCGACTTTGATGATGACCACGAGACCAAAGATGATGCGAATAGGAAAGGAGATGATATGGATACTCTGATTACTTACATAACGAGGAAACCTTCAAACAGACGCCCTCTAGGGGACGTACATTTATACACGAATACAAATTTTGCTGAGTCACACCCGACGCAGACGAAACTTCAAAGGATTCGCGAAGATAAACTCGGGAATCGTCGATTGGTGTCGGCGTCGATCGACAACACTCGGAATGAGAGTGAAATCGTTCGGAAAGTTGAAATAAGTCGAAAGGAAATTGATAGCATGAGGGAAAGAGTTCAGACAAGAAGAAGAGAGATCAGAAACAAGAGCATGACAGAAAGTGTCGAGAATAAGCTTCTCTTTTTGCGGAATTCTAAGATTAAACTAAGGACGGCGCCAACAAAAAGTAGCAACTCAAATAAAGATCGGGTTGTAAAGTTGATACAAACGATTGAGGCTTCAACGGATCGCAAAGTTATAGAAGTTTACTCAAACGAAAAGATTCGTTTCTACAGCCAACCTAGTTGGCTTTATTCAAGTGACTTAGATGCGATGAACTTTTTGGCGGGCTCTTGGGTATTGGGCAGACGACTGGCTCGACACTTCGAGGTACATGTACCTCTATCGGTTAATCGTCTCGTACTCGTCTCGAATGATGAAATTGAACGTCTGGTGGATAATTACGAGCGAAAAGGAGAGAAAGCTGACACTGAAATGGAATGCCATCAATCGCTGCGTACATTGGCTTGTCAAGCGGCATGGTGCTCGATTGATTTAAGCCTGGTGGTGGCATTTCATTTGGACCGGGTAATTGGTTTGAACGTTACTCCCCCGACAGTTGGCCGGGAGCTGCCGCTTGGGACACGGCACCCTCCCGCGTTGCAACATGTCAGCCGATCGAACGAGACGCAGGGCTCCAAATTTGTACTCGACGTTGACCTTCCTGTACGGGTTGTCGCACTCATTGTGACGTCATCAAGGAAGTTACATTCGGGACCTGCTGCTGGGCGAGGGGCCGGCGAACATTACCGCTTTATGACGAGAAAGGCGACGGAAGGCCAATTGGAAGTTTCGTCGGATCTCTCGGAGAAGCTGTTCATCTTTTGTTACCTCTTAAAGGTATTTGCCATTTTGATGGGAAGAAGAGTGGAGCCAAAATTGAAATAGTAGTCAACTAGAAATTATCGTAATTGCTGTTGCTGAAAAATAAAATTCCAAAATGATCATACCCCGTTTCGCCCCCCCCCCGGCCCCTCATTCTCTCTTTTTTCCTATGCCCTTTTATTTCATAACAGGGACTATTTCGTTCTGGAGATATTAAACGTGAACAGGCGGAACGTTAGATTCAAGCAATAAGCCTAATGCATTCCATGCTTGCCATTTTATTCAGGAAGAGATTAATCCGTAAATCATACAACATAAGACCCCCCCTCTCTCTCTCTCTCTCTCTCTCTCTCCCTCCCCCTCTCTCTCCCTCTTCTCTTTCTCTATGGTGATCTTCGCTCAGAGGAAAATGGATACAATTTGAGAGGAAACTTGATTTTGATAATGATGCAGTACTAAATGCTGGAGGGTGGGGGATTCAATAAAAACTCTATTTGTACATGAAAGAAAAAGAGACCTTAACTTAAAGTGCAACTTTTCATGGAAAAAGAAGTCACAATATTAACCACGTAGCTATTTCTAATTTGACTTTTTTTTCCACTTGTTAATTTCTATTTAGATATCAAACTGCAGCACGGATATATGGACAGGATATTTCAACTCTTTGCTTCTCCCTCATCGTTCAAACCACTTGAATGAATCATTAACCGGTTACTGCGATACCAATATAACGTCACCCATCAAAGTCTTCCAATCTTCCATAATCCCCGATCGAATAGACAGTGTTATGCTAAAGAAATTTAAAAGGTAAATGATTTCCTTTTGTTTGTTTTTGATAATGTTTTTCTGTCTTTCTTTGTATTTGATGTAGTAGTACAAGAAGTATTTTTGCCGTGAAAAAGCAAAGACATGAAACATACAAAGCGAAATGTATATAATAAATATACATACGGATGGGTATAGCCCTGCTAGGGGGGGGGGGGGTCCAAAGATTGGCCCTGCGTATCAAAATATTCAATTCCACTCTTACTCTCAAATACAAACTTCGTTTTTATTTTACATTGTTTTACTTCAAGAACAGTTCGCAATTTACAGATCAAACTTTAGTCAAATCTATGTGATATTCAGGCCCTATTTGAAATATGTTTAATCATTCTAAGACAACTACCTTTCTGCAAAACTACCTGTTAAGACATCTTCACCGGACATCTCCACCACACAACTAACGTGGATATCCATCCAAGTCGGGTAGTATTAAAGGAAACCAAAACCTTCATACTAAGTTACTTTTATTGTAAAGTTTAAAAGATTTGAATAAAATCAGTGAAAATTTGAACAAAATCGGGCAAGGAATAAGGAAGTAAGAGCTTTTTGAAATGACTAGTCACTAGAGGGCGGTATTCAATTTGATGACATCATCTGTGAACAACTCTCCATGCCTTTTGTACATAAAATTTCACAATTTTTTTTGTTTTCTTCATATTTATTTGTTTTCTTGATCCGACTTCATAACATGTGAAGTAGAATATCATTTTGCATGCTATATCTTGCTTTCGGGGGAGTACATTATCTCAATCACAAGAAAGAAGGAAACACATGAAATTTGGTGTACAAAAGGCATGGAGAGTTGTCCACAGATGATGTCATCAAATTGAATACCGCCCTCTAGTGACTAGTCATTTCAAAAAGCTCTTACTTCCTTATTCCTTGCCCGATTTTGTTCAATTTTTCCCTGATATTTTTCAAATATCTTAAACTTTACAATAAAAGTAACTTAGTATGAAGGTTTTGGTTTACTTTAAAGATGGAGGTAATTCCTTTGGGGAGTTTCCCGGAAGTGAGAATGGTTCTTGGGTATAGTTGTCTAGGATTAATAATCATTATGGGTAGTTGTCCAGGGGTAGGTGTCCTTGGAATAATGTAGATGTCCGGGGGTATTTTTCCTAGAAATAATGATCCTTATTGGTAGTTGTCCGGGGGTATATTTTTCCTAGGAATAATGATCTTCGTAGGTATTTGTCTGGGGATAATTGTCCTAGGAAAAATTATCCTTTTTGGTAGTTGTCCGAGGGTACTTATCACACGGTCCAGAGATGTCTTTTATTAAGGAATAAGCTAAAACTAAAAATGAACATAGATCTGTAAAGCATATGCTGAATACAATCTATGTGCAAACCGTTGATTTATCATGAATCAACCATTTTCTGCATTTTTATATTCTCTGTCCAGGATATCGAGCGAAAATATGGATCTCCTTCAAGCTGGTCGAATCCGACAGCGACTCCTCCAATCCATCTTCCTGGATCGCATCTTCTGGGCTGAGGCTGGTGGTCGTCACGGCATCGAGATCATTCTCGACATCATTGATGGCCGCGTCAAGGAACTCTTCGAATGGCTCTCACGGTTTTCTAACGCGAGAAAGAAACGACGAAAAATATGATAATGGGACTTTTCCATGGCTTCATCATTATTACCGGTTCTTTTCTGAAATTACAACCAACAAAACATTTCATCTCCCCCTGTAATATCTGATTATTGTTTCAAGAAGTGTAGCTTAAGTTTGTTCTTATTTATTTTTGACAAAGAGTGCTGTGCTGAGGTGTTTTAGTTATTTAAAAATCTAGATTGGCTGAAGGAATATCTCATTGCTGCAATAATATCGCTACACAACTTAGTAAGTAATATTGTATGTTATTTATTTACCATGAAATAGATACTTATGGGCCTGTACAATTGGAATTTCTAATGACAGGTTCATGCATTAGCACTACTGTCTTTTGTAGCTAAGTGTGTATTTATAATTCAACAAGTCATTAGCTGTATGATCGAAATATACATTATCAGCTGCGGATCCGAGATTTTCGAAAAAGGGGGAAGGCTGTAGCTAGCAGGGCCGTAGCCAGAGTTTGGGGGGGGGGGGGGCACGGGGGGGGGGGGGGGGCACATACATGTAATCGATCGACGTCCTGGGGAGGGGTCTAAAAAAAATCAACTAATCTTGGAAGAAAAAAAAATCGGGTGCACGTGCCCCCCCCCCCACCCCGTGCCCTCCCATGCCCCCCCCCCCCCCGTGGCTACGTGCCTGGTAGCTATAGGGGTCCGCCTTAAGTTTCTTAGTGGGGCAAGGCGGCTATCTTGAAGGTTCTGAATTCAGAACCTTCAAGAAAGTCGCCATGAGATAGAAACACCTACTCTCATAGGAAAAATTGTATACAACAAAGAGTTGTCTTGGTAACCACTTTTATCTTTACGAATGGGGTCAAGGGGCCACCTTAAGGCCCCTGATGCGAAAGTTCTAAGTTTTTAACAATTTAGAACCTTTAAGATAGCCGTCACGATCAACAGAAATTGTTATTATCTCCTGGAAATTCACATAGCCCTTATCATTCCTTTTTTTACTAATCATGTTTCTTTCTTTCGTAAAGACAATTTTATAATAGAACTCTTTTGTGGTGTTGTTTTACTTTCCTTTCGAGGTTTTCGTAGGCACATGTCTAGCCAGTCTATATTTGTTTATGATGACATACGTCCAAATCCGTGTCCAAGTTATGAAGTTTCCCAAAAGGTATTCCAATACTCCGCCGTAGACAAGCTGAAATGTGTCCTATTTAATGCTAGCAGATTAGGTAACAAATAAAGCTTGACAAGCTCTACACAATAATGGTCGCTACTCTATGAAAATAATAAATATATCATCAAACGATTATGTCCTAAAAAGTACAAAATATAAAAAAAAAAACCTCTGTCCGATATAAAGCTCATTAAAGAAAAAGAGTATCTCAACAATAAATTGTTTGATATACGGGTTGCCGGGGTTAGTGCAATGTATCCCGTGAAATCTGACTTATAAATTGAACCATCGTTATAAAATTCAAACACGACAAATACTAAGGATTGCGAAATGATTCAAAGATTTAATCGGAAGCACAGTGATACCGGATCTAATAATCAAATATTAGAATAATTATCATCTAGATATCCTATGTATTTATTTCTTCGTGCGCGTCTGACAATGCAGTAGTGTTCAGTGATACAAACTGGAAAAAGAGTTTGTTTCTTCGTATATTTAATCATATTTTGTTTAATATCTGTATTATCGTGTGAAGGTGGTTGTATACTTTGCAACAAGCGTATCGAACTTGATCGCAAAGACTTTCGAAAAAAAATCATCTGAAGGTAATTTCAAAAGCCTTGTACATCTCCTATTGACATTTGCGAACATTACAACGACGTATTACGTAATCTAAACGTGATTTCCACGGGACATACGAAATGGTAGGCCTATTAGAATTGTCCTTGGGTTCGTTTTTCGAAAGTCTTTGTGATCGTGTTAATTAGGAACAATGGCCTCGGAGTGGGTTTTTGAAATTTGAAATAATTCTGAATTTGTTCAATTACAAGGAAGCAAGTAGTATAATCACACCAACATCACCAATCTTCTTGAAGAGCAGTTTCTGAATTGCTTTTCCGCGCGTACATTATGATAGAGATTCTTATCTTGTTATATGTCAGAACGATGTTATAACGATTCAGCATTGCCCATGTTTTATGCATAGTTAGGAGTTGATGTGAATATTAACGATCATGGCATTTCACATTTGAATTTATTTATCACATAGGTCCTTTTTATGTGAATTAATTTCATGTCATATGTTCATACAACAGACAATTTTATGTGTCACTCGTAAAGAGTTTGAAAGGTCCATTTATAAATGTTGCTGCTAATGTATTAATTTCGTTGATTCATTAAAACAAAGTATGACTTTCAGCGTAACTTCATGTTTCTCTAGTTTTTTTCTTATCATACTTTTAGCCAGCATGAACAAAAATGTATATTTATGTTTTACAAATAGAATATTGACATATTAACAAAAATCCTCTTTTTGCAAAGGCATTTAGATTATAAAATTGTTTTTACTCGAGTAATTTCTTTGATCTAATAGATAAGTTAACTTTGTTCGATTGAGTAAGTTAGTGTTTTGCCCAACTTAATCTGTCCTGAAAAACATATCAGCGATCTATAAATGAAATTTCTATCGTGAAATTAACTTGTCACTTCATTGTTGAAATACATTAGATTACTTGAGAAGCTAACGGAGATGGCGCACTGTAATATGTCAGTCGTTTTTACATCCACTACTACTACAGTCGCACATACTTTCAGATTTATTTCAGTTTTAAAGTGGGAATGGGGAGCAATTCATTATGTCATGGTCCTGATATTATGAACGTTATAATTATTATTATAAACATATTTGAGTATGAAAATAAATCTTTGGGAAGGGGCGACCAATCTCCGAGAGATAGAGAGAGAGAGAAAGAGAGAGAGAGAGAGAGGGGAGGGGAGGAGAGAGAGAGGGGAGGAGAGAGAGAGAGAGAGAGGGGAGGGGGAGGAGAAAGAGAGAGGGGAGAGAGAGAGAGAGGGAGGGAGAGAGAGAGAGATAGAGAAAGAGGAGGGGGAGGAGAGAGAGAGAGAGAGGGAGGGGGGGGGGGTCAGTGATAGGAAGGATACGGAATAATAGTACACGTAAAAAGCCTCTTGCATAAGAAGTTAGGTTCATACGCAACTTAACTTTTAACCAAATCGACTTGCGTTTGGTCGCATCTTGTCGTGCGAGAGGGCACGTGACACATAAATACTGACACTGTTCATTATTTTTTTAAATGCCTACAGGTTGAGTGCAACATTGCCCCTGCCATAGCAATACAATTTGCAATGCGTTGTATGGTAATAATAATTATAATTATATGACATTTGTAAGGCGCCGAATCCATTTGAAAGCAAACGTTCAAGGGGTACTACTGTCTTGTGAAAAAAGGGGGAGATCACATTAAAGCATCTGCATAAAAGAACAGATATATTAGAAAACACACAAGTGAAAGAACAAATACTTATACTCCTAATTAAACATTTGTATGTTTAAGATCATGTTCAAACGCTTCAACTGAACTGCTATAACGTATCTCTTAAGGGAGAGCATTCCACAGCGAAGGCACTGTATGAGAGTGTGGGGCGCTGTCTTCGTCAACCTCGGGACACTCCGCCCCCTGTTGAAAAATGGCTTGATACGCCATGACATAGAGAGAAAGCGTGTATATCTACGTCTGCAGTCGAATGTACTTAACTATATTTGCTTGCACTGCCTTCAATGTTAACCCAAGAAAACAATGGCCGGCATTACCAGACGACTGTCTTGTTTCGTTTTGAGTTACATGTCAAATATTGACACTTGACTGTGTGTACAGCTTCATTTTCATTCACTGACAACTTTACCTCTCTCGCATAAATTTACATGACGGTTATGTAAACTCAGAACAATCGGTTCGACTGCTTGGAACCAGAAGAGCATTAACTCTTTGTCATTTATTAACTCAGGGTTAACGTCCTTCTGGCGCTTTAACAGACGTCTCCTTTGGTAGCATTGCCCGGGAAATATGAAGTTTTGAAGGTCATCTTCCAGAATTTAAAATTGATTAAAAGACGACCTACAAAACATCACATATTTGGGCAACTTTCCTTACTTGGAATATTTGTGAACAAGCATTTTATATTGAATGCATATTTTGACTTACAAGGCGATAATATTCAGATATACATGTCCTGCTCATGGTGAGCCTAGAACAATACTTAAGACCGTAGCAACAAATAGTATGCAAGGTTGATTCTAAACGAAATATTATATCGTTTATAGATGGATTGAACAGTTTATCACCATGGTTGCTAACTATATTGGCATGTTAATCAATTTAATCCGAGATTTTATGAAACAAAGTGCTATACATAATGGTCAAGTATACTGCATTCGATCGTGAGATAGCACAAACTGAGAATGGACATTTTGTAAATGATGAGTTTAAATTGGGGGCACTGATGTTTCTCTTATTAGCTCATTGAATTACGAAATGGAACAAAATTCCCGACCGAAACTGCGGTCTACATTAAAGTTTCTCGCAGGTGTAACTTCGTAAATCTCTTCAGCGTTCCATTTTGTTGCCCCCGATTCGGCTAGTTGTTATGTTATTCCCTTTAAGTCGCTCCTATTTGGAGCCACAATATTCCACTAATGACCCCCCCCCCCCCCCCAGCCCTTCTACCCCCTGCCCGTCTTATCTGTTCGCTCTTTTTTTTGTTCATCTTCTTTTTATTTCTTTTTCTTTCTTTCTTTCTTTCTTTCTTTCTTCCTTTCCCTCCACGTAAAGCGGATTGATTACACATGCTAATCAGTCGATCAACAGTATTACCAACACAAGAACAGTCCACGGGTCTCATATAAAGATCATACACACATGGGATTGCAGGATCTATGGTGACTCACATCCGATATGCTCCAGTACTGCCCTTAATCCCTAGAAATTCGGAGGAAAGGTCGGATCTTAGATCGCTTGCACGCGCCCCTGAAGGATACGTTTCCATATGAAAGGCTTTAGAATCAGATTTTAAATATTAAATTCTTTTATCATTATGTTGTTGCTTGTTTCCATGGTAACTGGGTGTTTCAGGGTCTTGGTACA